ATGTATCTCATTACTTCATTATATTAAAAACAGCCCTCTTTTTGATGAACTCATCAACTAGTTAAATTTAAATTAATTTATTAAGAAATTACCAAAAATTTATATTAAATAATTCAAAAGCAAGTCTAATTAAGCAAATTGAAGAAAAATAAAAAAGGAAACAATGATTTGTATGGTTGTAATTCATATTGAAATATGTTAAAATGATTTAATTTTTTTATCAATAAACCCCCTCCAATATTAGATTAATTGGATAAGATATTAAATCATATAAATTTAATCTTCGTTACATTTTAGTTTTCGAGTTTGGAAATCTCACTAAAGAAATAATTATCCAAGATTTTGTTTATTTGAAAGTTCTAAGATTCAGAAATTAGATTATAATCTTTAAATTAATTTCTAAATTATTAAGCTATTAATAAATTATCTTAGTGCAATATATAATAGGGCATTAACATCAATTTCATTTAAATTTAGATTCTTTTATATTTTCTATTTTCCTATTTAAAATACGTTAATTACTATTCTTATAAAAATTTCTTTTGAACCTTAATTTCTTTTTAACTTTTATAATTATAATTATTATTGTTATCATTTCATTTGAAATTTCTTTCAGTGTTAATTACATTGAGATGGAAATTCTTTGATGTTGTATATGAGATCATTTAAGTAGTTGAAAATTAGAATATTGATTGAGACCATAATAATAAATTGTTATTAGCTTATCAGAATATAACCTTTAATTATTTTTTAGTTTAAAAATAAATTAATTAATTTAATTGTTCCATAAATAACCAGCTTATGCTATTTTTATGGTTCTAATTAATTTAAGATATTTCTTTTTAACCAAAAGCATTCCATTTATTCTGTTTAAAAATAAAAAAATAACTCAAAAAGCGTCTTCATTATTTATAATATTGTTTTATATTGACACATATTCATTTCAATGCTTATTGTTTTTTTACATTTTGCTGTTCATTCTAAGTTTGTGTCAAAGGTATATTCTAAGAAGATGATAATTTCATTTAATCATGTCTTATTTTTTATTCAAATTTCTCTTATTCCATCTTCTTTTTTTTAATCTCGAGGTAATATTACTGATTTGCCAAAAAGAACTTTCTTTCAGCAATTTAAGAGGGAGTTCTCTTAAAAAATTTCAATGATTTCTTACAGCTTGATGAGGTGTTAAAAAAAATTTTTTATTAACAAAAATCTTTGTAGATTAAATCCGATATATATTTACTTATATCTTCATAACTTAAAAAATGAAAATTATATTTTAGATTAATGAATAATGAAGAACTTAAGGGCTTTTTCTTTACGAAAATTCTAAGATTCTTGCATTAAAAGCTAAATTTGAGGTAAAAAGGTTTGTTCTATTGCATGCAGGATTTTCTAAATTTTTCCGTCAATAAAACAAAGACTTTTGGCTCATACAATATGGGATGTGATAGAGAAATCTATGATGATTGTAAAAGTCAATTATTATTATTAAAATAAAAAAGGTTAAGACTAATTGCACAAAAAGAGAAAATTTATTAAGATTAACCCAATTAATTTGGTATAAAAAGAGTTTAGTTTTGAATTGCTACATAACCTTAGATTTAGTGTTCAAATTCTGAAAAAAAAGGATACACAAACACCATTTTAAATGAAATATTTAATTCTAAATGAAAAATGAAATAAGATTTAATCGAAATTATTTTAATTTGAAGAAAACCCAATTATAATGTATAAAAAAAAAAATTAAATTTATCCCAATTACATAATTGTATAGTAGTGAAATTGCGTCTTTTTGAATTTATTGAAGGCCCTTATTATTATTCAAAAAAACTAATTTTGTAACAATTAGGGCATCCTTCTTCTGGATTTATATGACATTCTGTTCATACATCCATAGTTCTCGTTTTGTATAACTTATTCTTTCTTCCTGCCTAAAGAAGCTTTAATGGTATTTAAAACTTAAAGATCCAGGGACGTTTTCCATAAGGAATGTAATTTTAATTTTTGATTAAAGTTTAATGAATGAAGCTATATGCAAAGAACATCAATTATGGTTATCTAAGCAAAAGCCAACTTTATAAGAGTTAATTTTCTCAGAAAAAATTTATTTAAACCTAAATAGTTAGTGAGTCTCAATTAATTTAATAAAATGACAGATGACCATAATAGGTCTAAATTATCCCAGAATAAGAAAGATAACTGGATGAATTTTATTAAGAGGAACCAATCATCAAGAAAAGGTAATCCTTTTAGCAATCATCTCATCTCATAATTGATGTTAACTAAGCATATTCATTAAAATTTCACTATAAATCGTAGCTCAACTAGATAATATGAGCTTTTTTGTAAAACTCCTTTATTTTCCCATAGTTCCTCAGTTATCTGGATACAAAAATCTTTAGGTAGTTCTTAGTAAATTTGAAGCAAGCCTTGGATACTTAAAGATAGAAAATAAAATAACATAATTTATCCAATAAAAAGGTGCCTAAAAATCTGATTTCCTGATCAGAAAATTAGATTAATCATTATTGAACTTTCCTTTTTAAAAGGTTTAAGATATTTAGGATGTTACATTGAATTAAATGGCCACTAAACTTCTTATTGATAGAAATCTATATACTTAATTCGATAAAAGTTGGGATTATTATATATTATCATATAAAAATATATAACTATTCATCTTTTGGTTTTTCATTTAATTTAAGACCTGATTAAGCAGCTTAGTATTGATCCATTATTTTTTGAATAGATCCTTATAAGTAGTAATTTCGGATAAATTTATAATTAAACATAAAGTAGTTATTGAGCTTAAAAAATATATCATCATTATTTATTGAAACAATTCTAATTAAAATAATTATTCATTTTTTATTAATATAATAAATAATAATAATACTATTTGTGTTTGAGTACATACTTTATATCATTGTAATCAAATTTCAGTAAATTAATCATAGATATCTAACTTAAGCTGCAGTAATCAAATTTATTAAATAGTGGGTTATAATAATTTAAACTATTATGCAACATAAGCCAAATTGGATGATAGTAGCATATTGTTCAATCATCATAGTTTAACCCTAACGAATTATTAATTAATCAAAACATCAAACCAGTGCCTCATTTTTAATATTTAATAATTTAGTTATTAAGTACATAGGCAAAATTGGAAGGGAGAAAGTCTGCCTTTAGATCATAGCTGAAGCCCCCCACCTATAAAATAACTGATGAAACTAGGATAGAATGATATCAGTATTTGTGTGTAGTGGATAATCTTAATATTTTCTATAAAGTTAAACAAATATTTTTCAGAAAAAAAATTCAATCAAATATATTTTCATTCTAAGTCTCCTATATAAATAATATTATTCCATTAAATGAAAAAATAGATAATAATTAATAAACATTTTTTAATTAATTTTATGCAAAGATACTTCAAATAGTTTAGTTTGCGAAAGCAAAAATGAAGCCGTATTTAGCATGAGTTTAAGAATGAATTTTGATCTTATTTTGGGTCAAAGAATTAAATCCCTAAATTTTAAACTTTAATTTAATTGATAAGTTTGAAACCGATGATGATTAATGCTTAGTGGACAAGTATATTTAATGTGAGTTTTTTTTATTTTCTTGAAGGGAATCTTTGAAGTAATTGATGTGAAAGAATATTAATTAATAGTTTTATATGTACTTATTTACTCAATTCTTCTTTAAGGATAATTCACATTTATCTGATAATCATAAAAATGATTACTTTTTCTTATTTAATTAAATTGATCAAAAGGTGAGATCTTCAAAGCTAGCTCAAAACATTTTAAAGCCTCAGAAAAGTTCTATTATTCTTGTAGGCACACCCCTTGTAAATTTTTTGATATTTTTATTAGTTACCTTTAGATTAAAGTGAAAAGTAATCTTAAGGGTATATGGAAAGAGCTTAATTCAACCATTTTAAAGATTCATTATATTTACCCAACTCTCTTAGACAATCACCTTATGGATTTATAAGATATATACCTTTTCCATACAAAGAATCTAAATGTTTTGAATTTATTGATAATGCTTGATCATATAAGATTATAGCTTCATCAAATTATCCAAGTCCTCTTAAGCAATCACCTAATATATTCTTTTAGGTTTCATTACCTTTAGCTGAGAGGGAGTTCAAATGTTTTGGATCCACAGATATTGCTTAATTATAACAATTTAAAGCTTCATCCAAATTGTTTTTCATTATTAAACATTCACCTATATATAAAAATATACATTACCTTTACACCATAAAGAATCTCTATTTTTTGGATTCAATTTCAAAGTCTTATCAATTATTTAAAGGGCATCATCGAATTTTTGATTATTATATAAAGCAAACCCTAATTCAATATAAATAAATCACCCTTGTTGAATAAATTTGTTGATGATTTTTCATCATCTTTTCTGACTTCTGTAAAATTTACTGTTTTTAGCAATAATTCTTATATTTGTTTGTCAACTTTTAACTTCCATTCATTTGATAAATCCATAATTGTCTTTGAGATATACACTTTATAATCACTAAGAGAAATCATTTAACTAATGGCTTAATTCAGTTAACCTGAATCCATTATTTAAAGTCTTTTGTTTGAGATTTGATATTTATTTTTAATTTCATTTTTCAATTTGAAGTATGAGTCCAAAACTAGATCTCCTTATTTGCTTATCGTTTCACATAGAGTATCACATGACTTATTATTATCATCAATAAAGCTGACCAAAGCGTTCAATCCCAAAACTTCTTTCATGTGCTGTTAATGTAGTCCTTTTTGAAGACATTATTAGCAAATTAATCTTGAGTCTGTACACTATTTATTAAAACAAATCTATTCTATGCTTTAAGTGTGATTTTGATTTAAACATTTAAAATTTGGGATTTCGACTTAATTCATTTTTTATTAAAATAAACTTATTTGTTCAATTTTTGCATTTTTAAAATTAAATATTCATTTGTTTTTGAAAAACTTTCTATATTCTAAAAATAATGAGATATGAGTTCATTTGAATTCAATAATTGTTGGGATGGATATGAATTATTTATTGTTTTGATATTCTTATTGTTAGTTCATATGAATTTAATTTTTTAAATTCTTCTATTTTTGCTTTAATTTTTTAAACTAATTGAAAAGAAATAATTAAAATAGCAATTATATTTATTTCATACTTTTTTTTAATGAAATATTAATTACTATAAAATTATGAGGGATAATAAAGATAATAGAAACGTTTAATTAATTTTATGTTACTTTTTGAAAAAATAAATCTCAAATCTAATAACGTTTTCAACTTAACATTTAGCAAATCGATTGTGCTTATATACAATGTATTTTTTTAAATGGATCTCTATATAATTTTATCAGCTTAAAGATAAATGAATTAGAATTAGTTGCTCAAAAATTGAATAATTAGCTGATCCAAAAAAATGAATGGAAATATCAGAAACTTTAAGGCTAAAATTATCACAAAAACTCTTGAAGAAAATCATCAGAAAAATTAAAGAATTTTTTAAGATTTTTGTTTTCTTTAAATTCAAAAATATTTTTATTGTAAAGCTTTCAGTCGTGAAGATAATCTTTTTTAATTAAATAATTAAAAAATATTTATCATTATTATTAAGCAATAATTAAAGACACTAAACATTACATTCATCAACTAATCCTATAAGTTATTAAATTCAAAAATCTAGTTCTTCTAAAATCTAAAGGAAATGTCCTGATCTCTTTGCTCGAACTCTTCCACATTATAATTAAAGATATAAAATTTCAATTTTAAAAAATATCAATAAATTTATGTAAAACCCAGAGAAATTCTTCTTTACTTATTTTGAAAAAGAAAAGATAATATAAAATACTAGATGATTAATAAATTTTCAATTCAACTCAATTCCGACAACATATGAACAATCCATAAAAGGCTGTAATTGATCCTGTAATTACTTGATCATCTTACAAATTAAACTAATAAATTAAAGGTAAATTTATACTCTTCCTTTTAGGATTTATTTAAATACATTCATTACGCAAAATGGATATGGAATGGCCAAAACTAATGCAAAAGATAGTTCTTTAACAAATATTCCACAAAGAAAAATTACTACCAACTGAGCAAAAAATACATCTTAAAATCTATATATATACTATTACAAATCATTTTAATTTGATGTGTTTCCATGCTTAAGTATATTAGCATTATAAAATTAGCAAAGAAGTTGATTCCTAAAATAATAAGGAAGATTAAAAAAATAACCAAGGCTTTTATAACTTTCTATATTTACATGCCCAATATTCATGAATTATAAACATTATCAAGCCAAGAATCCCTAAATAAAAAATAGTATAGCTTAATATTAATCCTAACAAGATAGTGATACTAGATGATGTCTAGAAAAAAATATTGCTTTATTACATTTCTATAGTTTTTACCAATTCCAACTTTTATAAGAATTGGGATCGAAAACAAAGAAATTAATATGAATAATAAAAAAACTACTTCAATCCTTTTGATTCGAAATAAGGTGTAACAGAAAAAAATATATGTTAAGCAAGCTCCAATTGTCCAAAGAATGAAAATTCCCAAAATTTTCTATAAAAATTTCTTTTGTTTCTAAAAATCTTAATCTTTGATTAAATTTGATATTGACTACTACTCTTGAGTCACTTAATAATTAGAATACTCTTAATAAGGAGAAACATCCTTTGATTTCTATTATTATTGAGCTTAAATCTGTTAAAGAATTTAATCTTAATTTGGTGTTACTATGGGAATAAATTTGATATTTTGATTATTATTCTCAAATAATTATTATGAGAGAGTTTCTTAACTTAACATATTCAAATCAGGATATTTAACTTGTTGCATATAATTATTTTTCTTAATTAATTTATTCAGGTTTTATTTATATTTTTCTGAACAACATAGAATAGTTTTCTATAATCTTTATTTGCTAATATGATATTTTATTATATTATAAATAATTTTCTTAAAAAAATAATATTTATGTGAAGTTAATAAAAAATATTGTGAAATACAAATACATAATATTGAAATCTTCAATCCTTTATACCTATTTATTTAAATAAAAATATTTAGATTATGATATTAAAAAATAAATATCATTATTTTTTCGTTTGATTTTATAATTGATTATTTTCCTTTTTTGAAAGTCTCTGTTTATAAAAAAATGTATGAAATTTAAGAATAAATTATTTTATAAACTTAAGAATTAATAAATTATATAAGTAGAGTTCCTCCTCATAAAGAATTTCAAAAGATAAACTTCTATTTTTAGAAGTTCTTAAAAACTTTAGTAAAGATTCAATCAAAATAGTGATTTTTAATAGAAAAATACATATTATTTTTCAATCTAGATTAAAAAATATTATGGAAAATCAATTAAGAATTCTTCAAAGTTGAAACATAATAGAAATAAGTTTAACGATTAAGACTTAGTAATATCAAATAATAAAATTTGGTTAGAATTTAACAATAACTGTTATTTTATAATATTTCAAAAATAAAAAGAATAAAGAACTCTGTGCTATATAAACAATAAAAGTGGAGCATTGAAAGTGAATTAGATATAATAATCAACGATAAAAAAGATTCACATAGGATTTTGAATGTTTTTTTGTTTTCCTTGCTTTATCTTATTTCTTTCTCCACCATCTTTAAATTCTTATTGCACACTATTTTTCTTGAAGAGTAAAAACGGAATTATCAACTTTTAATAAGAGATTTCGATTTTATAAATTATATGTAAACATAGGCCTGTTGTTTCCACAAACTTGATATTATTATTTATTAATCCAATAATTCGATGCACTATTCATCAATCCTCCAAATTCTGAAATAGGCTAAAAATGTTTTAACAATTTGATACCATCATACAAGCTGTTCTGCGATAAGAACCTTGGCTTCTAGTTTCTTCTAGATGCTGATAAAATGCAAACTCTGCTAAATCTGCTTCGCTTTTTGTAGTCTTGTCTCTCTCCCTAGAACAGAGAGCCCCACACGCAAGACCCATAATTAAATTAAAAATATATATATTTATTATATAAGCTTAGTTTGATTATTCAAAAGGATAGTGTAGTATGTTATTTCCTAATTTTTGAAACATCAAGAGTTAAATATTAATGAATTTAAAAACTTTTATAAATAATACAAAGTTGAGTCTAAGATTGCAGAACACATACTTAATCAATCTAAATGATGGAAATTTAATTACACTTAAACTGTTTTTTTCTGAGAGTAATTCTTATCCTAATCGTAGATATTGAGCATTACATACTCTTTGGATTTATTGGAAATTAACAGATAGACTTATGATGAAATTGAAAGAGATGGCTGCATTAGAGAAAAGTTCAAATATTTGCGTTTATGATTTCCAATTTCAATAAGAACGAAAAGAATTTCTAATCAAATTTAAGAGGTTATAGTATAAAAGTAAAATGAGATACACACAACAGTTCTCCTATATTATTATTTTTTCATGAAAACAATAAATTACATAATGATTTGATTGCTCAAAATAAGTATTAGTCTATTCAGAAATTAATAGTTTGCGCTATAAAAATGATTATTTATAATATAATTTAGCACATATAATAAAAAAAAGATAGTGACTATAGTGAAATTTAATAGGAAAATTATTAAAGTTAAAATAATTGAACTAATAAAATTAAGAAAATAGAAAAAGGAAAATCCATAAAAAATTGTTAAAAAAAAAAAGAAAAGTTGGTGGAAAAAGTTAAAAAAATTTAAATAAAAATGGACACCCAAGAAGAAAAATGAAATAGAGTATGAAAGTAATAGAAGTAAAGAGATATTTTTGGAATTAATAATAAATAAAAGTAGTTAAAGGCTTAAAATGTGAAAAATATCAATTAACTAATTACAAATAGACGTAAATGCTTTATCAAAACCCCCTTCTTTTGGTTAATCTCTCTAAATACAATTAAAGATTAATCAAAATTCTAATTTAAAAAATTCAAATTAAATTTCATAATATACTGACTAAAAAAATGATGTTAAATCATAGCAAAATAAAACAATCTTTTAAAGAAAAATTTTTTAAGAACTTAAATTTAAAAGGAATATTATTCTAATAAACACCCAACCAAGTAAATATTATTGGGAAAAAAATGATTTAAATTATATTTTTCTTATTTCATAATTTTTTAATTTTTGCAATGAACATACCACCAGTATTTGATACTTTTGGATCAAATCTAACTGTATTAAATATTTAGCCGGATTTACATTATTATTCTTGCATGCCATAAAATGGATGTACTAAAATGGCATCATTATTTTACTCTAAGAATTTAATAATTTGATCTTCATTCTGCTTTTATGAAAAGGAGCAAGTGCTATAAATTAAAATTCCATTTTATTTTAGAAGTTTGTATCCATTTTCTAATAAAGAAAATTATAAATCATATATTTGTTATAATTTCTTTTAATCTAAAAATCTGCTGTTAAAATCCTCTTCTGTCCATTCATTTGCTTTGGTCTATTCAGTTGTATAGGTGTTTGTGTAATTTTTTTACAATTATTTTTTAGAAGCTTTATTATTTTTCTATTGTTTTTTAGAATTTTATTCGTGCATAGGTTTTTATATGTATTTTTTTAGATGTTTAATACTACCCTCATGTGTGCATTCGGCGTCAATTAAGACTTTATCAAACTATATTTAATTTTTATATTTTGTTCCATCCTATAATATCAATTCAACATATTTTTCCAACTTATATTTATTAACTATTGATTGAGTAATATTTAATCTGTTTTATGAAATGTCAACACCAAAAACTTTTCTTTAAATTCCATCTTTTTCAGTTTCTACTCTTAATAAATCAGCTATAAAAGTTAATTTAGCTCCTGGGGCACAGCAGATTTCCAATACATTAATATCATCTTTATTGATGTCTAATGAATAAACTACTGCGGCACTTGATTTATCAATCCCATATAAATGACCATTTTTATACAATTAGAGATTATTGATTTTTTGATTTGCTGGAAGAGAATATAATTTTGGAATTTCATGAATAGGTTGCATTGAGAATGATACTTGTTGTTAAAGTTATTCAAAAGTAATCTAATAATCTGGCTTTATTCGAACATACCGTAGTGTTTATTCAAATAAAAAGATTTCCTCATCGATTCCTTCTTCTTAAAGAAATTCCTTAAACTGTGGTGATAATTTATTTAAAATATTCATAATAAATAAAATAAAAAAATTGATTAATTTATAAGTGAAAATTGGTGTTAATTCATTATTACTCTCAAAAATTTGACTAATAATCCACTCTTCATCATCAACCATTTGACTAAAACTAAAATATTTGATAAGTAAAATAGAACACATCTTATTGATTATTTTTGTTTAATCATTTATATCAGTTAAAGTATTAATCATTATTTCAAAGCCTATTATGCCGATTCTTAAATGTTGTTTAGTAATTCTTTATTATCTCCAATAATTTCATACCTGACTTTCTATTTCCTATGAGATGTAATTACATAAAATATTTCTTAAATAATTGGCACTTGCTATTATCATTGATTAATTCTTAATATTTTGCACTAAAGATATTTCTAATCAACTCAATATTCTCTTCTATCACTCTTTAATTAATCCTAGATAATAACCCTTAAAAAAGGTTTTGGGATATTTGGAATCAAAGATCATTATTATTATTTTTAAATTTCTCAATTTAAGTGAAATTCGTATAAGATATCAATAAATTAGACTTTATATTCTATTAAATTAGATCAATAAAAATTTATTGATATGATTACAATTTGAATGTATTATTTGATAAAGTTCAAAATTAAATTTATTTTTGATCTCTATCAACTAAATGAACTTTGACCTATACTTAAAACTACTTTATAAAAAGTAAGGTAATTTGCCTTGTTTTTTAAGATGAAATAATATATGAATATTATATATTACATTTGATTGCTACAAAAATCCAATATTAATATGAAATTGAAAAGGAATTGGTTGATTTAGAAATAATGAGGGAGAATTGGATATAAGTCTTAAAAACAAATTAAGAATAATTTAATTTTACATTTTTTTAATAAAATGAATTAAAATTCAACTTAAGTGCCAATTCTAAAACATCTTATTTAAATTCGAAGAGCGGTCATTCAAAATTTCAAATCAAAAGAGAGATGTCGATTTCATATGTTAGAACTGCTCTTATTGATTGAAAATGTAGAAAAGGAATTTAAAGGAGTTGTGTATGATGAAGAATTTATATTATCAATAATGAAAAACTTGACTTAGATAGATTCAGATGAATTAATGATAGAAATTCTAAGGTAATCCCTACCTTTTTGGAATGCCACCATATAGATGATGTTTGTGAAACATACATTGACAATTCTTTCTATAATTTGCAAAACTTAAAATATTCAACTTCGAGTTGCCATACTCTAATTTGTTATGGATGTGAATATAAAGACTTATGATCCTGCTTTTAGATTGGTTGTCAAGGATGGAATATTAAAAATTATTATACAAATTTTAAAATCTCCCAAGGAAGTTAAGGAACTTGCTTTGATTGCCTTGGATAGTTTTAAATATTAATATAAATGAAATAATTTGTTAACCCAGTTTTTCAGCCTCTAGATCATTCTATGTCAATGACCCATCGTAGAACTGAATACATACCCAAGATTCCTCAACCAACAATGGGGTAGGAATTGCCATGTGAATTTGAAAAAATATTTTCATCAGAAACAGACATTTCATCTAGGCTAAATGATAGCATGATATAACCTTTTGATAATAGGAATTTTTACATAGATTCATCTCCTGCTTATAGAGGAACAACAGAGAGTTAATTCTAAAATAATACACTTACTCTAACGCAAGTAGTTGAGTAGAAAAAATATAATTAAGAAATCATCAAATATTCTGATGATGATAGTTTAATTAATTCTTCTTTTTTTGGTGTTCTTAATTAGGATGCTTTCTAAAAACCATTATAACAGATGGATTCAATTTACAGAAAACTTGAAGAACCAAGTTAATTCAATCATAATACTAAAAATGCCCAGACACTTTGTGATGAAGAATTAAGAGCTGAATTATAAGATCAAGTTTAAGATCTTCATATTAATAATAAATTTATTAACCCTCTCCAATATTAGTAATATAATAAACCAATACAAGATAGTTCCAATATAATTACAAACTTCACCAATAATAATAAATATTCAAGTATGTAAACATATGAAAATAAATCTATTGATTCTTACAGACTACAATCTAATTTATAGTAACCATATCCTTAAAACAATGAACAAATAAAATACAATCCAATTTAATATAACAATAATTATCCAAAACCTGTTGAGACTAATCTTATGATATAAAATACACCACCAAGAAGTAGATTTATATCTCCAACTTTATAAAAATAAATAGAATAATAATAAAAATAATAATAATTTTCTGATTTTAATCAAAACTCTAACAATAACATTTCCAAAACAGAAAAATTAAGAATTAATAGTCCTGATTAATTTGAAACAATAAAAATTACTGAAATTGTCAATGTTGAAAACTCTTAAAATTAATCCTTAACCTCACCTTCACCTTCAGCACCTATATTACCATTAAGACATTCAAGTTTTGTTAATAATAAATCTGAACCACTTACCAATAAAAAAAATTAAGATGTTTATTATTCCTAAATGGTTTAACCTTTAGCAAATCAAAAAATATTACAAAGAGCTATTATCAATAGAGCTTAAGATAATAATGAATATGAATTAGATGCTTAATTATAATAATATTCTAGAAAAATTCAATCTCCACATAAAAATAACACTTTCTTAGACTAATAATCTGAATTATAAAGTAATCGCACTTCTTAATAATAGATTATCATTCCTTAACCTTAAAAATAATTATATTCAGTTTAATCTCCTACTAAATTACCTTAATCACCAAAATTAATTACAAAACAACAAGAAAGGTTGGATCAAAAAGAATTATTTTTATAAGCAGAGAAAGCAATAAAATTTTAGAGAACATAACCGAAAGCTATCTTACCTGAGTGGCAAAAATAATCAAATAAAAAGGATACTAAATAAACATAATTAAACAATTAAATATATTCAAAGAATAATGGAAATAAATAAGATGATTTACAAGTATTATGTGTAATATGTGAAGATCTTATTCCTTTTGAGGATGTAGATTCCCATTCTATTAGATGTTTGGCAAAATCTAAACAATAAGCAAAAACTTAAAATGCTCATACATTAATTTTAAACTTGAACTAAAAATTGGAGCAATTAAAATAGAACATTATAATATAATCTAAGTAATTAGGAGATGATTTGATAAATAGTGAGGAGATAATTAATTGCATTACAAAAATCATTTAATGTTCTTATAATTATAAAAAACTCAAACAATATAATGAATTATTGGGGTAATAATACTAAAAGTATTAATAAAATTTTGATTAAAAACGATTTATTATGATTCTCACATTATAAAGAGTCTTAGCAGTATCATAGGAGAAACAGCTAAAATTATAATTTGTTGAAGAAAGTTAAAATAATTAATTGGAAGATGAGAGCTTTTTATATAATGAACTTAATAAATTAAATAAATAGGTTGAAATAGAGAAAGCGTAATATAAATAATATTATTTAGTAATTTAGAATAAGCCAAATTAGAATAAGAATTATTTAAAAAAATATAAAAGGAGGATTTAGAAAATATGAAGTATTTGAGAGCATAATATTTGGAATAAAATGTAGATAATGAAGTGCTTTCTTAAATAAACTCAGAATGGGATGTACGTAATCCTGAGACCAAAACCAACAGAGTCACAAATAGTATTGTATCAGATATCTAATACTAAAGAGATTTTGATGGAATGGCAGTTCGAAAAGAGGGAAACAGCCCAACAATCATTTAAAATGAAGTTTTACAATTAATTATTATTTTAGGATTATAAAAAAGCATTTTATTAGTTAGCAGTTTAGATAAAATTAAATCTACCTCATAACCATCCAGGCAAAAACTTATTACTTTAGGATGCATATGAGAAGGCTGTAAGTTTAAAAGTACCTAAGAATGGATGGGAGATGTTTATTATTGAAGAAATTAGAAATATCCAATTATGATAGCATATTATTAATACTTATTGTATTTTATTAGAGATTTGTTTTGTTTTCTTTTATAACTTATATATATATAAATATGTAGTTATAATTTGCTTAATATTAAATGAAAATAATAATAGTAAATGGTAAATTGATAAAAAATAGAAATCTTTATTATAAACTATAAAGTAAAGAATAAACAAAAATTATTATTGTAAAATGAGGTATAATTAATAAGTCAATGAATTGAATTTATGGATAGAATTTTATTATTTGATAGTGTATTATTAATAAAATAAAACAGGTGATTGCAAATAAAATCATTTCAAACATAGTTATTAAGGTTGCTGCGATGATAATATGCTTTATTTATTTTCCATAACTTATAATGGCTAGTGAATTTCCAATTATAATAAAATTAGATAATGTCTTATGCATTTTTTGTTTTAATCTATGTCAATAATAGAAAATTACTAGATGCGACAAAAATTCATATTATTTACCATATCTACATAATCCACATTCAAATATGGCAATTTCTTTAGTGGTCCAAGTTTCTATTATATAAAAATGGATATAATACCGAATGGAAAGTCATTCCTTAAAGGAGAAATGAGTATATCTAACACATCCTGCTATAAAAGAGAGTAAACATTCTAGTTGTTTGGCTACTATTATTCTATTTGTTCTTGATTAGGAGAATCGTTATCAAGAATTTTCTTCTTTCTACCTGGTTTCTTTTCCTTTTATACATTTAAAAAATACTTGCTTGATGTCTCTTTTACTATCAATCAAGACTTTTTCTTTCATAAATTCAGCTAATTTCTAATCACTCTTGTAATACAATTAGACCACAACACTTAAGAGGCTTTCAAATGCATTTACCCACAATGGTTAAGTTCCTTTTTGCCTATACTGTCCTCCTTGTGGTAATTTCTTTGTGAATATGAGCGGAGTGATCGAGTTAGGTGGTAAAAACTTACTAAGTAAAAATATAATGAAAAAATAAATGATGAATATAAGGAAATAGTGTTTTGTAGAGTGATGAAAAAGTACTTACTCTAATAACACTTCATCTATCAAGGCATCTGAATTAGTTTTCTTTTTATATTAATTTATTATCTCTGTGGGAAGCTCCAAATATCCGGTGCTAAAATAATAATAAATATGCAATAATATAATATAAAGAATATGGGAAACTGTATTTACAGCAATCAAAATAAAATATAAAGATAGTTACGTACATATGTGAGCCTTATCGTGCAAGATGCTTAATTTACTATATCACTTATTTTTGTTATTCTGTGACTCTTTGTGATTTGTATTGTAAATTGGTGGCTAAATTAATGCTGATTCTTTTACAAGTCTTATCTCCATTCTCTCCTAATTTTATCACTTTGCGTATGCCAAAATCAATTCCATTATTGTCTTCGAAATATGAGCTATTATTTTAATTATCCTACTATTCATCAGTTTAATTCTTCATTGTTAGCTACTAACATAATATAATCAAATCCAGAACCTATTTATTCGATGAAGAAAATGCTTATTGAAAATAATTATTTGTTTCATAAATAATTCTAAGCCCTTATATTCATCAGTCCAAAAACTATCAATCTATCCAAATCTTATTCATTCTCTGCTCATTTATTCTGCTAATTCTCAAACTTTAATTCATATATGCATTTATTTATCTTTTTAATTTTCCAAACCATCGTTATGACTAATTTCATATCAATCCCTTTTCCTCAATATTAATCGACTTCATTAATAGTCATCATCTTGTTCAGAATATTTCTAATCCCTTGATCTCATATTCTAAACTAAAAAGCATTAAAATTAGTTCATTAGCTCACTTCAAAGTGAAATTGCTTTGTTTCACTCTCTTAATATATAATAAACATATATTGAAGAGTTCACTCATTCTGAAGATAATATTATAGTATTCATCAAGAGAAGAGTCCAAGGCAACATAAAATGATAGATCTTAATATTATGTGAAAATGGGAAAATTCTTTTTGGATTATTTAAACACACTCAAGCATCTTATTTATGCTCTTGTCAATTCAAATTTTGTATTACAACACCTATATACAGTAATTAATAAGGTAAATTAATTTAAAATTTATATCACTTTTCATATAGAGCAAATGCTGAAATCGGTCTTGGGACATCCATTTTCAAACAAGGCTTCTTTGATTTTTTTATATTGTCACAACCTTTATAATCAGTCCTTGAAAACTATCAATATAAAAAATCAATAATTACAAGTTTTATAAAGTGCTCATCTTAAGTTAATATATTTTTCATATCACTTTTGTATGTATTACTTTCTCTCATTTTTATTGGACTAACATCATTTTATTAACCTTCTTGTACGCTTTTTCGAAAACCCAAAGATGAATTTGCATGCTAATATGTTCTAATGCTTTCTATCTAATCTTTATGTTCAATCTTTTGTTAACTAGAAATCCTAAGCTTTTTATATTATCAATCTCATACTTTTTTATCGACTTTTGAATCAGGAGACAAAATTGGATCTTTTGCTACTGGCTATCCTGGAACACTCTTTCTTACTTTTTTTTGGGCTATATCCTATCTGGGCTCTTATTAAAACACTTTTATTGAATATCTATGATTATTTTCTTATTGCATATCTGTTTATTTTTGTTGATATTTTTTCATAAAATGACCATCATTAAACATCATCAACTTAACATTAGTCTTGTTTGTTGAAGTATGAACATTTCTAAAAGGATCTATTTAGGAATCTATTCCACTAAATATTCCTTTCTTTTTTCCTGATTTTTATGCTGGAGCATCTTAATTTGCCTATTGTCCTATTAAGATTTACTTATATAATAGTATCCGTAACTTTGAAAGTTGGTGAATTCATTCTATTTTCTTTAGATTTCTTGCAAGATTCAATTAAGGCTTTTTGCATTATATGACTATTATAAAGTTTTTCTCTTTCCTATTATTAAGATTTAAGTAATTTCATAGGAGTAGTTGTTGATGGACCATCTATTCTATCTTTAGACAGAGCAGACCTAGAATTTGACTAATACATATTTAAAATAGACATAATTAATATGTTATTAAATTTTATTTTGTTACCATTCATTCTTAATTTAATCATAAAATTGAATTAGAGTATTGGATAATATTTAATTTTCAGAATAATTTATGGATATTTTCTGAGTATGCCATCAGAATAATTCTTTTCGAATTCCATATTTAAAAATGATATTTGGTTAGTTTCAATAATTTCTTCAAAGAACTTGATTATATTAACTTATCTTTACATGAATAGATATTTAAGAAGTTTTTTGATGGATATTAATTTTATTGATTAGTTAAATTAGTTTTTTATCATCTATTAAGACTTTTAGCTGCGATTTATAAGTTAAAAACAGTAGTTTTTATATAATAACAATTTTGAAGTTTTGTTGATAAAATGATTCAGTATTTTTAATTGTATCCAAGAGTAGAGTATGAATAACAATATAAGAAAAATTTTTTCAAAGTAAGAAAATAAGCAATAAAATTGATTCATTAAGAGAATTATAATTATATTTTATTTAAATATTTATAAATGGATTTTAAATCTCGATTTAGAGGAAAAATGACAGTGATGAATAAAGATGGAGTTATTGGAATAATGAATAAACCTGCTTTTCCGATTGAAACAATCAATTAATTCTATTAAGAAAATAATGATGTTTCTCCTAAAAAAAAATAAACAAATTTATTCACTGAAGAAAATGGGGAAGCAAAATCTAAAATATATACAAATATTCAAATTTCTCCAAAATAAAGAAATTAAACTAAATATTCTTAAAAAAGCTCTAATACAGAGAAATAAGTTATTAAATCTATTCAAAATGCAATTGATTAATAATCATTTATTGAGGACACAAATAAATTACAAAAAAATTTATAATTAAAAATACATCCAGATTTTAAATAGATAGATATGGATGATTATGAAATTATTGCTATTCCTAAAACTATGTTACATCAATAAATAAGTGTAGATAGATATGCACTGACTCATAGTTTAAAAAAAAAATAATTGCCTGAGTATCATTTATTGAGTATTTAGATTTTAGCATTTCTCACCAGAAGTGACTTCACAATATTCATAAAATAATTATAATTCTATATTAAAGAAACAATATACAATTAATATGACAACGATTAATCAAAAATCACTTTTTAATAAATAGAAATCTGAAAAGTTTGATAAAACTAAAGATATCATTTAATAAGCAGGACTTAGTACTCTAAGATACAAGTAAATAGTATATTTTATAATAGTTCCTAAACAAAAAGATGAATTTTATTAAATTATTAATTTATTTTTGGATTACTTAATATATTATATATCGAGCAATATGATAATAATTGTTTTTAAGATAGATTATACAATATATTTCAACCAATTAATATTTTATTGTTTGCTATTAATTTATGTTTTAAGTTTGATATTTTGGATTCTAATACATTAAATATATTAAGATTTTATATCAAATATAAATTAACAATCATCCAAATAAATTTAGAATTAATTCATAAATTTCGAATGATCTTAAATAATGTACTACAAAATTCTATTCTAACTTAGATAACAATTGTATTTTATCTCACAATCAAATTCATGCAAAGAAATAATATTTAAAAAACAAGAATAAAATAACTTTTAATCTCTAAGTATAACTTTTGTTTGATATATTTTCAAAAGATTATTTTTAATTACTCCTGAATTAATATTAATAATAAGAATTCTCCATATCCATTCTATGTTTTTATAAGCAATTCTAAAAATAATTATCTTTTTTTTGATATAAAAAAAATTACTTATTGATCTTATTAAAAATATAAATCATCAATTCTTTCTAAAATTCATGTTGATTTAATTCATTTTAAAATTTACTTTTTATGTTATTGTTTAAATTATATAGGATGTATATTTATAATCATACCTTTTCTTATTTAGTCATAATTAATTCAATTAAAATTTATTTTGTGTGTAGATGTATAAAGATAAAACAAAGATAAATTGATTCAAAAATGAAATATATATTTTCTTCTAACAATTAATTAAATTTCATAAATTAAGAAAAATCTAAAACTTTATTCAATGAAAAGCTCTATGGAACATTTCGATGCTCTTGATGAATTGGCTGATTTTCCAGAAGAATTGAATGTCAAAGCTATTCTAGAGAAGGTTAAGGCATTTTTAGTTGTAAAACAGCTAAAAGAAGATAGTTCGCCAAATTTGGTCATACCAAATCTATATATAGGGTGTTTAGGAACAGTATTGAATAAAAAAAAACTCTATGAATGTATTTAAAATGTATAAATTACAGCTTAAATAACACATATTCTAAGTGTGTGTGAGATGCCAATATTTCCATATTAAACAACAGAATTTAAATCTCTTCTCATTAATATCAATGATAGTGTAGATCAGGAAATTAAGTCAAAATTTGAAATGGCTAATGATTTCATTCATTCTGCTATCCAAAAAAATTAAAATGTACTAATTCATTGGTAATTTTACATATTAATTTAAAGTTTTGCTGGTAAATCTAGGTCTGCTTCATTTGTTATTGCTTATTTAATAAAATATCAATAAATGACACCACTTTAAGCTCTCAAACTACTTTAATCAAAGCGAAGAATTGCCTAACCTAATATGGGCTTCATGAAATAACTTGATGCTTATCATAAGGAACTCTATAGATAGCCACAGATACAAAAGGAATAAAAATAGGTAGAAGCATCTCCTGTCGAAAAAAAAGTGAAATTAAATCAATAAGAAGAAGATTTTTAGTAATAAGGTGATCAATAACTACTAAATTCATGATTATTATTCACAGAATACTTATTTTCATACATGAACTTTTAATTTTTTACTGATTGAATTATAATTTTAATTCAATAAAATTATCATAATTAAAAATAAAACCATGGGAACCATTAAATATACATATAAGAAGCTTAAATAATTATTTAATCCTCTATTTATTATTATTGCTTTACTTGTATCATTATTTTTATGAACCTAAGGATTATTAACCATTTTAGACTAAATATATATTATTAAGTTAATTTAAAACAATTTTAACACCTTTTTCTATTTAAGAAATTGATCTAGAATTTTTGAGTAATGAAATTTTTAATGTTGAAAGTAAATAATTTTTAGAATAAGTATTAATTTATAAATAAAATCTTGATAATTAGATTTAGGAAGTTCATCTTAGTGAGTTTTAGTTGAATTTTCTAATTATATTCAGAAGTTATCTTTCTATATATAGTTCATATTGATTTTAATAGAATTAGATAATATATCTAATTAGAATTTGACCTATGATTTTGTCCTTTATGCTAAATTTGATATATAATTATTTTTAATATAGCATGATATTTTTCTGTTTTCTTCATAAAAAACTTAATCAAAGTTTTAATCTGCTTATCATTTTGGTATTTTGAAAAAAAGAATAGATAAAGAAGTTGATTCAATTTTTAATTTGATTATTTAATTAGATTACAAATTGCAGAATTTACAAGATACGATTTATACTATTAAAGCAAATTTCAAAAGTGATTCAATCAAAGCAATTAAACTAAATGAATAAAAAAACCTATAACAATATGATGAATTTATGCATAAATTTACATTTATGATTAAAATATTAATCAATAAAAAGTGATTTTTTTGATAGAAATAATTATGTCTTATGATTATAAAATCAATCAAATCTGATACGTCTTAAATTTGCAGCAAGGACAGAATCATCAGCTTGGATTATTTCAAATTTTTTTTGGATGAAAGAAAATTAGATTTCTTCTAAACAATCTTAACTTGAAGAAAATTTAACATTTTTTCCTTTGTAAACTTCTTCATCAAATCCTTAGACTATAACTCCAGGAGGAATCTTTATTGATTTAACTTAACTTATTTTTTCCTAGAATTTATTTATAAATATATATTACTCTAGCAAGTGATGGAGTATCTCTACAGATTTCATATTTGGTTCCCTTGAAACCACATTCAGTATACAATTCAACACAATCTTCTTTTAATTCATAAAGTAATTAAAATTCTCTGAAACCCCAAGATTCATCATCAGCACCTTAGTCTAAAGTAGAACTTAAGACAACATTAGCAGTAGGATTAGAGTGTTCAATAATGACATCAACATTGAAGAAATAAGTCATCCAAGTACTTTATGGAGCTCCACAAATTTTAGCTTATCCTGGAGTACTAAATCCAAATGATCTTTCAAAGACAACTTTGCCATCAACAAATAATTAGAATTTTTCATCATCCCATGAATCAACTTTCCAAAATTAGAATTAGATTCTAAGTCTAGAGTGTTTAGGAAGATTGAAATTTCTTTCAGCTTTAGCTCTGGCACCAAATCTTTAATAACCACCAAAAAGTTTCTTTTAACCACAAGTTGAAAATGGATTTTAATTTTAAAATACATTTGATGGAATCCAATCTTATAATCCTTAGAAATCTTATTCATCATTAAAGAAGAATCTATTCAATGTCATCCATTTAACTAATAATTATATATATTAATTTAATTACTTCCTTCTTTACATTCACCATTCACTAAATCAAAACCTTAACCACATGAAGTACAATCAGATTTTGCTGGTCCAGTACAACCTGTACATCCTTTGAAACATTAAGCAGCAAATAATTAGAAATCTCTAACACCCCATGATTCATTTTCAGGTGGTTCATCCAATGTTGATTTCATTAAGACTTTTACTTCAGGGAATTTGTGAGGAACATTAATTTCAATATTAACTATTTTTTCAGCCCATCCTTCTCCTTATTTTGCACCTGTATCAACACCACAAAGATCAACTCCTTCATTATAAGCAAATGCTTGTCTGAATTTTTCTTAATCATCAATTTCCATTAAAAATAATTCATTATCCCAAGAATCAATCTTCCACATTTAAACCTTGACCTTAACTTAAAAGTGTGGAGGTAAATTTGTGAATCTCTTCCATAAATTAGCTTTTCTTCCTAATTTCCCAAAACCACCAAAAAGTTATACTCCTGCACATTCATTTGATTCAGCTTTTCCTTCTCCATCTAATGTCCATCCTTCTAATGAAATTTATTTATTCCAATTAGTAGCTACATTTGTCCAAAAGAAACAATTATCTGGTTTATTATCACCACATACTGCACATTCTGGATGACATCTTTAAAATGATAATTTGAAATCTCTAAATGCCCATGATTCCTATTATAATTATTATCATTATTTATACATTCAAAGCATCTTCATCCAAATTTGATGTTAATACTATACTTACAGTAGGTGAATTATGTGGAACTTCAAATTCAATATTATAAAAAGCCTCTTTCCAATCATTTGCTGCTCCACATAAATTTGCTCCCTCTGAATAATGCCATTTAGCTTGCCATATGAAACCATCAACCAAAACAAACATAATTTCATTATCCCAACTGTCAATTCTAAAGGTTTAATTATATAAATTAATTTTTACTTCCATAACTGCACATTAATCTTTAATTTATAATGTGGAGGAAGATTCAATTATTTTAATGCTGTTGCTCCTTTTCCAAAAGCTCCATAACCACCAACCAAACTGATTTTATCACATTTACTAAAGGTATTTCCTTTAAATGCTTTCTTTACAACCCAACCTAAGCATATTTATCACTCTTTACCATCCAANAATTACTTCCTTCTTTACATTCACCATTCACTAAATCAAAACCTTAACCACATGAAGTACAATCAGATTTTGCTGGTCCAGTACAACCTGTACATCCTTTGAAACATTAAGCAGCAAATAATTAGAAATCTCTAACACCCCATGATTCATTTTCAGGTGGTTCATCCAATGTTGATTTCATTAAGACTTTTACTTCAGGGAATTTGTGAGGAACATTAATTTCAATATTAACTATTTTTTCAGCCCATCCTTCTCCTTATTTTGCACCTGTATCAACACCACAAAGATCAACTCCTTCATTATAAGCAAATGCTTGTCTGAATTTTTCTTAATCATCAATTTCCATTAAAAATAATTCATTATCCCAAGAATCAATCTTCCACATTTAAACCTTGACTTTGACTTAAAAGTGAGGTGGTAAATTAGTAAATCTCTTCCATAAATTAGCTTTTCTTCCTAATTTTCCAAAACCACCAAAAAGTTATACTCCTGCACATTCATTTGATTCAGCTTTTCCTTCTCCATCTAATGTCCATCCTTCTAATGAAATTTATTTATTCCAATTAGTAGCTACATTTGTCCAAAAGAAACAATTATCTGGTTTATTATCACCACATACTGCACATTCTGGATGACATCTTTAAAATGATAATTTGAAATCTCTAAATGCCCATGATTCCTATAATAATTATTATCATTATTTATACATTCAAAGCATCTTCATCCAAATTTGATGTCAATACTATACTTACAGTAGGTGAATTATGTGGAACTTCAAATTCAATATTATAAAAAGCCTCTTTCCAATCATTAGCTGCTCCACATAAATTTGCTCCCTCTGAATAATGCCATTTAGCTTGCCATATAAAACCATCAACCAAAACAAACATAATTTCATTATCCCAACTATCTATTCTAAAGGTTTAATTATATAAATTAATTTTACTTCCATAACTGCACATTAATCTTTAATTTATAATGTGGAGGAAGATTCAATTATTTTAATGCTGTTGCTCCTTTTCCAAAAGCTCCATAACCACCAACCAAACTGATTTTATCACATTTACTAAAGGTGTTTCCTTTAAATGCCTTCTTTACAACCCAACCTAAGCATAATTATCATTCTTTACCATCCAAATCATTTATTTCTGCTGATGTAAATGCTGTGTAATGGGTTACCCAAGGATCCTGAGCTAGCAAGATTTGCACGCTCAATAAAATAAGCAGAATAGTCTTCATAATATATTTATATTAATGCTTATCAATTCTCTTTAAAAACGAATACTTTATAATTTGTATTATCGTATTATCCAATTTATAAATAATCAATCTACTTCCAATCCACTACAAACTTCTTAATAAACTTCACACCATAACATCTACTAGTTCAACCTTATATCTTCCACAAAAATCCGTTAAAACAATTCTCACATATTTAGTATGTTAAATAAATTAAATTTTGAGTAAATTAACTATAAATATGACATTTACTGTTACAATCAATTGAATAAACAATGTGTAAATTGATGGTTAAAGAAAAATAAAATGAATAAGAATAATTTTTAAAGAATTTTAATTCTAATTCATTCCAAGATTTAAGTTTGATTAAGTATTTATAATTATAATTACTTTCTCTCTAACTAATAGTATAAAATGAATATATATATGATTTTATTAACAACTTTAAAAATTTCCAAAAAAAATGAAAATTTCATAAAATCTAATTAAAAATGAATGAATCATCTAAATTATTCAACTAATTTTAACTTTATTCATTTCTAAATCCCCCTTTATTGAATTATATAAGTAAACATAAGTATAAAAAGTCATTAAGTTTCATTTTTTTAGAGTTAAAAGAAACTATATAAAGGAAAAGTAAGAGGATATATCAAAATGGTATCGGATTAATGAGAAGATGTATTTTATTAATAACTAAATTATTTACTAAATTTGAAATCATTCTTTTAGTCAATAATTTGGAATTAAATTATGGAATAAAAAGGGAGTTGAGATAGAACAAGTCTAAAAATTCAAAGAATTATATATATATATATATAGGATCATTTATATATTAAATATCAGGAGAGTTAATTATATACTGATTTATATGAATAATTATAAAGTTTTTTTAAGAGTAAGACCAATTGATTATGATTAATCTATGTTAAGTATAGATTAGAATGTTATCTCTATTAAGGTATTTGTAATGAAAATAATGGCAGGATCCAACAAATAAATAGGCAGAATGGCAATAATTTCGTTATGATAAGATTTTCCCAGCATCCTCAACATAATAAGAACTATTTGAAAGTGTGGCTAATTTTGATTATGAGAATAAGAATGGATGTATAATATCTTATGGGCAATCTGGTAGTGGTAAAAGTTATTCATTATTTGGAAATATACAAAATCCAGGAATCGTTCCTTTATTGATTTAACAGATTCTTTACAAAGGGTAGAATGTTTAAGTTTCATTTCAAGAGATTTATGTAGATTAAATAAGAGATTTAAATACAAATCTTATAACTGAAGAGTTTACTAAACGATAAATATTGTTAATCAATGATTTTTGGGAAATGATAAAAATTCTTAGAAGCACAGATATCAAAAGATAAATGAGAACTCATATTATACTTACATTAGAAATTAATTCTAATACTAAGTTGTAATTTGTAGATTTAGCAGGATCTGAGAGAGTGGCAAAAAATATAACTGAAGGAGAGAAATTTCAAGAAGCCATTTTAATTACTGCTAGTCATCAAGTACTTAATCGTTGTTTAAATTCTTTCAATTAAAATTCTAATAAAATATTACCAAAAAAGGAATCCAAATTAACATCGGTATTAATAATTGACAATAATACTTAAGTTATTTTAATTGGAGCAATTAATCCTAGTTAATCAAATTATGAAGAATGTTTATTGACATTATAATATTTAGATAGAACTAAAAATATATAGGTTTCTATTAAAAAGTAACAATCTATGTTAGGTTTTGATACTTAAATTAATGTTCAATAAGAAAAAGAAATAAAAAAATTAAAAGATGAGATAGAAGAATATAAAATTAAAGTTGAATAATTAAATATTGATAGAAAAAAGAGATTTATTGAATTATAAAGACTTTTAGGGTTAGATATTGATTTAGAAAGGCTTTCTGCTAAAAATGCAAAAGATATAACTATCTTCAAAAACTAATAAGAAGCTTTATTAAAGAATGCGAGTTTATCATAATAAATTGATGAATATCATTATGAAAATGCCCAATTAAAAAAACAACTAGAAGATTTGAAAAAGGATACACATTCTAAATTGGAAAGATATTAATAACAAATATTAGAATAAAAAGAAATTAATAAAAAATTTAAAGATCAATTATAATTATCTAAAATGAGTGGAGATGATGCACTTAGATTATTATCTTCAGATAGAGATCAATTTATTAAAAAATTACAAGATGAATCTAAAAATTTACTAGAAGATAAGGTTGCTTCTATTCTTAATCTTCCTTAAACAGCTTAAACTAAAAATGTTGAAAATCAAAAACTTCAAGAATTAAAAAAGTAAATCAAAACAGAAATTGAAAAAGAATTTAATAAAAGTTTAGAAATCATTAAAACTGAATATAATAAATCATTAGATCATTATAAATTTTAGTATGAATAAAAGTTAAATGCTAAAGTAGAAGAAATTGAAAATTTTCTTAATTAATTTAAGAAATATAGAGAAAAAAAGAAGTAAAATATCTAATATATAATTTAGATCATAAATAAATGAAATTGTTGAAGAATTATTAGATTTATATGATATTATAACAAAGTAAGGCAAGGTTATTGATAAAATTGAAACAGGAGGATATAGTGGAGGATTAAAATCATTCAGTATTCCTAAGTAAGACAAACCTAATTTACCAAATAAAGTTAAACATAAAAAGTATGAATTATGTCCTCATATTAGTTTATTCCATTTTTTAGATACAAATAGTGTGACTGCTACATTAACTAAAAAGGCATCAACTGTTGAAAAAACAATTAAAACAGCAACTAAATAATTACGATAATCATAAAGCTAAATTATATTAGAAATAGATTATAATTAATTAGATTCTATTAATTTTATGTCAATGGATTTTAGTACTGTGAGAGCATATGCTAATAAACTAAGAGAGATGATTAAAGAACTTCAAGATTAAATTACTATAAATTCAGATAAATTTAAATAATAAATAGCATAGCAATAGAGAGGTATAAATTTAAGTTTTTAGATTTCCTAAAGAACGTGATGATGCTTAATAAAAATATAATATGGAAAGCAGAAAATACAATTAAACAAGGGTTGTAATAGAATCATAAAATAGAATTTTGTAAAAGGTTAGACCACTTAGTTCAGTATAAAGGAAATAGTGACTTTGAATAAAATTTTAATGTAAAAATCTTATCATTATATACTCCAACTCATTTTAGTTTATAAAACCCTAAACTAATTCCCTCCTATTTTTCTGGCTCATCTTATAATTATTTTTTGATATTTTAATATTTCTCCTTATCATAGTTTGAAAAATCAACTATCCAACTTTAATTGATAGAAAATATTTTTAGGTTATTTAAAATAACTTTATGAAAAAGAATTCTTTTCTTATGTTAACTATTTTATCATATTAATTTTAAATTTAATCTATTTTAGTCCATAATTATTATGTAATTTCTTATTAGAAAGCTGCTAATTTTATTTGTAATAATCCTTGACGGAGTGGTTTTATATTTAGATATCAATAGAATATTTCTATTTTAATTCAAAATCATTTAACAATGAATAAAGAATATCTTATAATATTTTTCTTTTTCTCTACAATCTAAAATATATTTTTATTTCAATAACTAGGGTATCATACTAAAATGTTCTAATTCGATATTCATTTTTTAATTCTTATAATAAATTTACATGATTTATCCATAAAGCAATTTCTCAAATAAAACTATCTTTTATAATGTTTAATTATTTTTCAAGCAGTCTATCCTGTGATTATTGATTTAAGATTTTCATCAGACTATAGTTAACGATATATTCTTTTTAAAGTGTTTCTTAAGTGGATTGACATGATTTACCAACTTTTGAGTAAAATGAGTTTTAGCTTTCTTTTATATTTGAATCATTAGTAGTAGCCTATTTGATCACGATCAAAATCATTATATTCCTTACCTAATAAGTTTGTAACATTTAAAATGACAAATTGAAACTAGAATTATATTCAATCTGATTGTAGTTGCATTTATTCTTTTTGTTAGAGAAAAGAGATAATATAATCTCCACAAATTTCAAAATCTAACAGACTTAGTTTTTATTTTTTGTGATCTTTTCTAATGTCATTTTTCTAAATTAATGATCTTCTAATTTACATTTGATTATAAAATATATTTATTGTGAGTATATATATATATTTATGAAATTTGTTGTTCATGTCGAAATTTGTTTGCGGAAATGTTACTTTTACATTTTCTTAAATATATTTTTAATTAATTACCACAATCTCTTCTTAAAATTCTTTAGATAATGATTCTTTTTATTTTTCAGCCTCTAATCTAAGTCTTTATCTTTCTTTCAATTCTTTTTCTTTTTCTTATTTTAATTTTTCAACTTTATCAAGTTTTTCATCAAACATTTCTCCTTTTCTCATTCTCTCTTTTTATAAATTTTATTGTTATTCTTCAACTTATTTAAAATATGTTTATTATTTTTATTATTCTTATTTCTATCTATCACTTAATTATTTATTCAAATTATCTTATAACTAATTAATATTTATAATAATTTATACTTCTTATGAAGATTTAAATTTAGCATCTAAAGATTGACTTAACTCTTTTAACTTCTTATTTTCAATTTTTTTTTTATTTTCTAATACTTATTCAATTTAATAATTATGTTCTGATTTCTTTTTTAGTAAAAAATCTAATTATTCTTTTTAATATTCATTTTCAAATTTTGTAACTGTTTCAATAGTTTTATTAACTTGAAGTTATGATTACTATAATTATTAAATATATATCTTTACTTTTAATTATTCTAATTCAATCATTTTAGCTTGACTTAAATTTTTTTCAAACTCTATTCTTTTTTATTCAGCTTTTTATTTTAAATCTTCTTTGAATTTTAATTATTTCATAGAGATGTCTTAAAATTTATCTTTTTTTTTCAATAGCAGTTGCGAATTTCTAATTTCTTTATCTCTTAATTATTTTTCATATTCCATGAGATGTTACAACTCTCTTTATTGTTTTTATCTTAATTTTAAGAGTGGATCCATTTTTGACATAATTTAGAAACAATTATAATAAATAATAATAAATTATAATCATATAAGATGTAATTTGGCGTATTCTTTTTTTTGGATTTTCTACAAAATTATATATTTATATACTTATAATTTAAGTTATTATTCATTATGTATAGATTCTTTAATCAATTAAGTTTATATTCTTAATTTCTATTTATTCAATAATTCATTTTCTTTTAACATTCCTATTTCATGAGCCTTTTAAATTTTAGATTCATATTTTTTCAATTTTTATGTTTCTTCTTTTGATATTAATCTTTTTTACATTAATATCCATTTATCATAAGCTTCTTTACCCAATTCAATTTTAGGACTTAATTTTATAATAAATTGAAATACCGAGTATGTATAGCTTCACTTTCTTAAGATTTAAATCTTTAATGATTCTATTCATGTTTAAAAACAGAAATTTAACTAAGTCTCAGTTTTTACATTTATCTATCTGATAACATTTATAATCTCTCACAAGATTTATATAATAATTGACTTTTCTATAATTCCTTAGCTTTTAAGGATTGTTCATATTAATGAGCTCTTTAAATTTCCATGTCTTATTTATGTTTGTATAAGGATAATGAGTGCATGAGTTTAATTAATAAATGAATTAATGAAATAAATAATAACAATTTAAGTAGGATAAAGTGGAAATCAGATTGGAAATGCCATATGGAACTAAATGATGGATGATTGTGGTGAGAAATTGGATGAAAAATTTTTTAGAAAAGGGATTCCTCGAACAATATTAGTAGATAATGAAGAGAATACATTAGATAAGATAAGGGGAAATAAGAATTTATCTTATTATGATCCAAATAATTTTGTATGTGGAAAGAGTGCAAAATGTTTAACATTTGCAAGTGGTTATTATGGTTAGAATGATTTATTTGATGAGATAGTAGAAAAGGTAAGAAAAGAATAAGAATAATGTGATGGAATTTAAGCAGTATAATTAATTCATTCAATAAATGGTGGAACAGGATCTGGAATTGGAGCTAAATTAGTATATTATACAAGTGATCATTTTTGTGATTGTTCAAAAATCAACATTTCTATTTATCCATCAAAACATGAAAATAGTGTTATTTATCCATATAATTGTCTACTTGGTTTAATGCATCTCAATTATAATTATAATATGGGATTCTATTTTGATAATGATTCATTATAATAAATGACAGAGAATATGTTTATTTATGATCAAAATTACGAAACTTATAATCAATTATTGGCTTTTACTATGGATGGGATTTATAAATCATTTCGTCACAATTCCTACTCCAATACTAATTTTTATAAGATCTAAACTAATATTACTCCATTTCCTAAATTACATTGTTATACTATATCATTAGCTCCTTTATTTTCATATATTAATTCACCAAGTCTATTACAAGTAAGTAAAGAAATCTACTCTAAACGAAATCAAACCTTTTCTATGTCCTTATCTTAAGGTAAGTTTCTAGCCTAATAAATCATGATCTATGGAGATAGTGATATATTTTCTGTCCATTAAGAATTCAAATAGACTATTACTTCAGATGATATCTAATTTGTTAGATGGATTGCTGATCCAATCACTTATAGTATTTGTCCAATCAAATAAAAACAATGTGATTTAATGGCTTTTTCAATCAATCATCATACTGCTATGGGAAATAAACTTAATTTATTGTAATAATAATATAGAACTCTTTTTCAAAAGAGAGCTTATTTACATTTATTCTTATAAGATGGTCTTGATGAATTAGAACTTTAAGAAGCAGAATCTGCATGTGGAGATGTGATTTCAGAGTATTGTTGTTACAATGATTACACTGATACTACAGATGAATGATTATATTGTTTTTTTTTATTATAATTTTATAAACAAATCGAATATGTTATACTAACTCTATTCAATAAAAGTACTAATCATTATCCTATATATTCCTGTATACATTATTGAAATTAGAGTTGAAACAATAATTTTTTAACTAAGGACGTGAATCCTCATAGTTTGAGATGTAATCATCGCACTCATCATAACATTGATCTTATGAGTATTTTCATCAATCATACCTAAAATTGGTTTTATCATTGGAGTATTATATTGTATCATAGGTTTTACTGTCATATTTAACATATTCTCTCCATCTACATTTTAATTACTCATTCTCCTTTTGTTTCTCTTGTTCCTCTTTTATCCAGCTGCTGTATATGGATTAAATTTTTGATGATGCGATCTACATATTACTTTATAATACCTGCATTAAGATGGAGATCTGGTTCCTATTGTTTATGACATTAATTTAAAGATTTTATTATTCTTTCTATTTTATTGACTCTACATAGATGTATCATGATGCTACTCTAAGAACTCTACATAAATTTGATGTTCTTGACTAGTCCAATGGCCTTGATTTTTCATTGCATTTTACTCTTATTCTTTATTAATTTTCTTTTTTGTCCCCTCTGTCTTCTTACTTCCTTCCTATAAATATATATATACAATCAAATTACTTTTTAACTAAAACCCACTTCACTTTGACTGTTTGTCCTTTGACTACTGTTAGTCTCACTAACCTCATTTTTTTAGCCATATTGATTTTCCAAAGGATGAGATGAATAAGAAGGTAAGTTTAAGACACAGTTGTCTTTCATTTAAGGTATTAAAATAATTATTATATTCCCATCTACATATCACACTCATAAGTCCGAATTCACTATAATTTTTTCATATACCCCCTTACATCTTTAATGTTTATATTTAATAATTTGTAATTATTATTATAATTATTTTTACATTATTTTATATCAATCTATTTAAACATTATAATTCTAATTTTTCCATATTCTAATAGAATAATTTCATAATTATTTCACTTAATCATTCTTATATTAATTTCAAAACCCTATTCATTTAATTAAAGAGAACAAAATCAAATAATAATTAATAATAGAACCAAATAATACTTAAAAGATATATTATTTATTTTATTTTTCTTATCTTTCAAAAATATAACAAACTGCTTTTTTGTGATTATAGATAATATATTAAAATATAGATTTATAAATTTTAATTTTATAATTAAGATTTAATTCTTGGTTATGTTTAAAAGAATAGAATTAAAATAAAATTATTTGATCCTTGATAAAATTTTGATTTGTTTTACAAGAATATCAAATTAAAAAATAATCAAGATTATCAGTCAATATTCCAATTTATCTTATTAATGTGATAAAAAACAAATGATATATATTTTTTATTATTTGATTATCATTATAATTATAATTATGAATTCCATTTTCTAATTTAATATCTTTTAGAGTTATTATAATAAAATACATATTATAATTATAAAAAAAAATTTGGAAATTTAATATATTAAAATACACAAGTGTTGTAAACAATCAGAATCTCAATGACTTCTCACTCTTCACAGCTCCAAACTTTTCATTCAATAAGCTCTTAATTTTAGTATAGTCATTGTAACTCCATGATTTCTTGGTGTCTTTTTCATTCAACATCTTAAGTGCCTATATGAAATATAAATTTAATTATTATACTTATCCCCATGTTACAAATCTACCTTTGACTCTTAATCTTTCTTCAGCAACCTTTTATCTTATATGATAATGAACTTTCTTTTCATAAGTTCTATTATGTTTCTTTTCTAGATATCGCTTTACTTTTTATTTTCTTGCCATTTCTTTAAGTGATTCATGATTAGTTGATGTACATAATTGTTCAACCCAATCTTCAAACTTTAATGTTTCTTCATCATTTAGAATATCATCACATAATCCAACTTTGATTCTCAATAAATCATCTCCTTTAACATAGTTTGAAACAAATTCATCCTATTTTTGAGAAGGTGTGAAACGCATATTCAATTCATCTAGATGATTATCGACGTTAGAAGGAGCAGGCAAATTCTTGGGGTATGAATATTTCTTTTAATTTTCACGTTAGAGCATATCAGCCAATCTTTCTAAATCTCCCATAGGTTGTAATTCTGATTGTTCTGCTGTAGTGCATTCCAATTAAAGACATACTTTTTTTTTTGGATCTTCATCAAGATTGAATTCATCAAAACTAATTGCCTTTGGTCTTTTGAAATGTGATAACTATTAAGGTGAAAAAACAGGGAATTGAATCTCCTCTTATAATTCTTCCTACTAAAACAATAATAAACATAATATATTACTTATTCATTATCTGCCATATAATGAGGTTCACTATAAGTAAAGGAGTTGTCCTTCTCTATTTCTAATTTCTCATCCTTATCAAATACTATATCACTTAACTCTTTTTGAGTATTCATTTTATGCACAAGATTTTATTTTGGTTTAAAAATCTTTTTATTTATATCCAAATTTAATATAAACCTATAAGTATTAGTTTCTTCCAATATATTTAGAATGCTTCAAATTTACAATTCTCCTTTTTTTAAATTAAATAAATAGAACTAACCTAACAAGCTAATTCTTTGAAAGAATTTTAAATTTATTTCTTAAATTCTAATAACTTTTATGATTGAATTTAATAATACTATCAAATATGAATATCACAATGTTTACAAGATTTCATTATTATATAATTGTAATTGTAAAATTGATAAATACAATATTATTCATTTTACAAATATTATAAATCATAGAGATTTTTTTAATTTATTGAATTAGATTATGATGTATATTATTTTTGAAGGATTATATTAATTTTATTATTATTATATAAATAATGTATTAAGACGCCAGTTACTATTCATAATCTTAGTAGAAATAATCAGTAAAGAATAATTCAATGAAAGTTGCTCGATAATGGTAGATAAATGATTAAAAAGCAGAAAAAAATGGATTACATAAAGCAATTTATTGGGTAAAAAGTTAAACAAAGAATGAAGATGGAACTTAAAAATAAGAGAGATGGGTGGCTGATTAAAAATATGTTGGTGATTGGAATCAAAATAAAAAGTGTGGGTTTGGTGTATAATATTATGGAAATGGTGATAAATATGAAGGAGGATGGTTTGATAATCAAAGAAATGGATAAGGTACATATTGGGTTAGTGAAGGAAAAAATAAGTATAGACATTCCAATTTATTATTGTAGAATGAGAAGAGAATATACAGGTGATTGGGTGAATGATAAGAAAACAGGAAAAGGAACTATGTTTTATTAGAATGGAAATAGATATGATGGTGTATGGTAAGATGATAAATCTCATGGAGAAGGACGTATGATTTATGCAAATGGTGATGTTTATGAAGGTTCATGGTTTAAGGGTTTAAGAAGTGGTTATGGAGTTTTAACTAAAAGAAATGGTGATCATTTTGAAGGTTATTGGGTAAACGATAAAAGAGTAATTATTATATATATTATTATTTATATAGGAAGGTCAAGGATCTTATTTCTTTGCCACAAAAAATCAAGTATTTGTTGGAGAATGGGTAGATGATATGCCCAAAACTGGAGTGTATTCTGAAGTAGAAGATCCTTACACAGTGAAAGAGGAAAGGGAAAAGCATTTTATGGATCCTTATGTATTGCCTGATATTCCTAAAGTTGAATTGTAAGATCCTACCAATGTTCTTAAAGAATCTATGGAATTGGCTAGAAAGGAGAGAATTATTTATAGAGCCATACATATTCCATTAGATGAAATGTATTCTAAATAAGAGATGGAAGACTTAGCTTTATAATTTGAGTCTGCCTCTAATTAGGAACATAAAATTACATTAATTAATAGCAAAGCTATATTTTAAAGCATGGGTTTTGATATTGAAGGTAGTTATGTCGTTTTATCTTAGAAAAAATACTTTAAAGTTATTTAAAACATTTACAATAAGACAAATATAATGAATTTGAAATAGAGTTGGAAACATTTATGAGATTAGTAGCAATAATATTAGAAAGTCAAGGTTATGATCAATCAGAAATAAATATTTGATATAGATTATTATTAGTATTAATTTTTATAGAATAAATTACTAAAGGAAGTAAAAATTTTCTATTTTTCTGTTTATCAATTAAAAAACCTAAAATTTGACTCAAAATTATTTATAAATTCATTCTTTAAATCTATTTAAGAAACGTCAAATTGAAAGGAGGTTAGTTACAATTTCAATAAATTCTTAGTTAAATATTATTAATCTATTTCAATACGATTTATTTCAATTATTATTAATAATTTAAATTAGAGTGTTGATATAAATATTTTTGGACAGTAAGGTTTATCCTAATAATAAGGTTATCTTAAATTTATTATGTAAATTTGATAGTGAATTTTAACTATAAAAATGAAATAGATACTTTAAAAAGTGAATACATGATTTAATTCTGAATCTAATAATTTAATAAGACCTTTTGTTAATTAATTATAGTTATATATAGTATATTATTTAATTCATCCACATAAAAATTGCTTTGTTCCAATAAGTTTTGTGCATTTCGAACATCTATGTTGTGCATCTTTGCATCCATCTAAAACACAGGGTAAGATAGCTAATGCAGCTGTTATGATAAATGCTATTAAAATTATCATAATTATATAACTACACCTACCCATTTCAAATAAAATATCAGTTTCGACAACTTAATTGCATTTAGTACACAATAATCTTTCTTTATTTCTTGATTAAGGTACTTTAGGATATTCAGCATCTTCTTCTATTTATTTATTTCCTATAGATAATTCCACTTAGTTTTGTTTAACTATTTATTAAAACCCCTAAGATTGACCACAACTTGTTTATTAATTTTGCTAATCATAATCGATCATAAGATTGGAAATAATTTAATATTTAAATAAAATATTTAGAGATCAATTCAAGTGTCAAATTTTCTAGAGTTTATTTCAAGTTAATCAATAATTATTGAATAAATACAAAATACTATAGTATAATCTGAAGAATTTCTATCATTAAAAAGGATCAAACAGAAATAAGATTTTATTGATAAAAATTTATAAATAATATTAATTAATTCATTCAATAATATTTAATTCAAAACCTACTTCCTAACCGATAATAAAAACTTTTTCATAGATTTTAAAATCATTAAACTTTTCAATTATTAATGAATATTATAATAACCGTTAATAAAATGAATAATTTTAAAGTCTCTAGAAATATGATACATTATGAATTTTTGTTGTTTTTTAACTTCAAACTGTTTATAAATCTAAATTACGATTCTTTACTAACTGTAAATTTTGAAGTAAAAATATTTGTGAGATATTTTACTTAATATACATCCATATATAATTACATTATAATAAATTTAAATGCTTACTTAAATTATTTGTTGAAATAAAACAAGAAATTTGAAATGAATAAATTATATGACTTATTCTTCATAGAAAATCAAAAATATCAATAAGAAAATCAATTAATTAATATAAAAATAGATATTTATGAAGGAACTTAATTATTAATTATATAAATAAAATAATTGATTCATATTTTTATTCTAATGACTTCATTTCTTCGCATTATAAAATATTATTCAACAATAAGAGGATGATTTTATGATATAAGATAACAGTAGCATGTATCTTAATCATATATAAATCACTATTTATCGTAATTGTATTAATATGATTCTATTGCTAAATTAGAATTATCTATTATTTTAATTATTCAAAATTATCTAATTCTTCTCAATTACTAATTCTAATATAAAAATCTTTAGAATTTTAGCTTAAACATTATATAGTCATATTTGAAAATTCTATGATTCTTTAGAGTAAAAAGTTATTTGGAAATTAATTTTATCATTAATATATTATATTATTGCATAAAAATAATATTTAATTAATTTTGACATGAGTATTATATAAAGATATGTTAAAATGAATAAACAACTTTTGTTTAACTAATAAATAATAATCATTAATTAAATTGTAAAATGTAGATTTAAATTCAAGTATCAAAAAATGATATATAACATAATTTTTATGCTAATAATGTATAGAAAGATTAATTTGATTAAAATAAATATTTATTTAATAATCTCTTATTAAGGTTGTATTTTATTAATATTATAATAATTAAGTTTTTTTTAATATTAAAAAATTTGCAATTAAAAAAGAACTTCAATTACTAATATTGATTATGATATACTATAACAATATTAATATTTTGTTTATTTATTCTAATTGAATTAAAAGATGCTTTTTCTTTTATATTCTAATGATACAAAGATTTTCATAAAATGTATTGATTATATTAATTATGTATAGATATTTGTAATATATATATTTATTTATTATTAATGGGCTGTTGCATGAAGGGGAAGGCTCATGTAGCAGCGAGTTCCATAAATCCAACTCTGAGATAGACTAGGAAATTTGAATCTCAACGTTCTAGAGTGGATGAAATGAAGTCTGAAGTGTTTGAGAAAACTATGTATGGGAATGAAGATAACTATTATGATGCTGATGAATTAACTTGCATCGATCGCAATTAACTATTAAGTCTTATTAAAAGTGAGCCAAAAAAGATTCGTTGGACTCCTGGATAAGTAATTGGTTAAGGGTCTTTTGGAAGAGTAATAGAGGCTATGAATCTAGATACTGGATAATTGATGGCAGTTAAATAAGTGATGGTTGATATTCGAAATGAAGATCGTATAATAGCACTTGAGATAGAAATTGATTTACTTTCTTTAATCAAACACNCGTAATTGTATTAATATGATTCTATTGCTAAATTAGAATTATCTATTATTTTAATTATTCAAAATTATCTAATTCTTCTCAATTACTAATTCTAATATAAAAATCTTTAGAATTTTAGCTTAAACATTATATAGTCATATTTGAAAATTCTATGATTCTTTAGAGTAAAAAGTTATTTGGAAATTAATTTTATCATTAATATATTATATTATTGCATAAAAATAATATTTAATTAATTTTGACATGAGTATTATATAAAGATATGTTAAAATGAATAAACAACTTTTGTTTAACTAATAAATAATAATCATTAATTAAATTGTAAAATGTAGATTTAAATTCAAGTATCAAAAAATGATATATAACATAATTTTTATGCTAATAATGTATAGAAAGATTAATTTGATTAAAATAAATATTTATTTAATAATCTCTTATTAAGGTTGTATTTTATTAATATTATAATAATTAAGTTTTTTTTAATATTAAAAAATTTGCAATTAAAAAAGAACTTCAATTACTAATATTGATTATGATATACTATAACAATATTAATATTTTGTTTATTTATTCTAATTGAATTAAAAGATGCTTTTTCTTTTATATTCTAATGATACAAAGATTTTCATAAAATGTATTGATTATATTAATTATGTATAGATATTTGTAATATATATATTTATTTATTATTAATGGGCTGTTGCATGAAGGGGAAGGCTCATGTAGCAGCGAGTTCCATAAATCCAACTCTGAGATAGACTAGGAAATTTGAATCTCAACGTTCTAGAGTGGATGAAATGAAGTCTGAAGTGTTTGAGAAAACTATGTATGGGAATGAAGATAACTATTATGATGCTGATGAATTAACTTGCATCGATCGCAATTAACTATTAAGTCTTATTAAAAGTGAGCCAAAAAAGATTCGTTGGACTCCTGGATAAGTAATTGGTTAAGGGTCTTTTGGAAGAGTAATAGAGGCTATGAATCTAGATACTGGATAATTGATGGCAGTTAAATAAGTGATGGTTGATATTCGAAATGAAGATCGTATAATAGCACTTGAGATAGAAATTGATTTACTTTCTTTAATCAAACACAAAAACATAGTTTCTTATTATGGAATGGAAAGAACAGATAAGACTTTAAATATCTTTCTTGAGAGAGTTGCAGGTGGATCCTTAAGTTCAATGCTCTAGAAATTTGGTTCATTTTAGGAATCTTTAATTAAAGTTTATATGCGTCAAATTTTGTTGGGATTGGAATATTTACATTAAAATGGCATAATGCATAGAGATATTAAGGGTGCAAATGTACTTGTTGATAATTAAGGAGTTTGCAAATTAGCTGACTTTGGAAGCAGTAAGAAGATTGCATTAAATAGTGATAGCACTATATTTGGAACTCCTAATTTTATGGCTCCTGAAGTTGTACAATAATAAAAATCTGGGAGGAAAGCTGATATTTGGAGTTTAGGATGTACCATGATAGAATTGGCAACAGGTAAGCCACCATGGCATTAATTAACAAATTAATTTGCGGTTATGATAAAGATAGGTAAAGGTGAGATACCATAAATACCAGAAGGATTTTCAGAAGAAGCCAAAAGTTTTGTTTCACATTGTTTAGAGTAATTTTAGGGAGTAAATATATTATTAGGGTTGATGAACGAAAACGTTGGAATGCTACTAAATTATTAAAACATCCATTTCTGATTCAATAGAATAAACTCGAAATTCCTTAAGGAAAAATTCCTTTACGTAATACACCTGGGAGTAAATCTAAATAAAAATAGCGATCATTCAAATATCCAGAATAGGAAACTTCTCATTCTCCTGGTTAATTGAAAGAATTTGAATAATAACATTCAGAAAATCTTTAACCCATGAATGACAGTTCCTTTGTTCTTAAATAGAAAAGGTAATAGGAATGATAAAAGCTACTTTGTATTTTAATTAATTGTTGATTAAAATTATAATCTTAATAATAAATTAAATTATTGTAATTCCTGTTTTTATTATTTCTTCAGATATTATGCTGATAAAATAGAAATATATAAATTGTCTTATCTATTAAATTGAGTATTATAATATATTGATAGATAAAAAATTTATATGTTATCAAAAAGAATAGGAGTTAAAAGTATTTAATATATTAAGATTAGTAGAATTTAAATTGTTGTTTTCATTTAATCTAATTGTTAAACTATTATATAATTTATTTATAAGTACAATTTTTGATTGATGTATGTTTTGACATTGTCTATATCTATATAATTTTGATATATTATATTATTTTATTGTTATATGGAAATTGGTTATGGTAATTTAATTGTGTTCAAAATATTAATAATCTGTTATAAAAAGGAAAAAACATGATTTGATTATTACAAATCATTATTAGTTTAAATAAAGAATGAGGCTTATTACCAATGTTTTTTTGTTATAGATGATTATTAATATTATTATAAATGTAACCATAATCTAAATAATCATAAAAAGAAGATGAACACTGTTAAGTGGAAGATCACATCTTGAGAAAATTTGAACTACTTGAACTCAAAGGAAAAGGAGCTTATGGAGTTGTTTGGAAGGCAGTTGATCGTAAAACAAAATAGGTTGTTGCATTGAAGAAAGTACTTTAAGTTATAATATAATAGATATTTGATGCATTTCATAATGCAACAGATTCACAAAGGACTTTTCGTGAAGTTATTTTCTTAGAATAATTAGTAAATCATGAAAACATCATTAAATTAAACTCTGTTATTAAAGCAGAAAATAATAAAGATCTGTATATGGTATTTGAATTTATGGAAACAGATCTACATAAAGTATTGACATTTAATAATAATATTAGGTTATAAGAGCAAATATCTTGGAGCGTATTCATAAAAAATATATAATATACTAAATACTCAAAGGACTCAAATATCTTCATTCTGGTGAACTTATACATCGAGACTTGAAGCCTTCCAATTTGTTAATCAATTCAGAATGCAAAGTCAAAGTTGCTGACTTTGGTTTGGCAAGAAGTGTTGCTAAACCAGATGATAATAGTAAGTGTTGTTACTATAACATTACTTAGGCCAACCAATTCTTACTGAATATGTTGCTACTAGATGGTATAGGGCTCCTGAGATTTTGTTGGGTTCCTAAAATTATTCTAAAGCAGTTGATATGTGGAGTTTGGGTTGTATCTTGGGTGAAATGATAATAGGGAAGGCTGTATTTCCTGGAACTTCAACAATAAATTAAATAGAAAGGATTATAGAGTTGATTGGTAAACCCAGATAAGATGAATTGGATGCTTTACAAGCTCCTCTTGCTGAGTAAGTAATTTCAAGTATTGCTAATTAAAAGAAGAAAAGCATAAAATAATTATTTGCTTCAGGTCAAGATGATGATGCTATTGATTTCATTAGGTAATGAAATGAATTTAAAAGTAGGAAAACTCTGATTTATAATCCATATAAAAGATTGACAGTAGAGTAAGCATTAAATCATCCTTATGTAAAAGAATTTAAAGGGACTGAAGATGAAATCTCTAGAGGTATTACTAATTTAGACATATCTTAGATAGTGCTATTGAAGCTTTAATGGATGATAATCATAAATATACAGTAAAAGATTATAGAGATGCTCTTTATTCTCATATAACTTAAAAGAAGAAGTTGGAACACTAAATTGTGATTCGTAATTTAAAAAATGTTCCTGTTAATATAAGCTCTGAGAAATCTACATCACCTACTAAAAAGGATTCCTCTATTAAAAAAAGTAAGGATTCAGAACCATCTAATACTGATATTAGTGATAACAAATAATATGAATCATAACATATAAATCGAACTATTCATCATAAAACTCCATCTTATACTTAATAAATACGAAAAAATACATCATCACAAGAACATATATATCATAATGAACCTTAAAATTAATTCAATTATTAAAGTCCTAATATGATGATGTAGAAAAAACAATCATAATCAATTTTCCCTAATGTTGATAGTGGTAGTCCATTAAAATAAATTCCTAGAAAATAATCAATGTAAAATATTTAAAATAGTGTCTCGACTGTTTTATAAAATACAATATCATAAAACCTATAAAATCAAAGTTCTTTTTAGGTCTCTCAACATTAACTCTCAAGAAAAGGTTCATAAGGTAGTATTTAGAAATCATCCTCGACAAAAATGATAGCAACTAATTATAACTCAATATTTTAACAATTAAGTAAAATCAGAAAATGATTATTTATACAAATATCATAACATTAAATATTATATTATTTAAAGTAAAATTTTACTATTATAAAATCTAATAAATTTCTTTTTTATAATTAATTTATCACCATTATCAAAAAAATCCACCAGACTTTATTTCAGTTCCTTAAAGATTCGATTTTTGTGATTAAGCTATTGATTTAGGTCCAGATTTATTAGATTTAGAGGCTGATTTTTATGATTTCTCACTTCCTTATCTATATACTTATGGAAATCTCACTTTCCCTTAAGAATCATTTCGATTTTAAACATTATCTTTAAAATCAATTCCTTCAGGAATACTTACTTCATGAATAGGAGCATCTGAACCTGACTTTGTCATTTGAACCTTATCCCAAGAATTTAGAGGAGGTTTAGGTGGTAATGCCTTAACAATATGATCAATTTCAGGTTTTTCTAAAGTAATAATATCGAATTCTATTTGTAAATTATATAAAATTACCTTTATCATATTTTTTAATTAAATCATCATATTTATGTCTTTTTATTAATCTATCTTAAGTTCTCATTTGATCTTATAGATCTCTTTCTCTATATTCATTTTCTAAAACATGTCTTATTTCATAACGCTTTTTATGATTTCTATTGATTTCATCAATCATTTTAATTTCTTCTGGAATTTCTTTTGTTTAATCTAAATAAACTGATTCTCTAAATTTCCAAGAGGGTGGAAATCTATCATTAAAATGTTTACCATGATTTAATTAGTCTTATTTTAATTTTCTATTTTATATATTAATAATTACTATTAAAATTCTTATTCTTTTTCATCACTATAATATGTTCCTGCAACAATATCATAGTTTCTAACTCTTTTACATTTATCATTAATATCAGACATAATAGCAGTCTCTTATTCTTAAGCTTTTAATTCATGATTATCCAAAAACCTAAATAATTATAAATAAATTTTGGAACTTGTTTGTAATAATATTGAAATCTCTCTTATTTCTATTAATGACTGGTTTCTCATGTACTTTTTTCTAAACTACAACTTTCATATTTTTATAGTATTCTTCACTCTTTTTTTCATTTGTAATTATATTATAATCATTAAAATTGGGTGGTAACTAACATATAATAAAAATTGTATACTAAACATTATTTGACTTTCTCTCTTTCATCTAATCTCTCTATTCCTTAAATTTACTCTAAATTAACTAAATCATATTCATGCATATATTTCTTAACCATTTCCTTATAAAATCTAAAATCATAATACCATTTTCTTTTATGCCAATGTAGATGTCTTCTAAAAATCTTTTTCTTTCTCTTTTAAATCTCTTTCTGGATTTTAATAATTCTATAAAACAGGATTGAATTCTGTCTGTTTCAATTTCATTTCTTTTTATGTATAGATCTTTGGTTTCTAAAAATCTACTTTTTGTTTTCTATTCCCTTGATATCTATAATTAAGATGAAATCTTACTCTTTCAATTCGTCTGCCCATGCTTTAGTGTCAGCTGGATCAATATACATTAAGCAGTTATTAAATTATTACTTAATAAGATAAATATATATATAATCTCTATTGTTATTACTTCATATAGATATTTGATCTAAAAAACAAAAGATAAAATCATAATTAAAACACATTCATTAATTTTTATAAATGTCATAAGATGATAAAAAAATAGATTTCATTCCTGTTCCAAAAAAAAATTAACTTATAGTTCCATATGATTTTAAGAAAGAAAAATACGATTTAACAGAAAATGATCTCAATATACTGCTTAAGTATTTTAAAGAGTATTACTATATACACTATATAAGTATAACAATATTGAAATAAATGCGTAAAGATCTATCTGAATCAAAGAGTTTGAATCCATACAAAAATTCTTTTAAAAAAGTTCTAATTTAATATCATATTTTAGATTGCTTTGAAAATTCTATTATAATTCTTGTGTCTTTTGATTCTTTTGCTATTTATTTATTTGTGGATTGGTTTGTTTATTGTAGTTTTAGCAGATCCTATTATTATGACCCTTTATAGTTATTTAGTAATTTACTTAATTTGGTACAAAGGAATAAGGCTTGGTATTGAAATGATATTAGATTATGGAAAGTCTATGCCTTTATAAAAATATCTAAAATCTATGAATAAGAAATATTTTGGTAGTAAAGGAATTTAATGGAATGTTGGAGGAGGAGGCAAATGGATATAAGTAGATTATTTAATACACTTAAAAAAATGAAAATAATATATCTAGAAACTCATTTCTATTTTATAATACAATCTAAACCATTATTCAACATAATTAATTTTAAGCTAAACAAATTTATATTTCAAACATAATAATACATTCAAAGTATCTATTCACATAATTAATGTTTCTTTTAATTATTTCTTTTTTACACTTTATTCATAATTCTACATTCTCCACCATTTTAATAATACTTATTTGAATTTCCATTAAATACTCTTCCTATAGATTCTCCTGATATACCCCTTCTTCTTGCTTCCTTAGTAGCTTATATTGCATCTCTAATAGTATCTGTACTCCTCAAATGAGGTAATAATTAAAGTGCTTCTTATTTAATTTTATTATGGAATTTGTTCTTTCTCTCATATTAATTTGTCTTACATTCTTTTTAATCCATTTATTATTATTATTATTAATAGTTTATACAAAAAGAATTAATAAATAATATAGAAATATTATTAATTTAAATGAGTATTATATATAATCTCTTTTATTTTTTAGTTGAATTATTTATTTATGAACCATTTTTAAATCATTTCCTTATAAATATTTATTAAATTAATAGTTGTATTTATAAAAATGATTTAATCATATAGATTTCCTACAAAAAGGACATGTATTGTTAATATTAATCCAAGACTGAAAATTGAATATAATTTAAATACCATAATACAGGTTTCATGATAATGATGCAATTTGGAACATTTTAAAACAACTACTTCTTCATTTAATTCATATGGACATCTACAAATACAACATTCTTATTCTCCTTCTATTTGGTTTGGTTTATATTTAATTGGTTATAATCGTGTTCTAATTTCATTTCTTTGTTATTATTTACTAAATCTATTAAATATAATAAATATAATTACAAATTTGCACAATAATAACAACTAAGGATAATTAAAAATGGGGAACCTAGTATTGCAAAAATTAATATTAGATATAAATCAATATATTGATATAATGAGATTACAAGGATTGTACATAAAAAGTAATATTAATACATTAAGTCTTATGATTTTATACTGTAATATATACAAAATAAGTATACACCATAACCAAATATTAGTTAGTATATTATTGCAATTATTCTACAACACCATTTGCCAAAGATTGTTAATTTCACTATTTCTAATTTTATTTATCTTGATAATATATTTAATTTCCTTTATTCAATTATTTATTCTACTATTGGAGCAGCTACAATTTAATCTAATTTAAATGCCAATATTCTTTTATTCATTGTTAAATATTTTAAGTGATTCTTATGGATAATAATCATAATAAATGCATGAAACATTATTGCAAGAATCCAATAATTCATATAATTTTATTCATGATTCATATACAATAATGAAAATCCACATCCAATTTTCAAACAATTGAATAAAATAAAATAATATTAAGAGGTCCTAAAATGACACACTGCCTCTTTATAAATAGGAGTTTCTAAATACATTTATTAATCCTACTCTTCATTTTGATTCACTTCTCTATAATCACTATTCATTTTATATTATATTTTTAAAACGAATTTCTTCAAATATAATACAATATTAAACTTAGAAACATTTCAATTTTATATTTCATGTATTATCTCTTTAATAAACTATCTTTAAATTTATTTTTATATTTACCATCATACTAGTTATATAAAAATAAAAGTGAAAATAGTATTATTAATAATTTTATAAAAATTTAACAATTGTACTTTTATTGATCGACAAAATATAAAAATTACAAATTTAATGAACTCAATTATGACGTTATGATGTTGAATTTTAAAGAAAATGCAGAATATTGTTTGTTTAATAAATTAATTATTAATTGGAAATAAGAATGTCAGCAAGACTATTAACAGCAGCCTTTAGAGGAATTAACATACAAACATATCCAGCTTCAATTTATACACTATCTACACATAATCAATAATAATAACTAGTCAAAGTTATAATACCTAAAAATCTTTTTGAAATGCCTGTAGTTCACTATACTGATTAATCTATAGCTATACTTGATAAGAAACCTAATTCTAAATGAATATATATATTTATATATATAATATACTAACCTTTTAAGAATTACTATTTTCCATAAAAAACAAATTTTATAATAAAATAGTTATTCAAGAAGAAAATCAGATATTTGGAATCATAATTCAACCTTTATATATTAATTGTTAATCATTTAAAGAATCAGAAAATTAAGACTTATTATATAAACCATTATAGTAATTAAAGTAGATGTTGTCAATATATCTATAGCCTTTAAAATTGATTCAAATTCTTATTATAAATAGAAATATTATAGATTTCAAAAATTATTAGAATGATTAACAAACAAAACTGATAAATAATTATAAATTAATTCTTTAATTCAATAATATTAATTTAAATTAAAGGTATTTAATTAATATAATAATTGATTAGACTTAAATGGTCTACTTTTTTGTATATTTTACTTTTTGATTCAAATCGAATAATCTATTATATGATTTTTAGAAATTAAATTTAATAGAGTTATATTATTTTCTTATTAAATATTTGCCTTACTATTTTAATTATTATATAGATGTAATAGAAAAACTATATATAAACAAATAAGAAAATTACATATGTAATAGAGGAATTGTTAGGAAGTGGGACAGGTGGATATGTTTATAGAGCATATAACGACACAAATTTAAGGAAAGAATATGTTGCTTTGAAAGTTTAAAATTTTTTGGATTAATCAGAAAAATAAACTTTAGAAACACTTAAAGGAAAAAAATTGAATCACGTTGTGAATGTATTGGATTTAGATTCTTATAATAATTAAATTATCATTATAATGGATTTAGCTAATGGATCCTTTCATGAATTTTGGAGAAACTCAAATATATAAGATGTATAAGAAATTTTACACTATTTTCTTTAAGTAATTATTTAATAAAAATTTTAAGATTGTTATAGGAACATAAGAATTACATAGTTTATCTTTAATTCATCGAGATTTAAAATTAGAAAATGTAGTTTATATGGAAGTAAATAATAAAATGCATTTAAAATTATGTGATACTGGATTAATGAGATAAAAGGATGGGAGGAAAACAGTCCGTGTAGGTACACCATATTACATGCCACCTGAATAAATCAATTAATTTATTTATGATGAAAAGGTTGATATTTGGGCATTAGGAATGTTACTATATGAAATGTTAGCCAAAACACCTATGGTGAATGGTAATAATTAATATTTAATTTATAAGGAAATAGTATTGAAGATTTATTACAAAAGATAATAAATATAAAATAAGCTTACATTAATTCTCAGATAGATTTTCTACCTATTCCAAATCAAGAATATTCATAGGAAATTAAAATTTTATTAAAATAGATGATAAATATTACAAGTAGTTAAAGAATAAAAGCAGAAGTGATAGTATAAAAATTGAAATTAATTCTGAAAATTAATAACAGTTAATAGAATAATGATAATTAAAGTCCTAATAGTTAAATTGACTCTACTATTAAAGAATAAATTAGATTAGAAATTTAAAAAGAACTTGAATAAAAGTAAAAAGAAGAGTTTGAAAAATTAAAAGAATAACAAACTTAAGAATTAGAGTAACAAAAAGTTGATATAATGGAATCCTATCAAAAATAAATGAGAGATGAAATATTAAAAATTTAAAAAGAATGTGAAGAGTAATTAAGAATTAAATTTGAATTAGATCTAAAAAACAATGAGTAAAAATTATAATAATAACATAATTAATAATTAATAGAATTGAATGAGAAGCAATAAGAAGAACTTAAAAATAATCAAGCTATAGAAATGTAAAATTTGAGAAAATAAATGGAATATGAATATTAATAAAATTTAGAAAAACAAATAACATAAAAAGAATAAATTATTTAAAAAAATATGGAAGACTAGATACAAATGTAATTAAAAAATAAAGAATAATTTCTTAAAATCTAACTTTAAGAATAATTATAAAAATATTATTAATAAGAATTTGAATAAAAATCAAGGGATTTTGCAAAATTCTAAAATCTAATGTTAAATATTCAACAAAATATAATAAAAAATAAAATGCTAATTGAGGAGTAATTAAAATAATTATAATAATAATAATAATAATAACGTAATCCATCCATAAAATATCTAAAATATAATTAAACCTTTTAAACTTAGTTATAAAATAAATTAAATTAATTATAATTATTAAGTTAATAACTACCTTAAGTTAATATAAATTTTAATTAATAATAAACTAAATACTGTAATTAAGTTGATGAAAATCTTAAAAAATTAACTTAAATTATAAATAGTTAATAAGATATTTTGAATGTTGAGAATATTGAAAATTTTATTAAAGATATCAATAATTAACTCAAATAAATAAAGGATGACTAATAAAAGTAATCTATAGAATAAGAATAACAAGAATATATGGGCATATAAATAGATTCTGAAGATTTTATTGAAAAATTATAAAATAGCACTTAAAATTTAGAATTAAAATTATAAACACTTAATATAGATTTTGATCTTTTATTAAAAAAAGATAATGAACTATTCGAATAATAGTAGAGTGTAAATAAATAATTTTATTAAATTTAAGTAGAATTTAAACTTCTTTAAGAGAGTGTAGAGATTTCAAAAAAAGTATAAACTCAACTTCATGAAGTTAAAAAAATAAATAAATAACTATCAAATTTGATGGATAAACTTTCTAGATTTGAATAAATTTTATAATTTTGCATGAATTAGATTTCTGAATAAAGAGAATAGGATTTATAGTTAATTATATAAAATCTAAATGTGTTTATCCAAAATATAAATATATGGGAATAAAAAATAGATTATTATAATCAGAAAGAAATAGATAATGAATAAAAGGAAGAGTAAGAAATGCTTTAAGAATTAAACAGGTAGTTATAAACTTCAATCTAAATCAGAAATAAATTAATATTATTAATAGAATAATTAAAATCTGATAAAAATTAGAATTTATATAAAATATTTACATCTATTGAATAAGAAGTTAATATTTCTATTTATACATTGTAATCAGCTGATAATACTTATGAAAATTTTTTAAAAAAACAATAATAATAAATTATACAAAAACAATTAATTTATTAAAAGCATTAAAAAATAACAATTGATTTAATAGAATAAACAGACTCTTTAAAAAAAACTCTGGATAATTTAGAAAATTAAAACTAACGTATGTAGAATATGAGTAAAGATGAAGAAAGCCTTTCCAATATAATGAAAGAATTAGAAAGAAATAAAACTATTATTTTAGATGATTATTAAATTAGAATATCTTAAATTGTTAGTTAAATTGATAATTTTGAAAAGACTATCTTTACAAACATTGAAGAAGTAAAATTAGCAGAAATTAAAATAACTTTTTAAATTGATTTTATATCTCAATAACTTACAAGTGAAGTTAATAAACTAAATAATATCGAATAATAAATTAATGAATTAAAAAATGAGAATATTGATCAATTAAGTTAATCCTCAGAAAAAAATTAAGAAGATTTGAAATCCAAATTAAGTAATTTATAACTAAATTAAATAAATTAAAGTTACAATCAAATAAAAAATTATAAAACCTAATTTCAAGATTATGTAGATGATTATAATAAAAGATTAAATGAACATATATAAAAATGTAATTTAAGTTTTCAATTTATTGATTTAAATTAGAAATTAAAAAATAAAGCTTTCAATGATTAAATATAAATACTACAGTAAAAAGAAAATAGTGATAAAAAACTAGTTCAAAAATAGATTGAAAGAATTTAAATTATTAAAAAATAAGTTCAAGAGTTTAATGATTAATAAATGTTAGAGTTTATAAGCAATTATATAACAGATTCTTAAGCAATTACTGATTAAGTGGAATCTATGTAATCACATATATAGAGTTAAGTTTAGTTTGTAACTAAGGATCAAAAAAATTAATTTAATAAACAAATCGAAAAATATCTAGAATAAATCAAATAATTGTAAAAAAAGAAAAAAAATAACTCTGCTTATTTTGATAATCTTCAATTTTATGAGAGAAATTTAGAAGTAATCAAAAGTTTTGATCTTCTATTTTAATTATTTTTTTTGATTAAGAGAGAAATAGTGTATTATTAATAGAATTAAATTAATAATTCATAGGCTTAAAAATTACAAAGGCATTAAGATGAACTAAAAAATTATAATGAAATTTTTTAAAATATAGAACTATGCTTAAATTTTTATATTCAATAGAATAACTAATTTTAGGATTAAATTTTACTTAGTTCTATAAGTAAAATTGTAAAAATATTAAATGATACTATTTAAAAAAATAAAAATGATACTAATTAAAAAAATAAAAATGATACTATTTTAACAAATAATAATGATACTTTAAAAATATTAAATCATACTATTTAATAAAATGAAATAGATTTAGTGATGTAATTGTAAGAGTCAAATAAAGAATTAAAAATTAAGATTTCATTATTATAAAATAACATAGAATCTTAAAATAAGGTGAAACTCAATGCTAAAATAAAGTAAACAAATATGAATGATTAAAAAAAACAATTTATAAAAGATTTGAAGCAAGCATTTTCTCATCCCATCCCTAAATATAGTGATATAAATATAAAATAATTGGTTAGTATAAAAAATTAGAAATGAGATTATTAATTTAATAAAATTATAAATTCATAATATAAGCTATTATTAATGGGAGTAGTATTGACCATTCTAAAAGAAATTTTCTCATATTTTAAATTTATTTATTGTTTAGAGTTATTGTAAATACCATCTTTTTTAGTTTTGATTTACTTGATTTACTTGAATGAATTGATTACTTTAGTCTTTTATTGAGTAATTTAAGAATATCTGATGTTTTAATATAGAATGATTTTGATTTCCATTTAAGAGAACCTTTTCTTAGAGATAGAGAAATGATAGGAAAGTGATTTAATGATTTAAGATTTTAATTAATCTAAGTAACTCATTTATAAATAATTCATGTTTTTCTACTTCTGATATTCTTCACAGCTTAATTAAGTGCTACTTTATAAATTTGAGAGTCTAAGGTATTAGTTAATTTCATTGATTTCCCTAATGTTTTGGCAGTGGCTGATTTTTAATGATGTATTTATTAAGATAATGATTAAGCATTAACTTATTTAAATGTTGTGGTTGTTTATTATGAATTTAGTGCTTGTCTAGCTGATTAAACTTATTGATAGAAATTAATTTTATGGTCAGTACTAATATTAATGTTTAAAGGTTTATCATTAGATTTAGATTTAAAATTTAATTTTCTAGGTGGATCTCTATTTGATAATGGTTCTTAGATTTTGACTCTTCTGAATTAATTAAGTTCTTTAATACTGAGTTTTTTCTTAGCAAATTGTCCTTTAGAATTATTTGCAGATTCAAACCTTTATGTAAGACTTCTAGGATCTTAAGCCAACGATATACTATCAAAATGGACAGTACAATATTATTTTGAATCTCTTGTTTATTTTTTGGCAAGCAGAGTTTATAAATCAGTCATGACTTTGATTTCTAATTATTAAACCTTTTTTGGAAGATGTGGACTCTATTGAGGTGCTCTTGGAGTAACACATTTAGGTGATTTTAAAAGAGTTGCAATTCTTTATTAATTTGGTAGTAGAGTGCGATTAGTTGGAGATTTAATATCTATATCTCTAGGTGTCTAATTGATAATATAAGACTATAATAAATACTATATGCAATTGATCAGATTTTATTGATTAATTTTTCTTTTTAATAGTTTTTTTTGGAACTTTGTTCTTAAGCATATTAAGTATATTAGTAATACTAGATTTACGTTGTTATTTATCTAGATTATTTGGTTTTTATAATTATATTGCTTATTGTTTTAATTGGGGTTTGTAACTTTCATATTTGAAATTTGGAATTGCTTATTACAATATTTGGTATTGTTAGAGTTACTATTTGAAATTGACAAATTAGGGTTTGGTCTCAATGAAACTTATGCCTTCAAGGATCTTGTCACATTTAGATATCGGCTAGATTGAGGAGCTGTTTTACTTCATCAGAGGAACTCGCCTCTTAAGCCGTCATTTATTGGCTGGACTAAGGCAATGGCGAGTCACCAACGATGCCCTTTGGAGGTTTATCAGGATTGTTCTTGTTCTCATTTGCAATTAGTTTGGCAATTCGATAATACTCTAATCTTCTCTTTTTATCATGGTAATAATTGAGTGGTATAATGGCTGGTACCATAAACAAGCGTGGTATATCATTGTGAAACTATGGATAGAATTGATTGATACTTTGTAATACTCACCCAACATTTGCAATTTGTCATATAAAATAGTGGAATTATACACTTTACAAAGCAGTTCTTCTGATGTATAGTAGAGTAATACATCCTTATAAAGAATATTATTAGATGTGCGATAATTGTGCAATATTTCACTAATACCTTTAGTATAATGATAATTTTAAGACTGAGAGTATTTCAAGAACAATGAATGACGCATGATGTCTTATAAATAACATATATAATAATACCTATGATTGGAGTATTCTCTTCACAAAAATCACATTTCATTTTGAATTTATGATAATTAAAATATATATATATTAAATCACTAAGACTTCTAAGTCATTTTCTGAATAACTTTATCATCTTTACCATCAATGATAAAGTCTTTCTTAGGATTATATCTACATTTCTTTAAAATGTTTTCCACTTCAGGTTCACTTGGTGTTCTTAATATAGATCCATCATATCTGTAAATAATAGATTTTACAGGTTCATAATAACCTTCACCAACATCTGAAATTCAATTTCAAAAACTTATACCATAAGTGCCTTCAGGAATTTCAATCAATATATCATCCTTAGTCATTTAAGTAATTCCTGCTGGTTTGATACTCTATTTAATTTCTTAATGAAATCGTCTATCATCTCCAATACAATATTTCCAATCCATAGGTTCATATTTCAAATGATCTTCAAAAAAATAAGTTCCATCAAGCATTTTTCCTCTTTCCCATTTAGCTTTGTATTAACCCTTATATTTCTATAAATTCTTAAAATACCCCATTAGGAAATATCAAAGTACCATCTCCATGAAATTCACCCTTAAAAAAATCACCCTCGTAAATAACACCATTACTAAAATAATATTTCCCTTTTCCATGAAACCAACCTTCTAGTTACTCCCCTTCATATTTGCTTTCTGCCCACTTTGACATAATAATAATAAATTTATTAAAATAAGTTATATATATATATATATATATATATATATATATATATATATATTTAATCTCTATTTATATTAATTATTATTATTTGTATTCCTCACTTTATTAGTCAAGAATCTAAAGATTGAATAAGTTCAAAATTTTAATATTTGGTTAAGAATTAAATAAAAATATTATACTCAAATAAATTAATGTTTCCAAGTAAATTGTATGATTTATAATTGACTCCCTCTTTGAACTCTTTAAACTGTGATTTAGAGAGTTCCAAATTAATGGAATCATTTAGAAAACTCCTATTGGATGATGACAAAGAGATTTTAAGTCCAGCCTTGGTAAATTATAATATTTACCATCCAATAGGATTTAATGAAAGCCATATCACATGCTCTATATGGGACTATTGTCTATTGGAAATTATTAAGTGACAAATGTAAAGATGAAGACCTTAATATTGTAAGTTAAGTATTGTAAAGGAAAATTGTCATTTATGATATGTGCGAGAATGAAGATTTAAGATGTTAAATCATCAATTTTGGTTATAAAAAACGCATTTATCTAGCACGATATCTAAATTACTTTTATGTTGTTGCCAAGAAGGGTAGTGAAGAAAAACATAAATTAATAAAAGATATTCTTTTGGATGTAATTAATGACATTATAGGTTTACCTATAAGAAGACATAAACGATCATATTCAGATCCTTTTAAATATCTATCTGATCAAAAAGATAATAGAATTAATAAACTTAATGTGAAGAATGTACCACTTTCTCCATCAAATATATCACGAACAAGTTTATAAATGCAACTCTTAGATGAAATTAATCAAGATGGAGATCTGCTTATGAAAGAATGTAATTCTCTTATCAATTCATCAACACCATAAAATGATCTTTTGCAATCTTTGAATTTAAATTTATAGGAAGGCACCAATATTCTTTCAAATGTAAATGTATTTGATACAAATATTAGATTAGATATTTTGGTACTCTTAAATTTTATGATGAATCCAGAGCTTATGGTTTTATTATAATGGATTTAGATGGTAGTGATTTATTTGTTCATTGTGATGATCTTACTAAAGCAGGAATGACTAAAGATTTTTTGAGAACTGCTAAACATGGTAATATAATTAGATTCTCATTTTTGATACTGGAGTATTTTGGAAAATATAATAAGAGTAAAAAAGCAGTTGACTTGTAATTTATTCAAAGTTAACCTTATTTCATGTGATATAATTTTTTATATCTATCTACTAATATATAGTTTAATGCTTAATAATTATTATTAAAAAAATTAAGAATCTTAATTGTAATTCATATTTATATATTGTATTAATATCTACAAACTTAATGAAATTACAACAATAATATTTATAGCGAATAGTGAAAAAGATGAATATTAATTAATATAATTAATAGATGCAAAATAACATAATAATTATTAGAGATAATAATAAATAAAATGGTATAATTTATTAATTTTAATATATTTCATTATTATTATTTATAATATATTGATCATCTAGTTTTCATAATTATTAAAGTTAATATGACAGTTTGGTTTAAGTATTTTGTTTTTATATAAAATGAATAGTGTTTAAGATATGATTTAACGCATATTTAAATTTGCATTTTAGAATTTCATTATAATATATTATTATGAATTATATTGATTAAGGTTCTGCACTGTCTAGAAAAGTGCCTAATAGAAAATTATCAAAAAAGAATTCTTTATTTTATTAGGTATGAACATATCATTTTACACAATTAGTAATCAGTATTAGAGAATGAAGAGTTTCTATAAAAGTATGAGAAGAATGTTGATTAATTACAGACAGTAATAGAAGAGCCTGAATTGAAAGAAGTAATATAGAGTAGAAATGAGAAGTTTTTTTAGCTTTTAGAATAAATCATAAAGGTTGAATCATCTATAAAAGACTTTTCTAAAGGGTAATTGAATTGGTTTTACATAGATATCAAAAGTTTGGATTTATAATGTCAGATAATGGTATCACTTATAGAGAATGGGCTCCTAATGCTTAAGAATTGAAATTGAATGAATATAGTTGTACAACTGATAATGGTGGTAATTGGGAAGCATTTATACCAAAAGATGACGATGACAATCATTAAATAGTACATGGAAGCACATTAATAACAAATTGCAATGATTTATAGAGAGCATCAGTTTGGAGTTAAGTAAAAAATGGAGAATAAGCAATATTTTGGAATCCTGAAAACAAATATGAATTTCAATAATAATAATTATAATAGAAGCAATAAAGTAAAGGATTAAAAATAATTAAACAGAATATAAATGAATTATAAAATATTCCAGGATTTAATGCAATATTAATAACATAACAAATCTTAATGGCTGTCGATATAAATTAAATTAATCCTGATGAATTAAAAAAAACTATTGAAAATCTTCATCAATAAGGATTTTCAATTCTTATGGATATTGATCATTAACTTATAGGAAAATATTTAAAAAATTGGGATGGAAGTGAATTCTAATATGTTCGTGAAGGTACAGATTAATTAGATTATGGAAAATGGGAAGTATTGAGATTGTTACTCTCAAATCTATCTTTTTGGATCTCAGAGTATTAGATAGATGGATTCAAGTTTTCAAATATAGATATAACTGATGATATTGATATTGCTGTTTATTTAATGTTAGCTAATGATTTAATACATGATATATTACCAAATGGAATTAGTATAATTCAAAATTTTGATTATCCAGCCTTATGTAGAACTATTAAAGAAGGTGGATTAGGTTTTGATTATAAACTCTCTTAATTACAATCAAAGTAATATTTACCAAAAACATTATTCCAAATTAATTAACATGCAACTTAATCTCAATAGCTAAATGCTTTAATATTAGGATAAGTAAATATTAATATAAATATAATATAGGGATTGATTTCAGATATTAAAGATTATCCTTTTTTATTAATGGAATAATAATTTGGATGGTTGGAAAATGAATTTGCTGAAGTGAATGAAATTGATTTTGTTATAGAAATTAAGAGATCCAAATATATATTTTTGTTAAATCTTACTGATTAAGTAAAATCTCAATCTCAATTTTATAGAATAGAGTAATTAAATTGAATTACAAAATTAACAAAGTATTGAATCAAGAAGGATACGAATTGATACAATTAGATGAAAATTGTACAGAAATATAAATTCAATCAGGATAGGGATTGATCATTGAATGATAACCTATAAACTATCTGAATTTACAGAATGTGTTAAACAAATATCAATTATATATATATCATTTCATTTTTTTAATTAAAAGATTAAATTCTCTCATTCAATTATTTCATATCATCTAATTAACTTTTATTTTTACTATCTATAATAATAATATATATATACACATCTCTACATATATATTTATAATTAAATATCTAATAAAAGAATAGCTATTAATTTAAGAACTTCTAAAATTTGAAATTATTAATTATTTATTTAATTTTTGCTAAACCTCAGAAAAAATTGATATTTTTGTCATCTAAATTAATAATATTCTAATTAAATCAATACTGAACTTATTTATCTCAAATTTTATTTTTAAGTTTCTACTTATTAATTTTAAATTAAAAAAAGAGTATATCTACTATAATCAGATAATTTATTACATTTATCAAGTGATTAGATTAGTTAATAAATAATTAATTTAATATTTAATTGTCAATTATATATAATAGTGATAATCATTGTATTAATGTTATAGCATCAATTAAATTATATTTAATGGACTTAAAAAGTTGATTTTATAGAATAAATTCTAATATATTTTTTAGATTATAATAATTTTCAAATAACATTTTATTATCCATAAAAAATATATTACTATCCAAAAATAAAAGAATTATTTAATAAGAATACTTCTATTAGGTAGAGAATCAATATAAATAAGATTTCAGATTCTTATTTATTATACATAATAATTTCGAATTTTTCCAATTAAATAAAAATTCTCCTTTAATTTAAATAAAAATATATTATTTAGAAGAGTCCCTTTTTATAATAATGAATCAAAAAACAATAACAATAGAAATAATTAATAATAAATAATAAAGAATATAATGTAAATTTATACAGAAATTGAAATACAATAAAACTGACAATTTATATGATTCCTTTTGTATATAATTTATAAGATAATTTATTCAACAATAATTCTATATTTTTAAACATATATAAAAACGTTAAATTTGACATAAATTTCCTCTTTATATCAAATATTTATTAGTATCCTATAATTATATCTAATAAATAAAGCATCAGAATAAATGCTAATTAATTTCAGAATAGATTTATTTTATAAAAATGATTCAAAATCAGAATTATGAGGTTCATAAAATTGTTGGTAAAAAGAAGTATGAAATACTTGTTAAAGTGTTGGGATAAGGTCAATATGCAAAGACTTATTTGGCTAGAAACATACAAACTCAACAATACCTGGCTTGCAAAGTTTTTATAATTTTAATACAAATTAGGTGATTTCTAAAGAATAAATTGTTCATCAACTGAATCAAATTGAAAATAGAGAATTGGCAGAAAGAAAAAAACAAAAAATAACAGAAAGGTTATAGAATGAAGTTGATAATACAAGCAAAATGTGTAAATTGATATTTATTATTTTATATAGCACATCCTCATATTGTAAAATTTGAAGATTTAGTTGAAAGTCCAAACAATATTTATTTTTTTATGGAATACTGTTCAGGTGGAACCTTAGAAAAATTGATTCAAAATAGAAAAAGACTAAGTTAAGCTGATGCCTTACCTTATTTTAAATAATTGGCTTCAGGTATTATATATATTTTAATATATAGGTTGTGGATATCTTTATGAAAAAAATGTCATACATAGAGACTTAAAACCATCTAATGTTTTATTATAAGACAATGTTATTAAAATAGCTGATTTTGGTTTATCTAAAGCAATGGAGGAATAAATCAAAGAAATTGCAAATGATAATACTCCTTGGATTGGAACACCTTTGTATATGAGTCCTTAAGTAATTGTTAATATAATATTATAGGTTATAGGACAAGAATATTATTCAATAAAATCAGATGTTTGGTCACTTGGATGCATATTTTATGAAATGCTTTGTGGAAGAACTCCTTATTATCATGAAAAAGTTTAATACTTATAATAAATGATCTAAAATGAAAATGTTTAGTTTCCAAATGATATTTAAATATCAGACAACATGAAGAAATTAATTACAAGGATGCTTGCTAAAACAGAGAATGATAGGATCAGTATTGTATAAGTAATTGAATACTTAGAGTAAGTTTGAACTAAATAAATATTATTGCAAATAAACCATATTTCATTTATCACTTTATTTAATATATATTAAACAAGTCATTAAGTGAATGACACTCTAATAATTCTTTTATTAATGCTTTCTCTTTTTTTGAAATCATATTTACACATAAATTAAACTTATGAGTTTTTGGTAGACGATCTCTTAGAATAGCTAAAAATAATAATGAAAAAAAATACTTATTAATTTTTCATTGTAACTATTATCTTATTTTAATGCTAATCCAGCATTTATTATTAAAAATAGTATATCTGTTGGCAAATCTTTTGTAGAATACAATTATTATAGATTATCAACTTAAAATACATAGTCAATTATTTAAGAAGAAGTTGCCTTTTTAAATGTATTCATATTTTTTTCAAATATTGTTGCTGTTTCTGGTAATTATTTTTTATTCAATAAATCTTAAATAACATTTACTGTTAAATTTTATCCAATTTAATCTATTTATTATTAATTAACACTTTTTTATTTATTTTATTAATTTTTTGTTTATTATTATTATTCTGATTTCTCTTATTATTATTTATTTTATTCATCTTTCTTATCTTATTTTGGTTAAGATTCTTGTTTCTCTCTTAATTTTACTCTACAATCTGCATGTTATTTTTATACTTCTAATAATTTATCTTTTGCCTATTTGTTTTCTGAATCCAAATAAACTAATCTTTCTAAATCTTTTCTTCCATTTTCAAATAATTCATTTTATTCTTCTAACTTCTATGATGTTTATGCTAATGTTGAATAAGCAACACCTCTTCTATATAAAGCTTTTTAATTATTTTAATCTTTTATAAGTACTCTACTTGCTAATTCAATTACTTATTTATGAGAATTTAATTAACTTAAACATAAACAAGAATTTGTTAATAATTAAAAATAAAGTTGAATTTAAGAAGGAGCTGGATTTGCTTCAAAAAATTTGATTCCTTCACCCCAAATTTATATAGCTTTCTCTAATTCTTAAGCCTTATAATGAATATTTCCTTATTCTTTCATTTTTCCAAGTTGAATTGAGATTTCTGCATCTGATAATTATAATTTTTATCCATCATCAACTTCTTAAATAGATTTCTTTGTATTTACTGGTTATTATATTTAATTATTATGAAGTTCTTCTTTTTTTCTTTAAATTGGTTCTTCTACTTTCTTAGATTATACTCCAATTTCTTATTTATTTTATTCTTCTTCTCTAATTTTTGATACTTTATTATTTTCTTCTTAACTCATTATCTTTGATAATCTATCAAGTGCTTAAGAGGCTTATAAATTTCCAGGATCTAAATCTTTAACTCTTAAGAAATCCAATTTGCTTAAAACAACTTTATCTAATCTTTCATATGCCATTCCTCTTCTTAAATATGCTTTTGTTTTTATATCCCATGCAATATTGTCTTCTAATATATTTCCACAATATTCAATCACTTTTGAATACTCTTATAATTGTAAGTGACAATAAGCTAAATTACTTAATAATATTGCTCTTAATTCAACAAATTAATGTTATTCAATATATTTTTGATTTTCTTTTAATAATTCTATTAATTCAATAATTGATTATGAATAAGCTCCTTTTTGTATTCTATTTGTGATTTCATTCTTTTTATTCATAATCTCATTGTATTCCTTACTAAAGTCAGGTTGTTTTTATTTAGATACTGGAATTTCTTCCTCTTCTTCATCTTCTTCTACTATTTACACTTTCTTAAATCCACCTGATTTTTCAATAAATTATTTATCTTAATAAATATAAATAAATTTTACTTTCTGCTGAATTTATTTATTGTTCAGTTAAATATTTTCTACATTCTCTTAATTCACCATTTACTTCATTATTGTCTGGTTCTTCTTGAAGAATATATTTGAAATCTAAATAAGCTTTATCATATTGTTTTAGTGCAAAATATGCTTTTGCTCTTCTATGATAAGCTTTTGTATAATCAGGTTGTAATGCAATAGCATAATCACAATCATTAATTACATTTTAATATTCCTTAAGTTTCAAATAAACAAGTGCTCTATTACAATATGAAGCAGCCATCTATCTATCAAATTAAATTGATTAAGTATAATAATTAATAGCTTCTTTAAGATCATTTGATTTTAAGGCTTCATTTCCCTTTATTTTTTCCTATTCAGCTAATCGCTTATTTTTTTCTAAAGTAGGATTCTCAGCCCATTTCTCAACATCTATTTATGCTTACTTTTTAACAACTGGATCAATTACAACTTCAGATGCTAAAATATAAAACAAAATTACCTTTAGCATATTTTGGATCAATAGAAACTAATTTTTCCTCTACAGCTTTAATTAAATCAGTATAATAATTTCCATCTAATTCTAAGAGTTTTAAAGCCTTTTTAAGTGGAGCAACTTTTGTTTGACTATTTACCCATTCAAAATCTATTTTTTCTAGAGTTAAATCGTCACTTATCATTAATAAAAAATTTAAATTTATTTAGTATATCTAACATAGAAATCATAAATTATATATACTAGTGTATTTAAATAAAATTAACCAATTTAGTATCTATAAACAATTAGATTTATATATTTTATTTTAGTAATCAAAATCCTAATCACATATATTATTTTATAGACTATATTTATATACTTTTATTAATATATACATGAATCATATTCAATAATTTACATTATTTAATAAAAAGAATAATAAAAATGAATGGGAAATATTAATATGATTCCAATAATTTAATTAAATAAAATCCTCTTTAATTTTCATTTATAATAAAACTTTTTTTACAATTACAATATTGCTAAAATATTTTAGAGCATAATAATCATTGCTTTAAATTCAAAACCTTATTAAAATTCATCATCCTTCTGTTTACATAATATACTAAATCTATTCCTTATTATTCTTATTTCATAGATAGTCCACCAATTAACATCCAAAAATAATTTTACAATATTCCTCCTATTTCTATTTGTCTTAATAGTGATTTAGGTATCTCATCAGAATTTGCATATTCTTTCCAATACTCTTTTATAAAATTTAATTTTAAATCCTCTTGCCATCCTTCCTTAATTTTAAAATAGGGAGGCTCTGAAAATGTATAATCCCATTCCATTTCATTAAAAAAATTAGCTAATTCATAACCTGGATAATTCAATCCTGCAAATTCAAAATCAATCAAATGATATTTCATTAATCTTTTATCTTTTAAGAGATTTGTAGCATTAAGATCATTATGTGCAATAACTAATGGTAATTCACTAAAACATGGATCCTTAAATAATCCTAAAATAAATGTTTAGTTTTGATCTGAAAAAACTTGCTCAAATGTTTAATATAGTTATTAACAATTAGAATCTGAAATTACATCAAAAATCTCATCTCGTAAATTAACATTATGTAACCATTAATAAATAGAAGGAGTATCAAAGATTTCTACAAATGAATTTCTATTTCTCAATTTGTGGAATGAACCAAGCATTCTTGCCACCTATATATAATCTTCTTTTATTTCTGATAGTGTTACAGGAGAGTATGGCCAATATTCTTCTATTCTTTAGAATTTATCAGAATATAACACTTTCGGTGCTAATTCTAATTATGCAAGTTCTTATTACAACCTTACTTCTCTTTCTCGGTTTTAGAATAGTCGAAATGTAGATGTATAACGTCTATAAATTACCGATTATTTGGTAGTGGAAACCTTATAGACGAAATTTGTTAATCCACACATACGTTCAGATTTAAATGGTTCGTCATTAAAAAATTTAAGAAGAAGCTCTTAGTTCATTTTAATAATATTTCATTATCATAAATAATTTTAATTTTCTTTTTTTCAATCGAATTATGTTCTGATGATAAGGAAATTGTCTTTAGATATTTAAGTACACTTATAATCATAGACATTAGACTAATAATAATAAATATAAATTTATTTTTTAAATCATCAGCTATTATTATTGTAAATGATCATTCAAACATATTTTATTTCTTAAAAATACATACGCATATTTATGAACTTGATGAATATAAGGAAAATAATGGATAAAATAATATATCAAAATTAAATTTACATTTCTAAAAATAAGACTAACAAAGAAAGTCTTAGCCATATTGATTACAAATAATAATAAATCAGTTTGAGAAAGAATAAAAAAAAAAGAAATTTTAATAATAGCGGTTCCTTAATATACTTTTTTTCTTACTTTGATAATTTAAGATTAGATTAATTTTTTAGAGTGATTAAAATATTCATGCTTCTACTTTGATAGCTATAAAATATCAAGATCATTTAATTTATGAGATTCCTTCTAAAGTTTTATATCTTGTAAATATTTGTTTATTAAATTAGAAAAATATCATTTACACAATAAATTATTAATCTATTAGGAATTAAAGATATATTGCTATTCATAAGCTGAGATTAGTGCTATTAATCTCGTATCTAAATGGAAATGATATTATATAATAAAATTTTCTTTACTTGATATTACAATAGATGATGAATAAAAATTTTCCTTATTTTGAAATTATTAGCTATAACTTTTTTCATTATTGCAATTATTCTAGTAAAAAGCTTAGTTTTTCTCTTAATTGAGCCTTTTAAGAGTTATTAATTGATTCTTTTTAATATAACTAAATAATTAATAAATCTGATTTATATGCAATTTGAAATTTTGAAATTTAAAATTTATTGTTATATGATATTTAAAATAAATATTTCAAAGAAATCGCAAAATTATTTTAAGCTATATATCTGTCCTTTCTAGGAATATATAATTCAATATAATTTAAAACGATAACTAAGTTTCTGGAATAAAAAAATACAAAATTTAATTTAGTTTTTTTGATGTTTTTTAATACAAAATAAGGTTTTTAAAAAAAGTGCCATATATTTTTTTTGATTTATTTCACATTCAATGTAATTTTATAGTAAAAATACATTAATAATTATTTTTTAAGCTAATCTAAAGTAATAATATTTTCTTATTTTAGTAAAAATAATCTACTTAAATAAAATATTTCAGTAAATATAACATTTATTACTTTAATAAGAAAAAATCAATTAAAGCACAAATTCTGCTCTTTTATCATTTGCTTCTTAATTAAAATATCTAAACTAATAATAATAGAATTATAAATAGTTTGGAAATTTGTAGAAAAATGAATAAAAAACTGTCTCACTTTTACAACAGAACAATATATAAGGATGAGTATTTAAAAGAAAAATAGTATTTCTCGATTTGATTCAGAATATATTTAACCATCATTCATCTGAGATATTTCATTATACAATTCAACTATGAATTTTGAAGGTGATGCATCAAAAAATCTCCTTTTTATTGATCATTTCAAAAAATTTCTAAACTATTAAAAACGAATATTTTATATATTATCAAGTCATCAAAAAGTGATGGCAAAGACATCAGTCACATTATTTTTATGCTTATTATTGTTGACAAGCCATTGTAGCCCAAAAGATTTCGTTGTTAATCCTCAACAATATAAAGAATAAAGAAAAAAGTTGTGATAATTGTTCTATTCTAGCAATTTGCGATCTAATACTAAAAATGACAGCCTTTTGTAAATTGATTAATACAAGCGAAGTTTTTTAATTTCAGAGAACATCCTTAGCATAAATGAAGAATAGATAAAATTTACAAATGAAAAATTAGTTGCTAACTAAGAGTCTAAATAAAAATTATAAAATATAGAAGAAAATATTGATAGTAGAAAATAGTAGTTTAATAAAGAATTAGATAATTATTAGGATTAAACATAACCATAAGCAGGAAATAATAAAATTGTTTAAACTAAATAATAATAATAAATTTCTAAATATGACAATCAAAGCTTAGAGTATGATAAAATTGAAAGTGAAAATTTGNAACTAAATAATTAATAAATCTGATTTATATGCAATTTGAAATTTTGAAATTTAAAATTTATTGTTATATGATATTTAAAATAAATATTTCAAAGAAATCGCAAAATTATTTTAAGCTATATATCTGTCCTTTCTAGGAATATATAATTCAATATAATTTAAAACGATAACTAAGTTTCTGGAATAAAAAAATACAAAATTTAATTTAGTTTTTTTGATGTTTTTTAATACAAAATAAGGTTTTTAAAAAAAGTGCCATATATTTTTTTTGATTTATTTCACATTCAATGTAATTTTATAGTAAAAATACATTAATAATTATTTTTTAAGCTAATCTAAAGTAATAATATTTTCTTATTTTAGTAAAAATAATCTACTTAAATAAAATATTTCAGTAAATATAACATTTATTACTTTAATAAGAAAAAATCAATTAAAGCACAAATTCTGCTCTTTTATCATTTGCTTCTTAATTAAAATATCTAAACTAATAATAATAGAATTATAAATAGTTTGGAAATTTGTAGAAAAATGAATAAAAAACTGTCTCACTTTTACAACAGAACAATATATAAGGATGAGTATTTAAAAGAAAAATAGTATTTCTCGATTTGATTCAGAATATATTTAACCATCATTCATCTGAGATATTTCATTATACAATTCAACTATGAATTTTGAAGGTGATGCATCAAAAAATCTCCTTTTTATTGATCATTTCAAAAAATTTCTAAACTATTAAAAACGAATATTTTATATATTATCAAGTCATCAAAAAGTGATGGCAAAGACATCAGTCACATTATTTTTATGCTTATTATTGTTGACAAGCCATTGTAGCCCAAAAGATTTCGTTGTTAATCCTCAACAATATAAAGAATAAAGAAAAAAGTTGTGATAATTGTTCTATTCTAGCAATTTGCGATCTAATACTAAAAATGACAGCCTTTTGTAAATTGATTAATACAAGCGAAGTTTTTTAATTTCAGAGAACATCCTTAGCATAAATGAAGAATAGATAAAATTTACAAATGAAAAATTAGTTGCTAACTAAGAGTCTAAATAAAAATTATAAAATATAGAAGAAAATATTGATAGTAGAAAATAGTAGTTTAATAAAGAATTAGATAATTATTAGGATTAAACATAACCATAAGCAGGAAATAATAAAATTGTTTAAACTAAATAATAATAATAAATTTCTAAATATGACAATCAAAGCTTAGAGTATGATAAAATTGAAAGTGAAAATTTGGGTATGAGACAATAAGAGAGACATAATAATGTAAAGAAAATAAACAAAAGCTATGCTATGTAAGATTAGTAAGACGGGTAATAAGATGAGGATCCTATAGAATCTTAAGATTAAAGGTAAGGGGAAGAAACGAAAGAAGAGCAACCTGCGGAAGAAACTAAAGAAGAGCCACCAGCTGAAGAAACAAAAGAAGAGCCTCCAGCTGAGGAAACTAAAGAAGAACCCCCTGCTGAAGAAACAAAAGAAGAGCCACCAGCTGAAGAAACGAAAGAAGAGCCTCCAGCTGAGGAAACTAAAGAAGAACCACCAACTGAAGAAACAAAAGAAGAGCCACCAGCTGAAGAAACAAAAGAAGAGCCTCCAGCTGAGGAAACTAAAGAAGAACCCCCTGCTGAAGAAACTAAAGAAGAGCCACCAGCTGAAGAAACGAAAGAAGAACCTCCAGCTGAAGAAACAAAAGAAGAACCTCCAGCTGAGGAAACTAAAGAAGAGCCACCAGCTGAAGAAACAAAAGAAGAGCCACAAGCTGAAGAAACGAAAGAAGAACCACCAGCTGAAGAAACTAAAGAAGAACCTCCAGCTGAGGAAACTAAAGAAGAGCCACCAGCTGAAGAAACGAAAGAAGAGCCACCAGCTGAAGTAACGAAAGAAGAGCCCCCTGCTGAAGAAACTAAAGAAGAACCCCCTGCTGAAGAAACAAAAGAAGAACCTCCAGCTGAGGAAACTAAAGAAGAGCCACCAGCTGAAGAAACAAAAGAAGAACCTCCAGCTGACGAAACGAAAGAAGAACCACCAGCTGAAGAAACAAAAGAAGAACCACCAGCTGAAGAACAAACTAAACCAGAAGAAGAAACCAAGCTAGAAGAGGAAACAAAACCTGAAGAGGAAGTTAAACCAGAAGAAGAAACAAAACCTGAAGAGGAAACTAAACCAGAAGAAGAAACAAAACCAGAAGAGGATACTAAGCCTGAAGAAGAAGCCAAACCTGAAGAAGAAACTAAACCAGAAGAGGAGACTAAACCTGAAGAAGAAGCCAAACCTGAAGAGGAGGCTAAGCCTGAAGAAGAAACTAAACCAGAAGAGGAGACTAAACCTGAAGAGGAGGCTAAGCCTGAAGAAGAAGCCAAACCTGAAGAAGAAACTAAACCAGAAGAAGAGACTAAACCTGAAGAGGAGGCTAAGCCTGAAGAAGAAGCCAAACCTGAAGAAGAAACTAAACCTGAAGAAGAAACTAAACCAGAAGAGGAGACTAAACCTGAAGAGGAGGCTAAGCCTGAAGAAGAAGCCAAACCTGAAGAAGAAACTAAACCTGAAGAAGAAACAAAACCAGAAGAGGAGACTAAACCTGAAGAGGAGGCTAAGCCTGAAGAAGAAGCCAAACCTGAAGAAGAAACTAAACCAGAAGAAGAAACAAAACCAGAAGAGGAGACTAAACCTGAAGAGGAGGCTAAGCCTGAAGAAGAAGCCAAACCTGAAGAAGAAACTAAACCTGAAGAAGAAACTAAACCAGAAGAGGAGACTAAACCTGAAGAGGAGGCTAAGCCTGAAGAAGAAGCCAAACCTGAAGAAGAAACTAAACCTGAAGAAGAAACTAAACCAGAAGAGGAGACTAAACCTGAAGAGGAGGCTAAGCCTGAAGAAGAAGCCAAACCTGAAGAAGAAACTAAACCTGAAGAAGAAACTAAACCAGAAGAGGAGACTAAACCTGAAGAGGAGGCTAAGCCTGAAGAAGAAGCCAAACCTGAAGAAGAAACTAAACCTGAAGAAGAAACTAAACCAGAAGAGGAGACTAAACCTGAAGAGGAGGCTAAGCCTGAAGAAGAAGCCAAACCTGAAGAAGAAACTAAACCTGAAGAAGAAACTAAACCAGAAGAGGAGACTAAACCTGAAGAGGAGGCTAAGCCTGAAGAAGAAGCCAAACCTGAAGAAGAAACTAAACCTGAAGAAGAAACTAAACCAGAAGAGGAGACTAAACCTGAAGAGGAGGCTAAGCCTGAAGAAGAAGCCAAACCTGAAGAAGAAACTAAACCTGAAGAAGAAACTAAACCAGAAGAGGAGACTAAACCTGAAGAGGAGGCTAAGCCTGAAGAAGAAGCCAAACCTGAAGAAGAAACTAAACCAGAAGAAGAAGCTAAACCTGAAGAAGAAACTAAACCAGAAGAGGAGACTAAACCTGAAGAGGAGGCTAAGCCTGAAGAAGAAGCCAAACCTGAAGAAGAAACTAAACCTGAAGAAGAAACTAAACCAGAAGAGGAGACTAAACCTGAAGAGGAGGCTAAGCCTGAAGAAGAAGCCAAACCTGAAGAAGAAACTAAACCAGAAGAAGAAACTAAACCTGAAGAAGAAACTAAACCAGAAGAGGAGACTAAACCTGAAGAGGAGGCTAAGCCTGAAGAAGAAGCCAAACCTGAAGAAGAAACTAAACCAGAAGAAGAAGCCAAACCTGAAGAAGAAACTAAACCAGAAGAAGAAACAAAACCTGAAGAGGAGGCTAAACCAGAAGAGGAAACTTAACCAGAAGAAGAAACAAAACCAGAAGAGGATACTAAGCCTGAAGAAGAAGCCAAACCTGAAGAAGAAACTAAACCAGAAGAAGAGACTAAACCTGAAGAGGAGACTAAACCTGAAGAGGAGGCTAAGCCTGAAGAAGAAGCCAAGCCTGAAGAAGAAACTAAACCTGAAGAGGAGACTAAACCAGAAGAGGATACTAAGCCTGAAGAAGAAGCCAAACCTGAAGAAGAAGCCAAACCTGAAGAAGAAACTAAACCAGAAGAAGAGACTAAACCTGAAGAGGAGACTAAACATGAAGAGGAGGCTAAGCCTGAAGAAGAAGCCAAACCTGAAGAAGAAACTAAATCTGAAGAAGAAACTAAACCAGAAGAGGAGACTAAACCAGAAGAGGAGACTAAGCCTGAAGAAGAAGCCAAACCTGAAGAAGAAGCAAAACCTGAAGAGGAGGCTAAACCAGAAGATTAAACTAAACCTGAAGAGGAAGAAAATGAACCTCAAGAAGCTAAACCAGAGGAAGATGAAACTAAACCTGAAGAAGCAGAAAAGTCAGAAGAAGAAGCTAAGCCTGATGAAGAACCTTAACAAGATGATGATAAACACGACGAAGAAGTTGATTAAGAGGATATATAAAGTGAACCTGCTTCTGAAAATGAGTAAGAGAGTGAGCCACCATCGGATGATGACAATGAAAGTGAACCTGGTTCAGATGAGGATAAAGATAATGAAGACAACAAGGATGACAATAATGTTGATGATTAGGATAAAGATGATCTTGCATAAGATGATGTTTCTGATAAATCTGATGAAGAGCCGACTGATGGTAAACAATCAGATGATAAAAATGAGAAGGAAGATGAAGACGATGATGATGATTTTGCTTAATTAGCTTTAGCTCCAGAAATTGAGTAAGCAAAATAATAAGAAAATGCATAAGAAGGAGATAAGAAAATATCAGAATATGGGTACTAATTAGGAATGTGGGTGGCAACCATATTCTATTTGGCTTTATGATTTATAAGCTCAAAACATTTAAATGTAATCACTATATAATAAATATTAATTATATTTTAATTTATTTTGATCTAAGAATAAAAATCTTACAAATAAGCAGATAAAAATTGTAATTATGTTTTCAATGTTTCAAATTTTAGAGTAAAAATTACTTATATTTAGATTTCAATTTAATGAATAAACTAAAAACCAAAGTAAAAGGAATAAATGAAAACTGAGTTTGATTAAAAACATAATTTATTTCTATAAAATTACTGTTAAGGTAAAATTACTTTCAAGAAAGTACAGAAAACTAAACATTCTTATTTTAATTCTAATGCTGTTAACTGAAAAATATACAACGATATTTTTTAATCCATAAAAATGAATGAAATAAAAATTTACATTGATATTTCAAAGCTATAAGGTATAATTGAATAAGAGAATAATCCTTCATACTCTAGATGTGTTGGTATTGAAAAAGATTAGAAATGCAGAAATTAGAAATCAATAAAATATTTATCAATTAGAGAAAATATTTAATTTTACATAGAGGGAACCTATTTTGAAGGAAAAATTAATTAAAGTAGATAAGCAAAAGGAAAATAAATTATTAGATCATTTTTATCACATTATTGAACTTTTAAATACTTAAAAATATAAACATAGGTTTTAATTTATTTATATTTATATTAGATAATTTAAAAAGTATCCTACAACAATATGTATAGGATGCTCATTTCCATTAAGGCTTATTTCCTATCCAACTTTTTGGATTGTGCACATAATAAGACATGACATAATTTTTGAACTTAAGGTATTCTTTTATATTTTGTTTTTTGCTTAACAAAATGTGTTTAGTGGCAAATTTATCTAAATACCAAACGAGAAACACCTTAAATGCTTTCTTGCGGTTTTGATTAGGAAGAGTATCACTATCATAGATCAATTCATCTTTTAAAGCTCGGTAACCCATAATTAAAATTCTCTATTTTCTATAGTATTCGACAAAAGTATTGTAGTTAACTTAAAATTGACTGCAGATATCTCGAATAATCTCAGCATATTATTAATTTTCTATTGTACGAATTGCATATAACATAATATATCTGCAAAAGCTTTTATCAAGGAATTTTTTAGGTTTAACAGTTTCATCTTTAGAAGGTTCTTAAATAGGTTTCATAGGCATTATAGGAATTAATAGCTCACTTTATTTTTATTGATCTTGAACACCAGGCATTTTGATTCCAGTTTAAAAATCATTCTCTTTTTTATATTCATCGGGTCTCCATAATAATTATTCAAAGTATTCAAATTAACTTTAGAAATAATCTTGCTCTTTCTAAATTTCCTACCACTCAGCATATTCATTATAATCTGATTTGAATGATTGCCTTCTCATTATTTGTTAAAATTCAAACCTTGGAGAAGGCAAATACGAATTCTCTTAGTATTATGATTCTTCTGACATCTCATATAATTAATGAAAAAAGAAAAAATGAGAGAGTTTTATTTAAATAGTAAATTAAATAANCTCTAGATGTGTTGGTATTGAAAAAGATTAGAAATGCAGAAATTAGAAATCAATAAAATATTTATCAATTAGAGAAAATATTTAATTTTACATAGAGGGAACCTATTTTGAAGGAAAAATTAATTAAAGTAGATAAGCAAAAGGAAAATAAATTATTAGATCATTTTTATCACATTATTGAACTTTTAAATACTTAAAAATATAAACATAGGTTTTAATTTATTTATATTTATATTAGATAATTTAAAAAGTATCCTACAACAATATGTATAGGATGCTCATTTCCATTAAGGCTTATTTCCTATCCAACTTTTTGGATTGTGCACATAATAAGACATGACATAATTTTTGAACTTAAGGTATTCTTTTATATTTTGTTTTTTGCTTAACAAAATGTGTTTAGTGGCAAATTTATCTAAATACCAAACGAGAAACACCTTAAATGCTTTCTTGCGGTTTTGATTAGGAAGAGTATCACTATCATAGATCAATTCATCTTTTAAAGCTCGGTAACCCATAATTAAAATTCTCTATTTTCTATAGTATTCGACAAAAGTATTGTAGTTAACTTAAAATTGACTGCAGATATCTCGAATAATCTCAGCATATTATTAATTTTCTATTGTACGAATTGCATATAACATAATATATCTGCAAAAGCTTTTATCAAGGAATTTTTTAGGTTTAACAGTTTCATCTTTAGAAGGTTCTTAAATAGGTTTCATAGGCATTATAGGAATTAATAGCTCACTTTATTTTTATTGATCTTGAACACCAGGCATTTTGATTCCAGTTTAAAAATCATTCTCTTTTTTATATTCATCGGGTCTCCATAATAATTATTCAAAGTATTCAAATTAACTTTAGAAATAATCTTGCTCTTTCTAAATTTCCTACCACTCAGCATATTCATTATAATCTGATTTGAATGATTGCCTTCTCATTATTTGTTAAAATTCAAACCTTGGAGAAGGCAAATACGAATTCTCTTAGTATTATGATTCTTCTGACATCTCATATAATTAATGAAAAAAGAAAAAATGAGAGAGTTTTATTTAAATAGTAAATTAAATAATAGATAGCTTCACGATTAAATAGTGTGAGACTTCTGTTAAAATCTGACAAAATTCTTTCATTTTTATTAATTAACATAATTAAATCCATCAATTAGTCTTCTTTAACTGCTTTATTATTCAGCTTCTAACCTGACTAAAGTCTCCTGTTATAGATGAAATTATTTGTTCAATTTAAGGAATCTAATTTTCCATTCTTAAGCTTCAACTTCAAATTAAGGTAGTTAATCTACAGTTAAAAAATGTGGAATATTTTATTAATTATCCAAATTATTTTTTCTTAAAATGAATTTTTTTTTAATATTTTACTTTCTCTTGAATCAAACCTTTAACTATTATTCAAATTGCTTCTTGATTTATAATTACTTTATTATTTTTTCTAGAAAAAAAAGTTTATTGGATAATTAAAAAATAAAAATGGCTTCATCTTTATTACATCCTTCTTATTATAAATCGAGTTACCAAATTCACTAAAAGTTTCAGAAAAAATTGACTAGAGGGTCTAAGAGGAAGACTTTTCTATGTTTTAAGGAGATTTTAAGAATTTAAAACAAAAAGACAAGTATGTGCTGTGACTTTTTTTTAATTAATTATGATATAAGCATATAAATAATTTGTTTTTAATATATGAGGAATTATTTTTGGAAAATCAAATGAAAAACCCAAAGAAAAATAATTAATTTATAAAATCTTAAAGCCAATTTATTTTTAATTATAATGTTTTTTACAATAACCTAATTAGTTTCTTTGGTGCTTCCAATGTTTGTTTTTTGTGTTCTTTCATAGAGGAAATTCCAACTATTTTTTCAAACCTTCTATATATATCTCCTTTGTAATTCAGATTATTTTTCAAGATTTTTAATTCTATTTATTAGGATATAATTTACTTAAGGAGAAGCTCCTTTTTTTCTAAACTATATTATCTAATTTATGATTAATTTGTAATTTTTGATTATTCAATTTATGTTTACATCTATTTAATTTGAGTAGTTTTATCCTAAAGAACCATTTAAAGATCCAAATTTTTCTATTCTAATTCTAGCATACTAGAAATCAAATTGAAACCATTGATTTTATTTTCTATTGCAACGCAATCATAACTCTTTCTTTAAGTTTGAAAACCCACTTAAAGGTTATTATTCTCATCAATTTCAGTCTTAAAAACGACTCTATTGACCTTCTTTTTTTTAGTTTAATCAGCCTTACTTTTTTGAATGGGAGATTCCTATAATTTCACAGACTAAAGGGATTTTGTAATCATAAAATAACTAACCTATAAATACCTAATTACATAATTAATGGTCTTAAATTGGCAATTCCTTCTTTAAAATTCCTTATTTTTGAGATGTATTATAATTGAATATTTTTGCAATGTAACTTTCATGCTTAGGAGATGATTTTGAACCTCCTTATGATTCCTTTTTAATCGTCTAGAATTACATTTTGAAATTAAATATTAAATAACTCAAATTCAAATTTTTTTTAATTGATAATTTTTATATATATAACAATATATATATAATATATTTCAATCTATAATCTCTCATAAACTTAATTACTGTTATCAAATAAGAATCATTTTACTTATTAGATTCAATAATTTTTGGCCTATTTCTCTTGGAATCTTACATCTTAATTTCTAATTATAATGTTCTAATAATAGATTTTAAAGTATATTAAAGTATCTAAAATAAACTTAAATATTTTATTTTATTTATCTTAACTTAAATGGTTTTTGATTATGATATTGATCAATGAAATAATTACTTTAATGATTTTTATAAATAAAAGGACTTCCTAACTTTATTAATCTAAAAATTTTCTTTTTTATTTTTAAATATTTTTAGATGTTTGCAATAACAGCAATCTTAAAAATATCATTTCATCATATATATTATAAAAAACATGAGAAGATCCTTATTTATCATTTCTTATATTATTTATTCAAGATCTCAATCTATTTTAATAGACAAAATATATAAATCAAACTAATTCCAAATTTACATTACTATAAAAGTTTATAAGCTTCTAGAATTAAGCTTGATGAATATTGATTAGTAAGATTGTTTTACAATTTATTAAATTTTGTGGTAAAGAATCAAAAAAAATAGAAAGTTAAAAATTTGCAATTAGTCTTACTTAAGCAATTAAATAGTGGTTTTATTAATTAGACTATAGATGAGTTAATTTTACAAATAACCTCATAAAAATCAAATTTACTGAAATAAAACATATGGAAACATTATTTTAATATTTTTTTAGAAATATAGAAGAGTATAAATATTAATTACATAATTTAAAATAATATGTGTAAATATTTCTCATAATTGTTCATTTTCAGTTAGTGAATGGAAGTTTGCCATAAATTTATTTATTTTTTTGTCTTTGTCTCTTTCTTAAATTTTCAGATTTGGTCATATATTTAATATATTTTTGATTTAAACAAGATATGATGATATAAGGAATAAATTATATTTTCATAATAAATAAATCAAAACCCAAATTCAGAGGGTAATTTATATGACCCTGGTCCTGGGGAACGATCACGATTATCAGACATAATACGTTGGGCTCTTGGAAATTTGTTGCATTTACTTGCACTAAACTTTGAGCAAAAGTATGTTCCAAGAGGATCAATATTGCCTATCTCCTTATATGAGCCAGGGCCTGGAGTTGTATCTCTCACTTTTCTCTCTGAATGTGATTTTGGAGGTAACAATACAATAGTCCCAGAGCTTTGTGTAATTTATAATTCTCTAAATACTTTCTGTATTAACTAAGAGCATAAATCCCTGTACTATTAATACTGCTTGGTAGATTGTAGTGTCCTCTAAAATAAATGATTACCCATACGGTCCAGGTTTTCGTTCTTTATCTTTTCGACTTGATAATCTCTATCTCATACTGTAACGAACAGGAGACATGGAATCTTTAAATTTGTAAGTTCCAGGTCCTGGAGTATTTTAGACCAACCCTAAAAAAATGCTCTCATATTTATTAGCATGCTATTTAAATAATTTAAGGAATGCATGTATACTTCTCTTCCCACTCCCATTGTCCATCCATGCTCTTAGATTTTATGAGTTGTATAACAATTAGGAGCAGGTGTAATGCTTTCATGGGTTAAATTAATTTTCTTGCCATATCCAATACCTGCAGCTCTTTTACTTAAAGTAGTTGGCAATTAATAGATTGGAGGACATCTAATAGATTTTATACAGATTGATAATTTACAGATTGTCCTTAACATCAACCCAACGTTTGGCTTTTGAGAATGTATACATTTATTTGCTCTTGCTAGTGTTTAATGGAGAACGATTAACAGAAGATCTGTTCATATAAGATATAATATTATATTTATCAATTATTAATAATTTGTGAAATTAGCAATGATGTCTTATTCATAGTCTTTATTTAAATATAATCTGTAATGTTTATTCAACAAGTTAACATCAAATAATAAATTATTTCAATCTTTAAAAAATTACCCATTTAAACTTCTATTACTTTTAAGATAATTCTATAAAAAAAAGTATATAATCTGATAGATTATTGAGAAATTAATTCCTATTTGAAAGAATACATATGATTTATCAAATTTTAAATAAGGTGTAATATAGATTATATACTAATTACTCTATATTTCTTCTCACTCATGTTTAATTATATAAATCAGAAATCTATCTGTTATTTAATTAATTTTATCTTCTAATTTGTTATATTAAGACTCTTAATAATTAAGCATATAGCTTATTAATGAGGTGAAATTATCATGATTCTCAATTGAATTGACCCGTAGATCATATCATTAAATTCAGAGTCTAAAAAGGAGTTTAAATGTTGATTTGGGATATAAAATAAATTTGATAAAAAATATAATAATAATTTATTGGAGAGATTCATCTTGATATGTTTTTGTTTTTAAACTTGAATTTAGATAAAGATTGAAATAAAAATATTCAGATATATTTTTAGAAACTAAGATTAACTGGATGAAAAAGATGATTAAATTATAAAAAGAGAAGTCTATATTCATAATAAATGGAAAGATGAATAAAATTAGATATATTTGTATATGTATATATATGTTTTATGAAAGATTTATTATTAATTGAATCATCAATTAATTGGATTTTGATGAAGGATGACACACATTTTGACTAAATGAAAATGATGAAGTCAAATTATGATTGGTGAACATATGTAATAAAAATATGTATAGATGAAATGATTTGAAAATTTATTTAAAATTTAATGTTCGAAAAAGAAATTGTAATCGATGGCAAAGGACATTTGCAAGGTCGTTTAGCTTCATACATTGCTAAAGAGTTGTAAAGAGGTTAAAGAATCGTTGTTGTAAGAACTGAATTGATTTAATAATCTGGTATCAATTTCACATCATTCTAGGTTCTCTTTTCAGAAACAGAGTCATTTTTGAAGAATACCTTAATAAGAGAATGGCATTTAATCCAAGAAGAGGATACAAACATTATAGAACACCTTCAAGATGTTTTTGGAAAGTTGTCAGAGGCATGCTACAATATAAATCAAAAAGAGGAGCAGCTGCTTTAGAAAGATTAAAATTATTTGAAGGAGTACCACCTCCATATGATACAAGAAAGAGATAAGTCATTCCAGATGCTCTTAAATTGATCAGACTCAAGAATCACAGACCATTTTGCACTTTGGGTGACTTATGTGCATCAGTTGGATGGAATTCATAATCTGTTGTTAACAGACTTGAAGAAAAGAGAAAGCAAAGGTATGGTGCATTTTAACACTTCCATTAGAGGTGCTGCCTATTATAAGAGAAAGATTGCCAGAGAAAATCTAAGAAGAAAAGCCATAGGAGCAAAAGAACTTACTACAATTAATTAAGAATTGGAGAAGTTGGGCTATTGAATAATATATATTATAAAATCATGTACATTTAATCTATTAAATTTATTAGAATGGATATTAACCATTCATTCTTTATATACATCATTATAATTGATAAATATGAATGATTTATGTCTATTATTCATCAATGTACATTTACTCATTAATTTACTAAGACTTTTTAATTTAAATATTAGTTTTATAATTTAGTTGCTATATTTTAATTTTAAACATTGGATGAGGTAGCTTCTTAAATTATAAATGTCTTATGGTGTTGATATTCTTAAAGGTAAGACTCTTTATGCAGGTAAATGTATGTTAGAACTCTTTGATAATAATCTTATTAGTTATCAATACAAATAAAATGAAGCATAATTGAATCTCAGTTTATAAGAATAAGGCTGGTCTTAAATACATCTACTTCATTCTAATTGTTGTCCTTGTTAAAATAAAGATCTTAAACCTTTGGATCAAAATTACACTAAAATTAAATTAGCTACAGTAGCTATGTTATGTGATAAAGATTATAATTTTTTATTAACAAGAAGACATTATTAGATGAAAACATTTCCAAAAAGTTGGGTTTTTCCTGGTGGAATGGTTGAAGGACATTAAAATTTAGAAAATGAGTGTTTGAGAGAAGTTTTAGAAGAAACAGGATTAGATGTATTACCTATACTTGATAAAATGGAATTAAAAGTAATGTATGAATCCATATATCCTACTAAATTAGAAGAAAATGAATATCCAATCAAATAAACTTTGTGTATGTTTTATGAAGTTAAAATCAATTAATCTTATCAAAATGTCACTATTAAAATGGGAGAAAAAGAAGTTGATGATTTTAAATGGTTTTCAAAAAATTAAATGCTTTAAATTATGAATGGGTAAATAAAAGATTACTAATTTCTTGAAATTGCAGGAATATATCCAAATTCATATGGATCAGGAATTGGTGAAGGACATGTTAAAGCATTTTTGCATTGTTATGCATGATAATTATTATATATTTGTTTATTTAAAAATATTCAAATCTATAAGAGATATAAATTAAAACAGAATTCAATTATAATACATTTCCAAGCACATTTCATGTTTTATTTCATAATCCTCTAAAGTTATATGATCCTTAAAAACACTATGTTATTTCTAAAGTCTGATCTTTTCAGGTCTAACACCTATTTTGGCAGCAATCAATTTTTTAAGATCTCCTATCTTATCTTGGGGACAACACTTAATTCTTTCTTTTTTGCCTAATCTATCATTGACTAAAATTTCAATCATTCTAGGTGCCTATGGATTATTTAATAAAGAAGGATTAATAGGTTTAACAGGAGCTACAATATTCTTTTTCATGATCTAAAAATTTATTAATTGAATTTTTATACTTCTTCATAAATATTTAATGGAGCTTTGACTTTTAATCCAGTGTATCCAACCTTCTTTTTCCATTACTCTAATTTTTCTTCATCTTCTTATCTTTCTTTTTTTATAATTTCTAAAACATCTAATCCTGCTTATACAGATTTTTATCCTATATCTATTTTATCTTTTCTCCAATCTTTAGATTCAATTCCACTATCTTTTTATTTTTATTTCTCTATTTTATGTTTCTTTTTTTCATGTGATCTTGATCTGCTTCTACTTTTATGTTTACCCATTTTAATATATATTAATAAATATAAATTTATAATTAAAAACAAACCAATTAAAATTACAAAATCATCATTCTAAATTTAATGCTATCTTTTTTAATGTTATCATTTATTATTAGTCTTTTTCATATTCTTCCATTCTTTAAAGTTTATTTTATCCTTCAATTAGTCGTTCATGCATTACTTAAATCTTTTAATTTTCTTTTTACAATTTCATTCTAATTTATGATTTTAATGAAGTAATCTCTTCTAATGCTAATTATAATTCATTTATATCTATTTTTTATCTAAAAATTTCTCTTAAAATCTTTAATTCTCTACAATTATGAACCTAACAGAAACCTTAAACATTTTTTTCAGAATGTTCTATTATTTCTTATATTGTCTCAGAATTACTATTTGTCAAAGAAGCAAATGATATATCAGAAAAGTCATCCTCTTTTAATATTTGCATTTATTAAGGAGTAGATACTTATTCATGTTAAATTTTAACTTTAGTTTAACTACTTAATTCATTTTCACTAGAAGGTTTGCTTAATTTCTTAGTTGTATTTCTTGATCTTGATTAATCTGCTATTTTAGATATTGAATTTTTATGCATTCCTATCAATTACTATAATCTCTCTTTGTATAATACATACTCACGCTAAGAATAATTCTTTCTCCAAAGTTCAATAACTTCTTATGAAAATTCTATTAATCTCTTATTTAATTGATTGAAATTAAATTTAAAGTCTGTTAACTATATAGTTCTTTCATTAAATATACCTTTTCAGCTTCAATTTAAGCATTATGGAGTTAATCGACAACCTTATTAATAAGAGATATTCTTAAATTATTATCATAAAGCATCTTGAAATAATAAATAAATTTATTACAAAAATAATTTAAGTTAGTAAATATAATTTAGTATCTTATAAATTCAATATTCTTAATTGTATTTAAACAAATATTATTGGGTAATTAAATTATAATAATTTCTATAAAGAATAAAAGTTATATAAATATAACATATATTTAATATGCTCTATAGATAAAACTATTTTTATATAGATATATATAAATAAAATATTTTATATAATTCTTAATATATATATATATATATATGCTAAAATGATTAATATTAAAATCCATAATAATAATGATTTATATTAAATTGATTAAAATGAAATATGTAATTAATATACAAATTTGATTGGATCACTTACCGAAATTCGAATAAACTCTTTACATTCTTTTATCGATTTATTATAAAGGTGGCAATTTATTATTTTTAGGTACTTATTAATTAATTTTTAATGGGGATTCTGCATTTGATGTTCGAACACTATTATTACGTAATCTGAGCAATCTGCAAATTCTTACATCATTATATTTAAATGATTAATAAACTGGACTTTTCTTAAATTTTTCATCTTCTATTCTTTTAGTTTTTGATTCTTGTTTATTATCTTAATTATCAATATATTCAGCAAATGTAGATAATTTAAACTAACTGCCAGCATTTCTTCTTCTCTTTTTTGTTGTATCAATAAGAATCTTAGGAGTTCCTAATTAAAGATGTTTAGTTTAGAGATTTAATTTGAATTGTTCTTATTGATGTTTTTTATATCTCAATAGAAAAATGACAAGAAATATATATTTTCTCCATAGTTTTTTTATACCTTCCCTCTAATGCATTTTGATAGAATGAAAAGGTAAGGATAGAAGAATTTATTAATCTCTTTAATTGAGATAACCTTCATAAGTATTTTAAGAACTTCTAGATCTTACATAATAATTGATTCTATATTAATAATGTGATGAATACTTAGAGAATTTAGATATTTTATCATTGCATTGAGATAGCTCGTTTAATTAAGATTAAAATGCTATATTAACTTTGGACAAGTATTTTTTAATAGCAAAAGGAGATTTGTGGTTTTCACATCTTAAATTGATAGAGGATTTATTAAATTGTTTCATAAAATGGTAATCAAGATCCTTTTGATACTATTGTCGTAGATTTCTGAACATATTAATTATAAAAAATCATATGAAAGTAATTTATTATTAATTTAGTAATTTTTAAGCATATCTGATTAGTTCTCTCTTTTAATGTTCTAAACTTAATGTAATACTATTTTTTTCATGAGTTAATCTAATTTATTCTAAATTGTTAACAAATTTTCTATTTCTTATTTTTTCTCTATGAGTATAGGAAGTATCAAATTTCATTTCTAATCTTTATTTAATTATTTGTTCAAGTGGAAGTTTTTATTAAGATTAATCTAATCTAATAATAGGAGATTTATTTTTTGTTGTTCTTACTTTTTAGGAATGTAATTTAATTATTGTTGCTAATTATGTTTATTTCATTTTTTATGTTGATGGCATTGAATTGTATTCAGCAATACTTTCATATTCTTCAGTTATTGATATAGGAATTGGAATTTCAAATGAAAAGTTCACTCCTTTTAAAAATGATTATAACATATCATCTAAAGTAAGATCAATTTCAATAATTCTTTAATTTGGTATACATTCAAAATCATTAGATATCAAATATTAATTTTTTACTGATCTTTTTTAAAAATATTACTAATTTTAACATTATACAAATTTTAATGGAAAATTAACAGCTTTAGAAAATATATGTAAACCTAATTTCTTTTCTTAATTTGGAAACATATTTAAGATTTATTCCATTCCTTTTTTAGATACTTATCTTAAAGAAGATTGTTCCTTTTCAAAAGTTCCTTTCATACTTTTTTCATGTAATGATTTAGCTGTTTATAATTCATAATTAAGAAAACATAATTTGCCTAATTCTTCATAACAAATGATTTCTTAATCTAAATCTTTAATTAACCAAGAATATTCTAAGGACTAAGTATTATTATTTTTTATTAATTACTTTTTTAATGAATATTTTTCCAATATCATATTTTTTAATATATTTACATAAAATTCCTATTTAAAGAAATGTCCATTAGATCACATCTAATTGTCGAGTGAATTCACTTAAAAATTTACAATGTTAGAAAAATAGAAGTGCTTTTGTCCATTCTTGAAATGAAATAAATGTTAATGCACATAAACGCATAAAAGTTATCAGTAAATCAATATTATCTTGTTCAACTGCAATCACCATCAAATTAAATAAACCTTATGAAACATGGTTTTTTACTTTCAATAACTCCTATTTGATAATTGGATTTTAGACATTCAGCATATTATTTTTCAAAATGATACAACATTCCTAACTGAGAATTTATTGCTGTTAATATTGATTTCCTTGAATAAATGTAGCTGTTCTTTGGACTTAAAGAATTTATATGAAGTCTTGAAAGAGATCTTTAAGTTGATATTCTTGGTGATTAGATTTATTCACTCTCTTAAAAAAAGAAATTGGGCTTTAATGAATTATGAGATGATTCAATTCCTTAGAATCTAGTAGTCGATAATTAGCTATCTAATACTTCAGATAGTACTCCTGAAGTATTTTTTATTTAAAATGAAAAGACTCTGTTTTTCTTATTTTCGTTCATTTACAATATAAATAATAGTAAACTAATTATTGCATCAGTCACAGTTTTTTATTAATTTGTATATAAATTAAAAGAAAGTAATTAAATTATTAATATTATATTGTACAATATATATGTAAATCATTAAACTTTTGTGATCTCTGTTTTAAGGTTTGCAAATGTATCAACTGGAACATACTAAGCAAGAGTAAAGTATTTTCCTTTTCCATCATCTTCTTCCTTCTTCTTTCTCTATAATCTGCAAATCATAAATCAAATCAATATACCTCACTCTTATTCTTCTTGGTAAATTACGTATACCTGTCTTCCAAATTGCTTCATTCAATTATGGATCAACTCTTACATCCTCTGTCAACATATTTTTTTGAGCTATTCTATTAAACTTCACTCAAATACCAAATCTGATAATGTGACTAACAGCACGAGGAGCCTTTCTCTTGAAAGTTTCCTTATGAACAGCCTTATGAAGATTAATTGTATAATCTCTGCTCACTTCCCCTAATGGATTTTGCTTTCCCTTTTCCTTTTTGCCCATAAATTAAAATAAAATTTTTATGTATTTTTTTAATTTATAGATTCATAAGATGGGTTTAGTTAAGTATGTATACAAGAACTCATTTATGGAGAGTATTAAATCATCAAATATATACTATAAATTATAATTGAATAATTAGGATAAATTCTTAATGATTTTATTAAAATATCTATTTTTAATAAATTATAAAATTCAATATATCTAAACAAATATCTTATTTTTTAAAATATTAATGATATTCCACTATAAATTTAAATAGAGATTATTATCCCCAAAAATATTCCAAATTTATAAAATAATTAATCATAATCAATATTCTAAATTGATTTAATATTGATAGAAAACATTTGTTATTTTACATAGTAATATTTGCTATTATTATTATAATAAAATTCTACAGTATTGAATAAATATTTCATTTTTATTCTATTTATATAAATATCTTACTTTCTCAATCTATATTCACTTCCTATATAATTTCTAATTATAAACGTTCTTATTGTTAATTAAGATATAAAAACATAAATTAATAGAAATTAGATTTTTTATATATTTCTTTACATTAAATTAAATAAATGTTATTCTCTATATAAATTTATCAAATTATGATATTTCTTTTAAGGTTGATACTTGTCAATTGTATAACAAAATAAAAAGATATTAATAAAAATAATAACTTAAATATTTAGTATAAGAAGATCAGAAAAAAGAATATTTTTTGATAAATGAGTTGATCATAATATAATTAAATACATATTTAATAATTAAAGTGTATTTAGTACTTTAGATGTTATCTACAAATGATATAATAATGAGAAATGTTAAAATGCCTAGAAGTAAAAGTGAACAATGGATGTAAAATCAGAAATTAATCACTATCAAAGAATAAGGTAATCAGGTCTTACTTAATCTTAATTCAAGGGATCATTTTATCATTTAAATGTCTAAATCAGATTAATTAGGGGAGATAATAAATTATCATTCTTATTAGGAAGTAAGTCAAAACAAAGAAGCTATAAAAGAAAGTCTATTTCAGAATTAAAATAAGGATTTAGATTTAGCAAGGAATTCTGTATTATAAATGGTTGAGTAAGAAAGAGAATAGAATACATAAGATGCAGTCAATAACAATGAAGTTCAAATTCAAATATAAAGTCCACCAGATATTGCAAATGAAATTCCATAAGGGAATGTGTAGGGAGAATTAGCTCTAATAAATTTTGATTAAAATTCTAATGAAGATTACAATCATGATAGAATAGGTAATAGTAAAATATATATATAAAGAATCACAACCAAAAATATTTTCTTTTTCAATTTTTTCATAAGAATAGTTTAATAATAATATTAATAATAATCAATAAGAGGAATTATAAATTCCATAATTTGATTAATATACTATGTGTCCTATTTGTAGTTCAAATTTTGAGAAATTAGTTCAGCTTTTAGAATGTGAACATTAGTTTTGTTTGTATTAAATTATCATATTATATTAAAGGAGTTGTTACAAAGAATATTTAGAAGATAAAATTAAAATTGCAAAAATTAATAATATATTATGTTTATAAGAAGGTTGTAAAGTTATTTTTTCAGAAGATATTATTAAATCAATTGTTAATGAATAGAGATTTCAATAATATTTAGTTTTTAAAAGAAAGTATGAAATTGAAAATGATCCTAATAAAAAATGGTGTCCAGCAGTAGGTTGTGATCGTTTCATTGAAAAAGATCCAAATACTAATATAATACAATGTTAATGTGGTTAATTGATTTGTTTTACTTGTGGTTAAATTGCACATTAAGGAATATAATGTGAGGTTGTTTTTAATAAAATATAATTAGGATGCTATATAATATGATTTTAAATTAGCCTTAACAAAATATTCAATTAAATATTGTCCCAAATGTAAATCACATATTTAAAAAAATGCTGGTTGTAATCATATGACTTGTGCTTGTTCATTTGAATTTTGTTGGATTTGTTCATAGCCATATCATCCAAATCATTATAAATATTGGTCAATATGGGGATGTGCAAGTACAATTATATTATTTAAAAATAGTTTGGTCAAATGGTCGTTTTAAAACATCAAAGATAGTTGATAATCCTGATAAAATGAGGAAAATTTACTTTGCTCCTCGTCTTGTTCTTTTTATTCTTAGAGGTCCTCTTTTAATAATTAAATTGATTTTAAAAGCTGTATGTAAATCAATAGTAAAGCCTTTCGTAGGACTAAACAAGAAATTGTATTAATCATCAAAGCCAAAATTTTGGTATTTGAATATTAAATATTAGTCTATTGAAATGCATTTATTTTCTATTAGCAGAATTATTGATCTTGTTAATAATAATATTAGTCTTTCCTTTTTACTTTGTATTCTATCGACTTGGCAAAGAAATATCAAAGCTTACAAGTAAAGGGTGTGCCTATTGATTATTTATAATCTTAATTAATTTACTATTATTTAATACATTAATGGGTAATTGTTGTGGAGGCCATAATTTGGCAAATGCAAATTTTTAGATAGCAACTTATGATTTGTCATACTAAGATCCATCGAAAATTGATTTAGGTCTATTGAGTCGCAAAGCTTTACAGATTTAGAGTATGTTTCAAAAAATAATTAATCTAAGAATTTTATCGAGGATATGTTATAAGGAAGAAAATGAAGAAATCATAAACAAAGGCATTAGCTTAAACATCAGATGAAACCTTCATTTATTAATATAGATCTAATCAAAAGGAAAATGTTAAGAACTAATAAAATGTTTTGAAATTTAATATGGATGGTTAATAGCATATTCCAGTGTTCAATGTAAAAGAAGTTAATATAAGCTCGAAATATTCAGAAAAAATAAAAAGTGTACTAAAATGCTCTTTATATCAAAGGTTCTTGATAAGTTGGATCCATTCATTTTCGATTAGGATAGTTTATTTATGGAGTGTCCTTTTTCAAAACCATTGTTGATAGGAGATGTTATATATGAAGGTCAATGGAATAATTGGTATCCAATTTTAAGTTTATAAAGTCAAAAACATGGAAGAGGAAGACAATTTTGGATAGATGGATCATATTATGAAGGTTATTGGTTCAATAATTGTTAACATGGTAAAGGTAGATTGTTGTTGGCATAAGGAGATATTTATGAAGGAGAATGGAAGAATGATAAAGTTCATGGTTTTGTAAGATTGTTATGTATTAATAGTAGGGTACTTACATTCATTAGAATGGAGCTAAGTATTAAGGATATTGGGAGAATGATAAATAGCATGGAAAGGGTAAAGAGTTCTGGCCAGATGGAGCTACTTTTGAAGGAGACTATAAGAATGGATAGAAGAATGGAATGGGGATTTTAAAAGAGGCAGATGGATCCATTTATGAAGGGGAATTTTAAGATAATAGGTTTGAAGGTCATGGAGATTATAAGATTGTTGGTGGAAAGAGATATGTTGGATAATACAAGGACAATAAGATGCATGGAAAAGGGGTAAGTTTGTGTATTGATAATTTAAAGACCTTTTATTGGAAAGATGGCAAGAGGTATGAGGGTGATTATGTCAATGGTGTTAAATAAGGATATGGTGTGTTGTATTATCCAGATGGGAGAGTATTTATGAAATAAATATGAGATCTTCAAAGGATATTGGTAGAATGGAAAGCAGCATGGGATCGGTATCTATATAGGGAAATCAAAGATTGAAAAGGAAGGAGAATGGGTTGATGGAAAGCGTGTTAGATGGATTAGGAAAGGAGGTGAAGTTGCCATAATTTGAATCTTGATTTAATAATTTTTTCTTTGGGATTTTAAGTTAATTATTTTTTAAAAGTTTGATTAATTTTAAATCAAGTTTAAATTTATTTAATTTATCTTGAAATTAGTCGATAAAGTGGTTGTGGAGTAAGAATGATTTAGTTGCAAAATTTATATAATTTAAGATAATTTTTATATTAATTACGGCATAACAGATTATGGGAAGTTGTTGTGGTGGATAATAAGGATGGTGTGGTGATCAAAAAACGCAGATAAATGTTGGAGCAGGTTAATAATAAGAACTAGATAAAAAATAGGATGAATAGTTAGATGAAAATTTAGTTAAGGAGAAAGCTACAAAAATATAAGGTAAATTCGGTTGGAATCATTTTAGCACATATAAGAGGACATAAAGCAAGGGAAGAAGTGAAGAAGATAAAAGAAAGTCAAAAGAGCTCAGAACAAATTTCAGATAATTGTATAAAATAAAGTAGTGAACCTAAAAAAATGGAAAGTCATTCATAATAAGAAGATAAACCAATAGTGACAGCTAAAGAAGCTTAATATACAAAAGGTCCAGAGTAAAGTGCTGGAGCTAATTAGCATGCTCCAAATGACAGAGTAAGAAAAATTGAGAAGGTACCTGATTTTTTGACAGATCGAACTAGACAAGTATATTGTAATTATACAAAGGTTTTGGAGAAATTGGACGATTTTGTTTACGATTAAGATTAAGAAGAGTACAAAGACTTGCCACATTTGGGTCCATATGAATTTGAGAATGGAAGTGTTTATATAGGTTAATGGAAAAATGGGTATAATTTATTTCATTTATTATATCTAGATAGAGACATGGCAGAGGAAAACAAATATGGTAGGATGGATCTTTATATGAAGGCTATTGGTACTAAAATGTGGCATGTGGTAAAGGAAGATTAATCCATTCAGATGGTGATATTTATGAAGGAGAATGGAGAAATGATAAGGCTCATGGTTAAGTAAGATTTTTATTTTATTCTAGGGAAAATATGTTCATATGGATGGAGCTCAATATATAGGATAATGGGAAGATGATAGATAGAATGGGGAAGGATAAGAAATATGGCCTGATGGTGCTAGTTACTAAGGATAATATAAAAATGGAAAAAAAGATGGCAGGGGTACATTCAAATGGGCTGATGGTTCTGTTTATGTGGGAGACTTTTACTAAAATAATATTTAAGGTTAAGGAGAGTATAGTTGGGAAGATGGTAGAAAATACGTTGGGGAATGGAAAAATAATAAAATGGATGGAAAAGGGGTATGGTTATTTATAAAAATCATAGGTTTTTACTTGGTTGGATGGCAGAAGATACGAGGGTTAATATAAAGATGATAAGAAGCATGGTTATGGTGAATTTAAATGGCCTGATGGTAGAGTATGAATTTTTTTAAGATTTTTAGGTTTATAAAGGTGATTGGTCAAATGGAAAGTAACATGGAAAAGGAATCTACATAGGTTCATCTAGAGCAGAGAAAGAAGGAGAATGGTAAGATGGTAAAAGAGTAAGATGGATTAGAAGAGGTGGTCAACCAATAGAAGAAGGAAATTGAAATTCACTTTTTATAACAATTTCTTTACACATTTTTTATATATTATAATAATTATTATTATATATTTAGTTATTTATTCAATAGATTTTAAAAATTTATGCAACTTCTTTTATAAAATTTTCATTTTCTCAAAATCTTCCATACATTTTAACCATATTCAAAGGCCAATATTTATTGTTATTCTCTTTTCTAAATTTGATGATATGTTGGCTTACATTATAATAATTTTAGTAAATTATTTAATTTCAAGTTACCTAAATTAAATATGTATTTTTCTTTATTATTGTTATTTATATTTTAATTTAGATATAAAACTCTATTAATTATCAGACTAAGAATTAACATTTCAAATTAAATAAAAAAATCTATTAGAACTCTTAAAATTAATTGTTTTTTCTAATAAGGTCTCACTTTATATGATTAAATACTTTAAACTATTTATAAAGGTTGAATTTTATAATAGATTAATTATTTCATTTACTGGTGTGATATGTTAGGTTAATTTATTTATTTTATGATTGTGGATCCCTTAATTTATATATTTTTATTATTTTATTGATATTGAAATAATTAGATTATCTTTAATTTGAGGAGAAATCATAAAATTAAAATAAGTTTTTTGGGTTCCATATTTATTTTTAATCTAATTATTTATAATTATGATGGTTATTTTTTAAATTAAAGTTTGACTATCTTATAAAAAAGCCTAAAGATATTTTAAATAATTTAGATATAATAAAATTGATTTTCAATAATATAATTCTTAAAATCAAATATTTTATTATCTAAATATTGATAAAATCTATTTCAGACATTAAAATAATATTGTATTAAAGGAAAAGGGCCTTGATTGTTTTTATAATTTGATAATATTTAATTCAATTTTATAGAATTTAGTTTTATACAGAATTTTTAAAGAGTCTTAATATATTAAAAAAATGAATTATAAAATACTTAACACGTAAATTATTTATTCTAGAATATTTTTAATAAATATGTATAAAATCATATTCTTAGCTGTTCTGTGTTCAATAAGTGTAGCTTTATTTGAGAATTCTTATCTCATAAAAAATGCCAATAAATTACAAGATTTTAGAGATATTTTAGAATCAGAATTTGTTTCACTTGTATATTTTTATTCAGATTAATGTGAAAATTGCCAAAGAGCTGCTGGATTAATAGAAAAAGTTGCTGAAGATTAAGAAGGGATAATAAATGTATATGGAACAAATTGTGATGAAATAAATAAAGATCCTAAATCAAAGTATTTATATGAAATATAAATTTAGTGAATAAATACCATATTGTAGTTCTGATGTGATATAACATTTACCATAAATTACATTCTTTGAACCTCCTCGTTAATCAATCAATCCATATACAAATGAAAAAATGATTGCTACAGAACATAGATTTTAAGGAGAAGCATCTCCTCAAAGTTTGGGATAATATGGATATAAATTCATTCCAAATCATGTCATTAGAATAAATACATTAGAAGAACTCAAAAAATTTGAAACATCTGATTCAAAATTGAATAAAGTGATTCTTTTTACAAAAAGGAAAGAAACCTCTCCTTTACTTAAAGCCATGAATATACATTATTTGGAAAGAGTTAAATTTGGTGAGATTGTTGCAAGTCCTGAAACATAATCTCTATTAGATGAATTTGATATCAAAGATTTACCATAATTAGTAGGATTAGAGAATAATGGAGATAATACTTATAATAGAGAAATATTTGATGGAGATTTATTATTTAAACCAATAAAGAAATTTGTTAGAGGATTGGCTAGTAAAGATAGAATTCCATATGAATAAGTTAATGAATAATCATCAAAGAAATAGGAAGAGAGAAAAAATAGAAGATAAAAATAAGATGATTAAGAAAAAAATAATGAAAAATAAAATGTGATTACAGCTATAAAATTAGATCAAAATATTTTAAATAAACAATTATTAAGAAATGATAAACCAGCATTTGTACATGTTTATAAAGAGACACCTCATAAAGCATGGGAGGATACAATAAAAAAATATAAAACTTTATTTGATTATTATGAATTATAAGTTAATACATAAGAAGATGAAGAATTAATTAAAGAGTTACAAATTAAAAGTTATCCAAGTATTAGATTTTATTAGGTTGGAAATACTGCAAAAAAAAGAGCATCTAAAATTTCATTTACAAAAGAATATTCATTAGATGAAATAAATAAAGATATTTAAGAATTAATTGATGATAAAACTATTAATATTAATGAATAATCATTGTAAATGTAATTGAGTTAATATATAACTGATAATAATATAGTTGTACTTTATTTTTATTAAACTCCATAAGTTGGATTAACTTATAGAGTTTTGAGTTAATTGTAAGAATATCATGGTAAGTATAAATTTTTATCATTTAAAAATGCTTCTTAAAAGGTTATTGATCAATTTTAAATACCAAATTAACCAGCAATTACTATAATATTTAGAGATGTAAAAGATAAAAAAGAATTAGAAGAAGAATTAAAACCTGATTAAGTAAAATAAGCATTATTTACAGGAAAACATGGTTATGATGAAATTAAATCATTTTTAGATTCAGTATAATAATATTTAATATTTAGTTTGATGAATCAAAAAAGACATCTAATAAAAAAGTTTAAGAAATATAAAATTAAGAATAATTAGAAGAATATTGTGAAAAAAAATAAACATTATGTTATATTGCATTATTGAATGGTGAACATAAATAAGTGAAACATGATGATATTTTAACAAAATGGGAATATTAATTAGAAGTATTAGATAAAATTAAAAATACTCATGGATCAAAATAAGCATCTTTTGTTTTTATTGATGCTTCTTGTCATGATGAATTATTATTAAAATTTGATATTTCAGATGATGCATTACCTAATTTTGTTGCTTATTCTAGTAATAAAAAGATGTAATAATTATTATTATTTTAGTTATTCTAAATTAATTGGTAGATTCGACTATGATTCTATTAGTAAATTTATTGATAAATAATATAAGGGATAATCTAGTAATATAAATATAAACTCTATTTAAATTATAGAAAAGAATTGTGAAGAGATATTTTAAAAAAGAAAAGAAGCAAGTTAATAATCTGGATTATCAGATTTTGATGAAGAAATATTGAAAGAGATTTTAGAAGAAGAAAGATTAAAAAAGAAAGAATTAGAAAAAGAATTGAAAAAAGGAAAGAAAAAAAATAAAAAATCTAAAGATGATTTATGATTTTAATTGAATATTCTATGTTATAATTGTTTATATATAATTAAATAATTATCATATATTTTGTAAAAACAAATCATTTTTTTAGTTTATCTTCATATTATTTAAATTTCTAATTCAACCAATCATAGAATTCTGAACTTTCATTCTTTTTCTTTTCCCATAAAGATCCTTTATATTTTTTTGAATTTGATACTAATTTATCAAACATAACACCCTAATAATTATAAATATATTATAAATACTGCAAATTTTCTAAGCATATAATTTGGTAAGAAGTCTGGTATGTATTTTAATTTTAAATCAATACAAATTACTAAACTTACTAAGTGATGATCAAAAGATATTGGTTTAACTTTTGTACAAAATACATTTAAATCAGCTCTAACATGTTTTGGTTCTTCTGGAAAAGAAACTCAAAAAAAATATATTAATAGATATACCCATATCTTTTTAATAATTTTGTTCTTTTATCTATTGAATGACTTAAAATAAGAACACTACCATCATATTCTAGATTGTTAACTCCCCATCCTTTTACACATAATTCTCTATCAGATATAACAGGTGGTGATGAATGCATATGTAAAATCTTTGTGGCTTTGTCTGGTTGCAAAATAGTCTTAGAGTCTTTGCAGAAAGGAAACCATTATGGATATAATTCTGTCTCATAGATAAGACTTATAAAAATATCTAAAGGAATTTTAATTTCTGTGTCAATTCTAGCTACAACTCTTGGTGAATTGGGTAATTATTAATATCTGATTTACATTCTACTATCTTATTGTTAAATTGACCATCCATCTTAATAAATTAGTATAATAAATACCCTATAATTCAAACCATTTAGTTAGTTCCTTAATTTCTTCTATATCATCATCAATTAACTCAAAAATATCTTTTGTATAATTGAGATACTCATAATCATTTGAATAGCTATGAAAAAGTTCTTACTTCATCTAATAAGCAGAAAAGTATTATTTATCATCAATCAAATATTTCAGTTGTTACAATTCTGAAAGTTATTATTTATTTGGAGAGATTTCAATTTATATTAATTTGATTGCTGATGGAATAATACAATCAAACTCTGGTTCCTCTTCTTCTTCAATAACTAAATTTGGTAATTATAACAAGTGTCTAATTAAAACAAATTTTTTACTTTTTTATAGACATATATTTTAATAACAAATATGAAAATATTCACAATTAGAAAATAAAATTCAACATAAAATATTCTGTGATTCCTACATTAATATATTTTACTAAATACTATACTAATTTAGAAAGTTTGTTTATTATCAACATGATAATTAGATCTTTTAAGAAAAGAAAAATCTAGGAACCCATATATATAATATTTCTAATAGAAAAACAAATTTAAGAATTTAACAATTGGAAAATATAAATATGTTAAACATATATAATTATTGTTAATCTATATTATTAATTATTAGATTTCATTTTAAATTGATTGAATTAAAAATTAATATTCATTATTCTTTCAATAAGAAATTATTTATTCAATTTAAGATCAAATTTTATAAAATGAAAAGTAGAAATAATTCTATTTATAAACTCATTTCCTCTTTTTTTTTGGTCCCAGAGCTTCTCTCAATTTTCTATCTTATCTTTAAAATATTTCAAGTCTCTCTTTCCATTATTATGCTTAATCAAAATCTCTTAATTTCCACATTAGTACATCCATTCTGAAATTTGCATCTGATGGTAATGGATATTATGCTAATTCTAATTTAATTGGAAAATCAGTCATTATAGATATCAATTTTTGATTATCAAACTAAAATAAAAAATGATTTATATACTTTTAATTCTTAATTCCAAACTCCCTTTATAATACTTTTAATTGATTTCACTTCTGTTTTCAAATCTAAACCTTTATATTTTCTATAACCTTCTCTTAAATATCTACCAACAGCTGCATCTGTAACTTCACAGACTCCTCCAGCTACATAATCTGAATATGGAAGATATTCAATATTGAAATATTGACAATATTTTTTCTCTGGTTTAAATGCACATTCCATAATCAATTTATTATCTAAATCAAATAGAAATTATTTTTCTAGAAAATCCATTGATTTATCACCAAATGTTGTTCCATAAATACAACCAGGTGCTAATAGAATAATAATTTCTTAAGGAGGGTTATCAAATATTACTTTAACTTCACCAACATTTCTTCCAACAACTGAATTTGAATGAAAATTAGCAACTAATTCTAAACGAGCATCAATTCTATTCATATTTTGATTAATGTTACTTGTATTTACGACCATAATATTATATAATACATATTGGAGGATGATGACTAATTTATTCACAATATATAGGACAATGATCAAAATAACCTTAAAAGGTTTCTCCTAATATAGGATTGAAAGGCTAATAAAAATATTAGAAATTGATAATACTTTTTCCATAGATAAATATGAAAAGATAAATCCAAAAGAAAATGCTGCACATTATTTAATCCTAAAGAATTTATCCTTTGAAATAGCAGCTTCATCTAAAAACACAGGAGCAAAAGCCAAAGAACTACAAGCTCTTTCAGTATTAGATCTAGATTCAAATATAGTTACAGGCATTGATATACTAGTAAGAGATCTTCCCATTAAGAGTGAAGTTCCTTTAATTTATATTATGATATATATTTACCTATTCTAGCTAATAAAAATTTGACTACACTTTTCTATGCATTTACTTTAATCTCATTTATACATTTCAATCCACCATTTTTTTCATCTCTCATAAAATCTTTTCTAAATATATAATGTCCTCCTTCTTATTCTTTCATATACTTTCTGTTCTTATTTATTATTTAAATATAAATATACATTAATATCTGATACTAATGGATTCAAAATATGTTCAATATCAATAGCAATTTAACAAAATTTCCCACTAAAATAAGCCTACATCTTTTTTTCTACCCAATCTTCAATATTTTAAATAGTATCACTTTAACTTTAAGTTTAATTACTTTAACCCTTAGGTTATCTTTAAGTAATTGAATTTCTAACATCCATCACACTTTAATCAGCATTATTAGCTTATTAATCTTATTATCCAATAAATAATTTATCATTCATAGCATCTATATCATCTTCACAATCATAAAATTAAGTAATATTTCCATCAGATCCCTCATTTTCAGGTTAAATATCATCATTTTCACAATCATCTTCTATTTTTGGTTATTGAAATATGATATTTTATGAAATATTATTTGTAACTATTTAAGATGACTCTTAAGAACTAGATGTTTTCTTTTGTTTCATTTATTCTAATGTACCTTAAGAAAGATTATTTTAATCAGTTTTTCCTTGAACTTAATTAATATCATTTAATTTATCTGATTTTTTCATATTAATTTATTATTGTTAAACTTATTTATCATCATCTTTTAAGTTTGTAATTTATGGAATATTTTTATCTTTAGAAGGTAATGTCAATTATTATGGTGATTAAATTTAAATTTATTAATTTGGTCCCTATTATGGAGATGATACCAGAATAGGTTGTTATAAATTATTTTGATTTTAAATTGATTATTTAGATATATCTACAGTTTATTCAATTTTACAAGAATTTTATTTTGTTTCTTTTCTATTTTATATTTTTTATTTTTAAGTTGCTAATTCATTTTAAGGACTATTATTTGGAATAATGGATGAATTTTAATCTTACATAGGTTATTTATCAAAATCTATTTTTTATGGTTTTATTATGTTTTCATATTGCAAAAAATATTGTTATGATAATATTGAATCTTCTTCTATAAAAGCTAAACCATTATAACTCTATTCAGTGAATAACACAATATTAGTTTAATTATTTTCATAGAATAAACCCCAAACAGCAAATTTTAATATTCCAGAAACAGTACCTTAATGTATTTTTTAATCTACTTTTTTTTCTATAACAATTTTAATATTTTCTTTTTTTTTAAATTCCACTACATGTCTTAAATATGTGAATTCTCTTTTAAACTAAAACCAATTTTTGATTAATCTTATTTCTGTTATCATTTAGGATTTATCAGATTTGATTTCTTGAATTTAAGTATATTCTTTTAGATTATGAATATTCCAATCATATTAAGTGTGAAACAATTATGTTTAACATTTTGTTAAACCTAATTATGAATAATAATAATACAATTTCCTGGTAAAGTTAGAAATACTTTAAAATTGAGTTAATTATTTTTATTACGATAAATCTTCACTACTTGATTTTGGATTAGCTCATACTATTCTAATAAGTAAGATTTAGTTTTGATATTTTGAATACTAAATTAATATATAAGAATATAAATATACGCATCTCGAATTTCTGGGGTATCAAAAAATTATGGAATTTCATAATCGTAATCTCGAAGTGATGCTGTAGTGTAATAAAATATATTATACATATTGATTTAGAAGATAAACTAGGTTCGAATAAACTTTAAGTTCGTAGTTATTATCCACACATTTTTTTTAGGAACAACATAAGCTCATTAGCAAATTTCTCATTATCTGATCCCATTAATATATTCTTTTCACCTATAGTTGAAATCAATTCAAATTGAAATCTATTATTTTTTCTTTCTACATTTGCTATCTATCAAGAATGAGAATCTTTTTTTACTTAATAATTTGCAAGATGGTAATTTTTATTTTATTTTGAACTTTTTATTGAAAATATTCTAAGTTCTTGATCAATTATGTATTTCTTTGGTTGCCAAAGCCCAAATGTCTTTCCTTTGACTAGGACTTCTCCTTCTAAAAGATAATTGATTTTTGCCTTGTCCATAAATTTAATAATATATTTTGGGATATTAAAATGGATTTTTAGTGTAAACTATTATTCTACCCCTTTTGCTCACTTTACATCATATAAATTTATTTTAAAGTTATATTGTTTTTTTTTTGTAACAATATGATAATACAACCTAGATACTCATAAAAGATGGCTGATACATTCTCTAATAGTAAGGACTTTTACTCATTTCATCAAAAATAATTCATGGCTTCAAAACCATAAGCACAACGTTTGGAACATTTATCTATCTCGCAAAGAACTAAAATTCAATCAAGCAAAGATAGAACAAGTTCTGAAATTTTAACAGCTTTTATTAATAGAGGAATGCTTTCCACTTAATAAAAAGTGTCAACTACAAAACCTTATGAAAATTCATCAAGTATTTTAATAAAGTAGAGTTATGATGAAAAAATAACTAGAGAAGATTTACTGACATAATAGGCTCTATAAACCATAGAGGATTTGGAAAAAAGTAATAAATGATAATGAATAGTATAGGTAAGAAAATTCTTCCACCTTTGAGATTATATGCTGATAAATTAAAACTCAAAGAGAGACAGAACTAATCAAAAGAAAAAGTAGAAACCTTTAAAAGTTCCCTCATTGAAACGTAAGCTTTATATATTATAATAAGTCCAACCATATAAAGGACAATTGTGAGAAAGAATAGAGGATTTATGTAAGGTGAATAAAAGTCAACATATGAAAATGAACAAAGTATTTAAAAGATGGGAAGAACTTCATCTACACCTTTAATGTAAAAATCAAAAGAAGATAAGGAAGAATAAGCAACAAGTAGATCTGGAACTCCTTAAAAAGAAACTTCAAATGTTAGTCCAATAAAGAATCCTCAAAAGAGTTTAACAAAATAATTGAGTATATATACTCCTTAATAAAAAACAATTAAAGATAAGAAATTACATAGTGCTTTACATTTATCATAACCATAATAACAACAACAATAATAATAATAATATCCTATCTAAATTGATAAAAAAATAATTCCAAGAAAAAAAAAGAAATAAAATTAAGTTAATATTATTCAGTAATAGAATATATAAAAAGAGAAGTTGACTTTACGTCATACATCATATCGTTGTTTTTTGAATAAGATCAATTTTTCAAATAATTAATGCATATCTTGTCCCAATAAATTAGAAGTCCCAGCCTATTATTATTATGTAGGTCTTGGAAATAATGGAAGCTTAGTCAAAAATATATTTCGTTAAAGATGGTGGTGGTCTGAAGTAGAAACTTTAGATACAACAAAAGTTAATATGTCATGGACATAATTGAAATAGAATATTTGTATTGAATAATTACATCCTTATAATATGGATTCAGGAGCTTAGAGTTCAGATTCTGTTATTTTGAGTTATGAGGAAACCATTGGAGATACAAGTGATTCAGATATTGATGTAAGACCCAAATAATTGAGCATAACTGGAGGAAATCATAAATAGTAGAGTTCTTCTTAGCATCAATAAAAGAAACCTCCAAATTATTATTCAATGAAAAGAATATTAAATGCTTAAGATCTATAGAAGTTAGTCAATTATATGGAAGAAATTAATTGTTTTGATAGTTAATTGATATTTAGTGATTGTACTGAAAAATTATTAAAGGATATTAAATAATATAGTACTATTTAAAGACTTGATAGTAGAAACTAAAAGATGCATAATCATATGGAAGATAATTGGCATTTAGGTAATAAAAAGGCTTTGTTTTATAATATGAGACATTATTTTTAAATAATTAAAGAAGATTATAACAAATTGTTACCTGTAACATTTCATGTTCAAAAAGGATTAAGTGATATTGAATATTCAAGATTTTTGGATTATTATAACAAAAGAAATGAAGAACTTAGAGAAATTGAAAAGAATAGAGATAGAAAAGATAAAAAGAAATTACCCCTTAATCTTTGGATAATAAAACCAGGAGAATTGACTAATAGAGGTAATGGTATTACTGTTTGTAATGATCTAAATGAAATAAATAAAATTATAAGTGAAGAAATTTAAGAAGGTAGATAAAGAACCTATATTGTTTAATAATATATTGATAATCCTTTTTTGTATAATAAACGAAAATTTGATATCAGATGCTATATGTTACTGACTTCTTAAAATGGAATATTTAAAGGTTATTGGTATTAAGAAGGATATATAAGAACATCGTCTAAAGAATTTACTACTAAATGTTTAGATAGATTTGTTCATTTGACAAATGATGCAGTTTAATCAAAAGATTAAGATTATGGTAAGCATGAACCAGGCAATAAGATTTCTTATTTAGAGTTCTAAAGATATGTTGAATGTAATTATTCAAATTCTAAATTCAATTTTTTTATTGATATTTATCCCAAAATGAGATCTGCAGCCTTGGATATGATGAAGGCAACTTATGGTAAAATAGACCCTCATAGAAGAATTAATAGTTTTGAGGTATTAAAATTTATTAAATAATTTATTAGTTATATGGATTAGATTTTATGATAGATGAGAATTTTAAATTATGGTTAATTGAAGCCAATACTAATCCATGTCTTGAATAATCTTGTCCTCTTCTTAGTAGAATAATACCAACTATGGTAGAAAATCTATTTAGGATCGCTGTTGATCCAATTTTCCCTCCTCCATTTTTTGAAGAATGGCCTTAAAATAAAAAATTATTTATTCCTGATAATGTAATTGAAAACAATAAATTCGAACTTATTTTTGATGAATTAATAGAAAAGAAAAACATGCTTAGTTTGTTTCGAGACAATAAAATTGAATAAGAATGTTTTGATATTGAAGAAGAAGAAGAGGAAGAAGAAAAAGATTGATAAATTGTATAACTAAATTTTATAATTATCATTTTAAATTAATATTTAACTTTAGATTTATTATTTAATTGTTTATTTTATTTTGTTAGATTTCATCAGAAATATTAGGTTGTTATGAATTTAATTTTTTAATTTGGTAACATCATTTTTATCTTTTTCTATACAAATATAATTATATGATGTAATTCAAAAAATAATTAATATATATTTACTTACTTATGTAGAGAGTCATCTTTTAATATGCATTTAAAATCATAGATGGCCTTTTTGTTGGAAACCTTCGTGCTCCTTTAGTATATATAATATTTTATATTGATGAGGAAAGAGACTTTTTGTAAATGAATAAAATTAATAACATCATTAATTGTGCTGCATCTGAACTTACATATAATGGAAATGGAAACTCTCTCTCTTTTAATTGGAGAGATGTTGATGAATAAGTAAAACAACCAATTAAATTTAGAAAATTGTTTCAATTGAAAATATAGAAAAAATTGATGATTTTATTGAAACAGCCATCAATAATGGGGAGGGTGTATTATTTTTTTCACTTAGAGGATAGAGTAGAGCTTTAACAGCCTTAACAGCTTATTTAATGTACAAGTAACTTTTCTTACTGAATTATTTTTAGATTTAGTTGGAGCTTATATAAAACACTATAATTCTTAAATTCAAGAAGGAAAGACTTTGAAATTAGAGCAGCATTCTTAAAATAATTAATGAATTTTGAGACTGAATATTTCAAAAACAAAGAAATAAGCAGAAATTGGGATTATAATTAAGAAAATTAAGAAATTTAGGTTATTTAAAATACATATTTAAATTCTTAATAATAAGCACCTTTATTGGTAAAAACACTTGGGAGTTTGTCAATTCAAACTGGATAAAAATTAAATGTAACCTGGTCTATTAACTTAATATAATAAATATAAACAATTTAAAATACGTAAGAAAAATAGTAAAAAAAAGAATTGAAATCTATTTTAAAAGGTTCTACTCTAAATTTTAAGAAAGATAAATAATTTAGATCTATTTCAGTAAATGATAATTCAAAATAAAATTTCGAAGATTTCATTTTAGAAAGTTTGTTAACAACAAAAAAGTTACAAACACCTAAAATTAATAGTTTAAGTTTTGAAAACAAAGCAAAAAAAAAGGATTTTTTAGTTGTTAGTATATCTTAATAAAGACCTAAATCAAAAAGAAAATAGAATTTTACTCCAGAGAGGTAAAGAACAATATAGAACAATAACTCAATTTTGGACACTTATTTAAATTCACAATTAAATAATTTAAAATTAATGAAGGGTAGATCTATTTACACTCCTAAAAGAGACAGAGTAAGAGCAATTTCTTAATAGAATTCAAGTCCTAATAAAACTCCAATTCAATAAATATAACCTTTTTTTATTGAGAATCAAAATATGAGATGGAATATTGTGAAAAAGTAACCTCAATTCAAAATTAAATGATTCTTATAATCATTCTTATTATTTGTGTATATAGAATTACAAAATTTTTATTAATATCTATTTCTTATCAGTCAAAACTTGGTTTATTGGTTCTACTGCTTTTAATTTCTGTAATTAATTATCTACTTGTTGCAGCTTGTCCTTTTTTTTAACTTAATTTTGTCGAGACTAAAATAATATATTATTTAATTGTTTACTTCCACTTTTTTTATTTCTCATATCCTTCATTATTTAAAATATGTCAATACTAGTTTATAATGTATTTTTTCTATTTTACTAATATCAATACTTATCTGACATTTTAAGCTATTCTTAACTCATTTTATGAGATTCCTCTGATTTCAAGATTTCTGATTATTTTCTACTATTTGGATGTGGTTACATAATAAATCCAAATAATCTAAATTTTAAATATTTAATTATTACTATTTTGATTTTTTATTACCTCCCTTTGGAGACATTTATTTAACATCTTTTTGTCTTTCTCCTAAAGAAAATAATAGACTAGCATAAGACTTTGAATTTTCTTATTAAGTCCCAATTTTTGAATTTAAAGTTTATTTGAATTTCTATGTAACTTTGGCATCTGGAGATTATGTTGAATAGGACTCTTTTCTTAAAGCCTTATTGATCATATTGGAACAGTTAGTCAAATCCTATTTAAATGATATTAATTCCCCAACTGAAGTACTATTTTTGGTACTAATTCATTTTATTATTTTTTACTGCATTTTATTATTATAATTGACATCTTCCTTGTATACTTTATTTTTTTAAAGACTTGTTAATTGAAGTTATTATTATTCTCCCACAGAACTATAATGAGCCAATGGAGATATAATTCTATTCTTTTTATTAATAAAGACATCTTGTCGTCTCTCTCCTTATTAGACATAATTTAGGGATAAATTGAGGGGATATTTTTATGAATTTAAGAGACTGGTTCTGCTATCTTTACTTAGAGATTGTCCTCTGTTTTAAGATTAAGGTTAGATTAGTGGTGAATGACTTGATTATAATTTATGGGTGTCCAAATATAAATTTGTATTGATTTGTAAGTACTTTTAGGTTTCTAAGATTTCAATCTATTAATTGAATAGATGTCATAGATACATACGTTATTTTGCAATTTCAAAATTTCATATTGAAGTTTTGCATTCTCTTATGCTTTGATATTCAATTTTTACATCAAATAAACTAATTTTTCATTCATAGCCAATTTATGAGGTAATAAATCATTAGAAAAATCAGTTATATTATTTAAATCAGCACTTTTTTTTTATTCTAAAATTTCAATTTTAGATTGCAATAACATATTTTCTTAGACTAGAGTTTAATTCTTTTATTTCTATTAAATTAATTCTTATTCTAATTTTTGATTTTGAGTTTAAAGTTACAAGATTTAACTTTAAAAAGTTGTTTCAATAACATTTTTCTATTCAGTTAATTCCTTAATTTGTTTAGTCAAATCATCTTATAATGTTTTTGGAATATTTTAAGTATTATGCTATTTAACTAGAGTTTCCTCAAAGGCGCTCTAATTTCCATGATTAGTAATTAAAGGTTAATCTACACAAAGTTATTTCTTTACTAAATAAATATAATTTTTGAATTTATTACAACTACTGAAACAACCACCTTTTTAAGGGAAGCTGAATTTAGTTAAATTCTTATTTTAAGGAGCTGGAGGTTCTTACATAATGTCTTTAGGACTTTATTAAGAATCAATTCTCTATAGATTAGATTCAGATTAACCAGAATTTATACTCTATGGATGAAACTCAACAAATTCAATATATTGTATAGGAAGTGATTCTTAGATTTCTTCTTATTTTTGATCACTATTTTTTGGATTGGTATGAAATTCTTAAGATTCCTATAAATTAAGAGGATGAGAACTAAATGATTTAGATTCTTTAGTAAAATTGAGTTCTTAATTTTCAACATCTGGAATGTTGCTACAAAATTCTTCAAAAGTGTCTAATTCTGGAATCTATATATTATATATTAATAGTTTACTTATTATTAGACTATTTTGTCTTCATCAGAAGATTAGATGATCAAATTAGCTGGTTTTCTTTGTTTGAATAATGGTTACATATTGAATTTTAAATTGTATTTTCTTAATAATAAAAATATCGATAAATTAAATAGTATGTCTCATAAACAAAGTTTACAAAAGAATTCAGAATCATCTAATTCTCCTTCTTACAAACCTACACACTCTAAATGATACCATTAATGACAAGAATCACACTATTTTAGATTATATTCATTTACCTATACATATTTTCTATCGGGATTAACCGGTTATTGACACGAACAGAATTTTTAAAGTGTTTCTAAACCTTAAAATTATTTTTTTTCCATATCCCAACTTAATCTGTTAAAATAAACAGTGGATTCAATTTCATCAAGATCCTAGTATTCTTTACATGTAAAAATCTAGCATGAGTGTATCACAGTCTATGCCAAAATGTAATCTTCGTGTTTAGTTTTAAATAACTCTTGTTCTGAAACCCATTCATTACTTTTTGGATGAGATTTTATCACTTCACTTTTTCTCATATACCATTGCACACGACATAAACAAATCAGTTTAAGTGTTGTGGGTTCTTTTATTGATATAATTTATTTTATGGTCCCTATATAATCTTCATCATGAGCATCTCCACTATTAATCAATACACTCTCTCCCAACTTGATAACTTTCTTTTGAACCTTAATACAATCATATTCTTCATATAATCCTTTACTTTGTTTAGCTACCTTGATAAGGTTTTCCCATTTTTACACCTTATACAATTCTCTAATACTAATCGTAGAATCTTTCGAGATTTGTTTCTTTGTGATTGTAGAACTCTCTGGTGATTCCTTTTTTAATTTGTCCTTATTTTTTCTTGTCTTTTTGATCCAGTGAGAATACTTCATATATATTTAGATCAGATATTTATTTGATATATACTTTAATTAAAAATTCAATTGGATATAAAACTGCTTTCAAAAATATTTATTATATCTTGATTTTTGATCTAATTATGCATAACAAACTCTTTTGTTCTTAGATAAATTCCTTATTATATTATTAAAAGGAATTAAATTTATCCTAAACAACTAAATTATATCATATCTCTTAAATTCTAAATCTCAGGAGTTATAAGTCCCTTTTTTTAACACTAGAGAATTTTTTTTATCCCTTATTTTCGTTAATCTTACTGAATCTATTATTTTAAGATCCCTTCCTAAAGACATTTTTAATATTCAGAATATATTAGAAATATATAACTCTATTACATTTTAATTAAGGAACTTCAATATTTTTTATTAAGACTAACTCAATTTTTATAAAAAACCTGGATTTATATGATTAATTCTTATGCCATTCTTATATATTTGGATTACTTTTGACTAAACCTAATAAATATACTTTGAAATAATGTTAAGTTATTCATTTATCGATTCAATATTTAAAAGAGTATCAATATATTCTTAATAATATTTGAAAAGTGCTTTTTGATTTTAAATTTCATTTGAACAAAATAAATGAATTTCTATCTATTTTAATAACTGTTTTTGGAATTAATTATCTTATTTACTCAATTATAAAGGGTTGTGCTGAGTTTTTGAATTAAATTCCATTTTACTAATCATTATAAGATTGTATTGGTATAACCCGATTATTAGTATATCTAATATATGTATTCAATTTTGAACATAAAAATAATATTGTTTTCAAAATAATTATATAGAACTTATTATTATATAATTCTTCTTAATATATTTTTTATTAGCTTATTTAAATTATATTGTTACCATAAAATGATTGATTTTGAATTCCACAATCTGTAATATGAATATATATCAACTTTCATTCTAATATTTGTTCAAATACTCTATTAAGGGTTTTATTATAGGATAGTATTTCTGAATTAATAAATTTTTTTTATATATTTTCATTTTAATTAATTTTTATTATTATATTTTTAAACAGAATCATTTTCATTATAGTTCAATTTCATATTTATTTTATTTATTATTAAGTTCAATTAAGATTTAACAAAGAATATGAATAGATATTTTAATTCTTAAGTTCCAATATAAATTATTTATTAGACACATTATATAATTAATTATAGTATTCAAAATTTGAATATAAATTATATTAATCAATTTAAACATTCTTAAATTAAAATATTTAGAATTTAATATAATAAACTTAGCTTTATATAAATATATTAAAAGAAGTATATATATTAATAAAATTAATATGATTATTAATTCAACAAAAATGATATATTTTATATCAACACATTATTTTAGTATTTAATATAATGAGAGATATAATAATACTAATAATAATAAATCATTACTGATAAGACAGAAAAGAAGTAATATAAAATTGAATAAATAATAAGATAGAGATGAATGTTAGTTTTAATGTGAATATATTTTTGAATATGATTTATGTTATTAATTTCAATCAAAAAAACGTAAAAGTTTATCGATAAAATAGATTCTAAACAAAATTTAATTGTTTAAGAAATTTAAAGATCTTATTTATTGAATGTATTAAATTGTTAATCTTATTTATTAGACAAGAAGTTCTTAGAATAATGTCGTTATAAATATTGTATTATGTAAATTTGGTCTTAATTATTAATAACTAATATGTAAATAACTACGAATTACGATAGTGAGCCATTCTCATTAATAAATACTAAGAGATAAATATTTAGTGGAGATTAAGATGTGAAGATGAAGCAATATTTTCAGAGAAGCCGATCAATAGAAGATATTGATTAGATGATTGATGATTATGGTAAAAGTGCTAAGTATTGTTTAAATAATAGTAATAGACCTTCATCTTCTAATTTACGTAAGACAAAAAGCAATTATAAGCCTCCAACTATAAATATTCAAAATATCATAACAAATAAAAGGGAAACTTTTATTTTTGAGAATCTGAATTTGGATTAGAAAGAGCCAGGGTATGAGTTGATAAAAATTGAATAGATTTAGTCCAGTTTGGAAACATGGAAGTTTGAAGATCATCAGATTAGTTGCTAGATTTTTATATTAACTGAAAACAAAAGCAGAAACTTTGAAGTTAAAATTGATGAATCATCATATATTTAAATACATTGATGATAAAGCAAGTGATTTTAATGAATTCAAATCTGGGAAGACTATAGATGATCATTCCTTTAAAAATATAATGTGTAGAAATCTAAAGAAGATGGAAGGAGCATTTTCAATCATTAAGACTATTATAGAATATTTATTCAATAGAATAGGAGTTATATATCCAGAGAGTACATTTAAAATCATATGGGATTCTATAGTAGTATGTTTTATAGTAATCAATATATTCTTTATACCAATGTCATTGAGTTTTGAATTGGATAAATCAAGTACTTTAGTTTGGTTATTCTTTGAAACTATACCTAGTTACATTTTCATAGCTGAAATACTACTTAATTTTAATACTGCATATTATGGTCATGGTGTAATTCATTCAACCAGAAAAGAAATATTTCATCATTATGTTTCTGAAAATTTTTGGTGGGATTTAATGATATCTATACCTTATGTATTATCTTAATTGGATATACCTTATATACAATTTGTATTACTATTAAGAATTACTAGAGTTAAGTCTATGGTTTAAAATGTGGAAGATATGTTGAATGCTAAAGAATCTGTTTAGGCAGCAGTAGAATTATCTAAATTAATATATTTTATTATATTTGTTGCACATATGTGTAGTTGTGCTTGGCATTTATTGGGTAAAATAGAAGTTGATGTTTATGGAGATAATAATTCATGGTTGATTCATTATGGTTATTATGATGAACCTTGGCATACTAGATATATAGTAAGTATCTATTGGAGTGTAATAACAACATTAACAGTTGGTTATGGTGATATTGTTCCTTAGACTTCTATTGAATAATTATTTGTAGTTATTATTGCTATGATAATATGTGGTGTATTTGGTTATTCTATATCAACTATTGGAGAGATTCTTAAGAATTTGGAAGAAAAGAAGGGTCAATTTAAATAATTGATGAAAGAGGTTAATTCTTATATTAAAGAAAAAGAATTAAATTTATAATTATCTTTAAAAGTAAGAAAATATTTTGAATTCTATTATCAAACATAATAATCATAAAAGCGATCTTATCAAACTTTACTTAATAATTTGAATGAATAATTAAAATAAGAAATTATGATAGATCTATATAAGAAGATTCTCATCTAATCTAAATTTATTAATGATACATTCAATGAAACTTTGATTAATTAACTTTGTTAAAAAGTTTAATAAGAAAATTTTGGACCTGGAGATGACATTATTGATATTAAGAATAAAAGTGAAAAAAAACTAATTTTTATAATAAATGGATAAGTTGATAGTTTTATTCATATACAAGGTTCTCAAAAAGAAACATAACATCTTATTACTTAAGGCAAATTCTCTCGTACTTATAAGAAAGGAGATATTATTGGTGAATTTGAATTTATTACTAATAATGATTATTCTCTTTAATATAGGGCTGTCAAATTTACATAAGTTGCCTTTATTAGTAGATAAGATTTACTAGAAATCATAAATCAAGATAAGGATCATCTATATAAATTCCAAAAACTTATTGATTCTCTTACGTATTCTTAAAAATTAGGAAGAACTTGTGAAATTTGCAAATGGACTCATTTATATTAGAAGTAATTATAGAATTGTTTTATTTTCTTTAAATTTTAGTTGTCCATTTACATTCTATTAGCCAAATATTTGGAAAGTAGTTCGACAAGCTTCTGCATCTGTGAATATCAAAAGGTTCCCTTTCGAACGTAAGTCTCGTTAAAGATACAAAGCAATTTCAAACTCTTAGATTACAATAGCTACAATTTTGGATTTCATGTTAATCCATAATTTTATATAAGAAGAGTATATTTATTACATAAATATTAAGTCTCCTTTGTAGTAAAACACTATAAAGATTAGGTTTCAATAATAATCATAGGATTAGTTAGAGAGAGATTCATGAGATTAGTTCAGGCTCTTCTTCTAATACTTCAAGTAGTAGTGAATCATCATCTAATAATAATACATCTGTTAAAAATAAAAGAACTTCTTTATAGTCATAAAATGAAAAAAATGATAAATTTGAACGTTTGAGAACTACAGTAAATATGAAAGATAGTGCTCATAATAACTTACTAAAACCAATCTTATAAAAAATGAATTCTATTGGTTAATAACCACATGAAGATTAAGTTAATTAAAATTCAACTCCTAATATTAAATTGTTTCCTTACTTTTATAAGAAGAAATCTTCCATATCTAATATTAAGGCAATGTCAAAGGTAGAAATACCTAATGGAGCAAATGAAATTGAAACCAATAAAGATACATTAAAATTATATTAAATTTAAAAGGGACCTGAAAATTATGATGAAATGGATCTTATGATGTAAGAAGATAATGATTTTTATCCAGAATTTAATGTTTTCAAAGTTATAGAGATCTATAATAAATTTAGAATAAGAAATTTAAGTTTTAGAAAAAAAAGATAGTTTCATGAAAAATTAAAATCAATTAGATTATAAAAACAATTTAATCTAAAAATACTATCGCCTCGTTCATCCTAACAAATTATTTGAAATCAATTATATTTTTATTGAAACCATACCCTTTTTTATATTCATTATTTAATATAATTATATAATATTTATATAATATAATCAATATCAAATTAATAATTATAAAAATGGATAACAATAACTTTAATCAAAATATTCTAACACTAAAATGTGTAAATCATTAGAATTTTTAAGCAAAATACTTTTGTCTAAGTCCATAATGTCAATAAAGAAGACTTATTTGTTAAAATTGTCTAAATGCAATCCATTAATAACATTTTGATTAAGTTAAATAAATTTCAGATTTGTTCATATTATTAGATGAGAAATCTTAATTAGCAGAATAATTTTTAAGATAATATTTCAATTAATTTAAAGAACTTTAAGAAATTTTTAGTAGAACTATAAAAGCATTATAATATACTTTCGGAAAACTATCAGATTAATTATTAGAAATGGATTAAAATTAAACTATATCATTTCTTGATTAATTAATAAATTTTGATGCAATTAATGTGTTTTTAAGAGATTAAGTATCAAATAAATTATTAAAAATCTCTGAAATGTTGAGTTAAATATTATAAAAGTTACCTTTACAAAACATCTCATATAGGATGCCAAGATAATTAGAATAATATTTGTAATAGGGTATAAATATTAAAATAATTTATTAGGTCAACAATTAAGGTAATAAAATCTTAATAAAGAGGCAGTTATCTTATTCGATAAAATTCTATAATAAAATCCATATAATATATAGATTATGTTAGAAAAAGGTAAAAGTTTTTTATAATTTAATAGGAGAATGCTTAATTGAATAGAATTTATTACATGAAGCATAATTTCAATTTTAAGAAATACTTTATTTAGATCCTCGACACAAATAAGCGTTATATAAAAATGGTAAATTATATTTAATTCTATTTAGGTAATTGCTTACTTAAATGCAATAAATATGATGAAGCTATTATTTAATTTAAAAAATGCTTAAATATAGAATAAAATAACTTTGAGGCTCTTTTAGGCTTAGGTAAATCTAAAGAATATTAGAAGCTGAAACTTTAAGAAAAATGAACCAATTAATTTAAGCCAATTAATAATATGACAAAGCTATTAAGATTAATTAATAGAGTTAATAGGCTTTTTATGGAAAAGGTATAAAAGATTATGTAAATTTAAAGCGGAATGTTTAAAATTATTGAATGATTTTATTAATTCTGAGGAAATGTATAAGAAATCCTTGACAATAAATTCAAAACACTTTGATTCATTATTTGGTTTAGGTAAAAATTGAACTGATATTATTAGCGGATTGTTTAAAAAGATCTAAATAATTTTAAGAGGCTATCATATATTATGATCAGTCTTTGTAATTCAATCCATAAAATCCAGAATTATTGGAAGGAAAAGGTTATTTTCCATTTGAATTTAGCTACTTGTTTAAGAACTATTGGTTTTAATACTGAAGCAGTTCCATTATATTAATAAGCATTAAAATACGATCCTTTTTCAGCTGAGATTTTGAAAGGACTTGGTTTTATCCATAATTAATTAATAGGAGCAAGCTTACGAAACTTACACCAATATAATGAGGCGATTACATTCTTTGAAAGAGCGTTAGAAATCAATCCAAATTCTTCTGTTTCTTACAGGGGGAAAGGTTTTAAATTTAAAGATAATAGCTGAGTGTTTGAGGTTGTTAAGAAAATGGGATGAAGCACTTGTAAATTATACTTAGGCTTTAAGATATGATACTAGATAGTTTGAAGCTGCATATTTTAAAAGTAAGTATTATTTTTAGGTTAATTAGCTTAGTTAGAATACATTATATAATAATTGAGAAATCATGAATAAAATCTTTCTATTAATCCTCAAAACTTCTATTCTATTTTTGGAAAAGGTTTTATTATAATAGTAATTTAGCTGAGTGCTTAAGATTGTTAAATGATTATGAAGAAGCTGAAAAATTTTATGCTTTGGCAATAAATCTTAATCCCTAATATTATAATTCATTCATAGGATATGGTATAAGCATAAAAAATGAAAAATTTAGGTTGGTGTTTAGCTATAAAAAATAAAATAAAGGAAGCATTAGATTAATATAATAAGGCATTAAAAATTAATGAATATGCAGTAGATGCAATTTGGGGGAAAGGTTATATTTTAAAAGAACTTTAGGGGAATGTTTAAGATTGATGAAGGATTTCAAGCAAGCTTTGAATTATTATAAGAAAGTTCTAATTTTATATCCTAATCACTATATTTCATTAAGTGGTATAGGTAATTAATTACAAAGTATTTTAGCTGATTGTTTAAGAATGACTTAATAATTTGATTAAGCTTTAGATTAATATTAAAAAATACTGCAATTTTATAGTAGACCATGTTTATTATATGGAAAAGGTATAAATTTATTTGAAATAATAGCCATTTGTCTAATGAATTAAAGAAAGTATTAAGAAGCTTTATAAGCGCTAAGTTTAGCAAAAGGCTTAGCACCTTCAAATTAATATATTGAAAAAGCAATTTGTAAGATATTATGCTTATCATTTAGAGTTTTGTAAAACCCTATAATAAATTCCTTAAATTTGTTAGATTATACTTAGTCTTAATGGAGTAGGAATTAACTAAAATTAAAATTAATGATATGATATGAATATCAATAAAAATATGAATAAATGATATGTCTAATTTAATATTCTTATATATTTAATTCAATAATAATAGTATTGCTATATTAATAAATGTTTATCAGAATGAATAAAATTAATAATATAATATTAGTCATTAAATGCCAAATATACCCTTTATTGATTAAGAAATAAATAATTAACAACATTGGAAATGGAATTCAATAAAGATGAAGAATTAAATATAATTAATTTTATATTGATATTCATTTTCATAATATTCATTCTTATACTCTTCTTTAGACACCTAAGATAACAAATATTATAACCTTTAGGAGGTGGGATAAAATCAGTATAGAGTGTGTTATACAAATTGGGATAGAGAGCCCAAACAGCTAGAAGAATCATTTATTTTTCTTACCCCAACATCCAACTGCGGGTAGTATTCCCATGAATCTCTTACTTTTGGCAGTCCAAGCCTCATAACCAAGTTTATAAAATGTAGGTAAATACATCAATAATTAAATTAATTATAAATATAAATTAAACTGCTAATTTCTTAACAATTATTTGAAAATGAATAAAAAAATAATGTTTCTCAGTATTATTAATAAAAGTATGAGAAGAAAATAATATAAATATCATTCTACACATAGAAAGCAGTTTATTAATTATTGATTTTTTTATTTATTTTAATAACCTGAAGTTTCTGTATCTATTTTAATGATTTTTTTATTTAATTATGTTTCTTTTTAAACTAATTATGATTGAGGATAATTAAAATATAATGTTTTGAATTTATGATTTCTAACAATTAAGTCTCCAACTGTAAAATGTAATAAAGGTATTTTTTCTTAAAATTTTGACTTAATTTAATCTAAAACTCTATTACGAGTAATATCAACCCACTTATATACTTAATCTTCTTATTCTTATAGTAAACTGGAATCGAATTGTATAATATTTTTATTGAATTCTTTTTATATTGTAGATAATTTAGATAAAATTTATAATTTATCTTATAGTAATTCTTCTTTTTAATTAAAGTAATTATATGCCTAACTTAGATCTATAGATAAAATTGTTATAGGTTTTCTACTTATAATAACATTTTAATCATTATATAAAGAAGTGCAAATATCAAAAATAACTTTGGAATCAAATTATTTTGGATTTTATATTTATTAAAAGATGAACAATATTGTTTCAACATCTGTTCCATATATTGGTAATCGATATTGAAATTAATCAGGAGATATTTTAGGAAATGTATTTGAGATATCAATTGAATCAAAAATTAGTATTTTAATTATTTTAAATTTGCTAAAATCTCTTAATAATCTATTTAGTTTAATACCTCCACATTCTATTTATGGAGATTATTATTTAGATATATAAATTGCATCATAAATGTAACCATTATCTGATAAGTATTTTTACCATACTAATGCAAATGTCTAACTAGTAAATAGGAAAACTATTAGATAAGCTTTTGAAAGTCTAAATAAAATATAAAATAAGAATATATTATACATTTTTAGAGTATTTTTGAGATCACTTCTTAGTGTACATGGACAATAAGGACTATCACATTGTTCAATTACACTACCTATTAAAAATGAATGACAGATTTTTAAATCAGTTTTATGATCCCAAAAGTTTCTTTTTGATTGCAATAATAAATCTAAATCAATCAAAATTGTAATATACTTTCAAAATTCAAAATAATAACTTTATCCAAGTATTCCTCTCTATTATTAATATTAATATAGAGACATTTAATCATAATACCTTTTTGTAATTCTTCATATTATTTATTTAAATAACGTAGTTGTATTGCATGTTCTAAACTTTTTTGTTTCTTAATAATAGGTTTAGCTTTTAATTAACGACTTTGTAATTTCATTCTAACAACTTATTAAGTAGATGATAATTATGGTAATATTTATTATTCTTTTTGCATAAGTTTAAGATTAGTAGTACATCGTTTATTTATTCCTTTTTTATCAACTTATTAAATTTATGAATCTTCAATATTATTGTTATCATAAGTTATTCTTCTCTAACTTGGTATTTATTAGACTGAATTTGAAACAAAGACTTATTCTTCAGGTTCAGAATGTTTGCTATCATATCTCAATTTATTTCTTGTTTCTAAAATGCTAAAGTTAGCATTCTTAAAGACAAAATATCCTCGATAAATATTTTATTTGAAATGACTGTGTTTATTAAAATAAAGGGAATTCGAGATTGCATTATTTTACATATTAATTTTATTATAAAATGCTAATTTTCAATTAGGTTTTCTGAATTATGATGAAAAAAAGTCTTATTTAGGTTATTATTTAGAAACCTAAGTGAGCATTTATTGAATAAATGAATTTCTTGTACTTCCTGAATTTTTTAAGTTACTCATACCAATACCACTACCAACTCTTTTTAATTTTTATGTTTTTGGTGAATTTTAACATGATGCAGCTATACTGTTTTTAAATAAAAATTCACCTTAACCTGCTCTATCTGTTAAACACACAAATTCTTATTATGTATCCAATAAAGGGGAATTTAATGGTTTTCCTTCAGATTAATTCTTTTTATGTTTTGTTTATTTTACTAAAATATTTTAGTTTTATAATTATTACATTTTTAATTCTATAAATTCTCATTAATATTAATATTAATATTGATGATTTTATCTTAATTAGATGTATATCGGATATGAATATTTGGTTATGTTGCCTTTCTGGTTGTTTAAGATCCAGCAACTTTGATAGTTTTTTGACTCTATTATTATTATTATGATATTTATGAATGGGTTGAAATCTAATTTGAAGTTTACTTCCCTTGATTGCTTTTAAATTCAAATTGAGATCCTCTTGATGCAGTTGGACTATTTCTATTAGAAAAGAAATTTTTGGTTCCAGATATAGGTCTATGGGTTTATGATCCAATTTTCCATTTTAATTCTTATTCTGTTGGATCTTCTTCAATAAATATTTTAGAAATCTATTTAAGATTCAATTTGCCTAAAAAATTTATTATAAAAATACCAATAGATATTTGATTAGTTGTTTAGGTTTTTTAAGTATTATTATTTGATGTTGGAGATAGAACAGGATTCTAATGTTAACGATTAAGATTTAATGGTATTTATTAAACATTTTTTCTTAGATCTTTTAAAAATAATTAAGTTGATATTTTAGGTTATTGTTACACTATTGTTTTTGATTTAGGATTTATTGATTATTTTATATAATCATTTTAATCCATTCTTATATTACTTTACAAATTTTCATTACTTTATTTGTTCTTCAATAATGAATCAACTTAATTCTTTATAAAATTTACATTAATGTCTCTTGATATCTTATTCATTTATTATATAAGTTCTGTATTCTATTTAGAATGTTATGAACCCAATCTTTATTTAATTTCATCATTTTACTTTTGAATAATTGTCTAAATTAATTATTCATGAGGTTAACTTAATTTTTTAGTTTATTTTTATGTTTCAGACACTTTATCTCTTTATATCTTTTATGATTATTAATTAAGATAAGCTAAAAATTTATCTAGTTTCATTTCATCACCTTTACCTTAGGAAATTAATAATGAAGATTATTCCAAACCAATATTTCCTAATTATTTACAAATTTCCTATAAAGTACAGGATATATCATTCTTCTTTTTATTAATTTAAGATTAATTGTTAAGCCAACTTAAATCCTTTAAAATTTGTATATTCCTAATTCTTTTTATAGTATTTGGGGATTCTTATTGTCTTTAACTCTCTTAAGAATTTGCTGGCGATGGTCTTTCTCCTACAATACCTTTTGGTGGTCTATTAGGATTTTTCTTGTTCTCCTCCTCTATCAGATTAGCTATTCTATAATATTCATATTTGCGCTTCTTATCATAATATTTATTCAACAACGTTGCTATTGGTTCCATAAAGATTCGTGCTATATCTGTATGAAACTCTGTTAAATGGTTCAATTTACTTTATAGTATTCAGTTAACAACTGGATTTTCTGTGGATACTCATCTTCATAATAGTACCTCTTCAAATATTCATCCTTATATGAAACCATATACTTACATCATCATCATAACCAACCCAATCCTTATAACGTATTACTGCCTTTGATGAAGCATCTCCAAGTATTTCATTGACATCTCTAGTGTAATAATAATTCTAAGATTGACAATATTTTTGTAATAAGTTTTTATTGATCCAAACAATAGAATTTACTATCAATTCAGATTGCCTTATGCTCTTCAATGCTTCATTTCCTATACTCTATTTTTATTTGTTTTTCATTCTTATTGTTTTATATAAATATTTTATTAAAAAGAATAAATATATAAATTTAATCTAATTCAAACTACCATTATTAAATATCAATATATCTATATATTCATATAAATAGATATTAAAAATTAATTAAAAATTATTGCTCTTGAATAATAAATATAATCAATTATAGAAAATTAAATGAAATTTTATTCATTATTTAATATAAAAATATGTAAAAACCAGAATAAGTCATGCAAGATTTTGCTAATTTATTAGATAAATGTATAGTTCCTATTAAATATTAAAGATAGAAATGATCCTGAAGCTTGGTCTCAAATCTATAAGGTCATAAATTATAAGCCAACTCAAAATATACCAAAAGGTTAATCGTTAGACCCTGAAAAAATAAGAGAATTTTTGAGACTTGGTAAACCTGGTACTTAAGACTTTGATCCTTATGATGACATGATATATTTCGATGATAATAAGGTTAAAGAAATAGTTTTGAGACAAAATTTTCTAATTGCAAAAGGTTTATACGTTTTTTCAATAATAAGGTTACTTTGATCCAAAAGCTTATTTTCCCTCTATCAATTTAAGTAGTTTAGATGACACATCTTTTGATGAAAAAATTAAAGGTAATAATTATTGCATATATTTAATTAAGAAATGCTTAAAATACCTGATCAAATGGAGAAAAAAAATTGAAATTTATATCAAAATTAAGTTAAATTGCATGAAAAATACTCCTTATGTTATATAATTTAATAATTATAAATATTAAAATATTGTTATTGCTCTAAATTTGGAGGTTTAGTTTTATTTAATTCACTTTTAAGTATTATAATTCTCTAAAAATTAGTCTATAATATTTAGTTCAAAATATTATAAAAATAACAACTCTTTTCTTATTAAAAATAAGTATTATTAATTATGCACTAAAATTCTGGTTTGACTTATCATAATGTTGATTCATATATAGAAACTGAAGGATTTTTTTGCTTTGAACAATTTACTAGACTTGATTTAAAGAAAAAAAATTGGGAGGAAAGTTTAAATAGTTTAACAGATGATTTGATTGCACTTAAAAGTGAATATGTAGATTTAGAAAATCTTGAAATATTTATTGCTCTTTTAGAATTCTTGGAAAAGAATATCCAAGAATCAGAGGTAGGGTCTCCATATTATTAATTAAGATAGGGTATGAACTAAACATCAATTAATAATTATATAAATGATATGCTTGAAAATATTGAAAAGAGTCTTACATGTGATTCAGATGACTATAGAGCAATAGATTTTCCAGGATTATTAAAATTGGAGGATATTCTAAGTTTTTTAAAGGAATCTAAATACATTAAATCTTATATGTAAAAAGTAGATTACTTACTTCAAATTTAATAAGAAAAGAAATAATAATAGTAATAAATAAAAAAGAAAAAATGATCAATCATTATTTATATAATAAATATAGACTAGTTAATATTTTAATATTCTTAAAATATTCTTAAGGTATTCACTATCATACTTATTCTTTATTTATAGAAAATAAGTTATATTCTTAGATTAAGTTTATGAATTCTTAATAGAACATAAAATATTTATTATATGAACTTATACTTTAGCATTAATTAATATTTCTATTTAATTAAATTTTATATATATAATAAAAGTTGATGATTAGTATTTACTCTTCATTTTTGTTATTTATTTATGTAATAGAAAAATAAATGATATTTTTTAAGATATAATTTCGCATATTTAATATATTATAATTTCATCTGATTTAATATAATTCTCTAAGTTTTGGATCTTCAAGTTCTTTATTTATTTCATCTCTCATTTTAAACTTTTATGGTTTACCTGTTACTGTATATGGAAAATCATTAACAAATTTAACATATTTTGGAATTTTGTAATGAGCAATTTTTTTATGACAAAACTAATAGACATCTAATCCAGTAAGTTGTTCTGCTTCCTTTTTCATTTTAATTAATGCTACAACTTCTTCTCCATATTTTTCATCAAAACAACCAACTACTTAAACTTATTCAACTCCTTATAAATGAGATAAGTAATCTTCAATCTCTTTAGGATATATATTTTCACCACCTCTTATAATCATATCTTTGATTCTACCAACTATTGCCACATAACCATTTTTATCCATTGTAGCTAAATCTCCACTATGTAAAAATCCATTTTCATCAATAGTATTTTTAGTAGCTTTATTATCACCCCAATATCCTTTCATAACTGCATATCCTCTTGAACAATATTCACCTGGTGTATCATAAGGTACGATATTTCCATTTGAATCAACTATTTTCACTTCCATATTCATAGGTAATCCAACTTTGCTAGTTTTTATTTCAAAAGAATCTGTAGTTTTAGTCTAAGATGTTACAGGACTAGTTTCAGTTTAACCATAACAATTTGAGATATCTCTAACTCCTAAAACATTAATAATTTATTTCATTAATGCTTCTGATGCCAAAGATCCTGCAATTAAACCAGTTCTTAATGTAGATACATCATATTTTTATTTATGTCTCTCATATTCATTCAGATATTCAATAAACTATATTTATAGATATAATATATAATACCATTGTTGGAACTCCATAAATTGATGTACATTTATAATTTGTAACTGCTTCTAATGTAGCTCCTGCACTAAAACCATCACTTGGATAAACCATTGTAGATCCATAATTGATACATGCCAAATTACCCATTACCATTCCAAAGCAATGATATAATGGTACAGCTATAGCTACTCTATCATTTTATGTGTAATGTACTCTTTCCCCAACATATTTACCATTATTCAATATATTTAAGTGACTTAAACATGCTCCTTTTGGTGCTCCTGTTGTTCCAGATGTAAATTAAATATTTGTAATATCATCTGGATCTTAATTAGACATTCTTTAATCAACTTCATTCAAATGAGAAGTTCCAAAAATAGAAAAGAGTTCTTTAAAATTAAAAAACCCCTTTTTATGAATATCATCAATCAATATCACACCTAATTCTAGTGTATATAAGAATACTTTTCAATGATGGAATTCTCTTTGAATTTAGATTACCTGGTTAATCTAATTCTGGTGCTAGTTCTTTAATCATAGAAACATAATTTGAATGTTTGAATGTAGATCTCAATATCAAGGCTTTACATTCAACTTTATTCAATGTATATTCTAATTCATTAGTTTAATAGGCTGGATTAATATTCACTAATATTAAATCAGCTAAAGCTGCTGCAAATTATGTTAAAGCCCATTCCACATTATTAGGTGAAAAGATTCCTATTCTATCACCTTTCTCTAATCCTAAAGCTATAAAGGCAGCAGCCAACTCTCTTGATCTCTTGTAGAATTCACTATAAGTCAATTGAACATCTTGCAATTACGAAACCACCTGAAATCCTTATATAGCATAGTTACGGCTAAATTATCAGGGTATTTCTCAGTTATATCATGTAATTGCTACCCAACTGTTTTATAAGTTAAGGGAATATTTGAAGCACCATGAAAGTAACTCTTAGCGTATCTTATTCCTTTGAATAGCATAATAATAATTAATAAAATGATATGTATTATCTAATAATAATGATGCAACATAGAATTAATGTATTAAATATATCACTTTAATATAATTATTTATAGAATTACTTTGCATAAGTTTCTCTACTATATCAATTAAAATTCAAATCTTTTTGCAACTTATTATTGCTTTCAATTTGATATCTCAGTATTAATAATGAAAATAATTAATGAAATTTATAAAAACGGAATATTTTAATTATATATACAAAGATTTAACAAAAATCTTATAATAGATCATAAAAGCATTTTTATGTTATGCAATCCAAATAAGACAAATAACATACCACCACAGAGATGTATCTAAATTTTAAATCTTTTAAATATAATACATATTTTTCAGATATTTTTGATGATATCATTTTTCCTCCAAGTACAGCTGTACTTGTACAAATAAAATGACCAAGAAGTGCACCCACTAAAACTACAAAAGTATCTTCAGTTGCCAATGCAATAGTTGTAATCTAACTTCTATCTCCCCATTCGGCTAAAAAGGTTAATACTATTGCAGCTCTTAAAATTTCGAAATTTGAAACATTCTTTGTATCTGATTATTTGCTAAGTTTTGACTTAACTTTATTCACTTCTTAAACAGCTTCCTATTCTTCATCATCATTTTCATTATTTTCTGAACTCCAAAATTCTCTCAACAATTTTTATCCAAAATAAAAAAACATAACAGAAGCTATTGTATGTGTATATGTAGGATTCAAAATTTAAGGTAACAAAAATCCAAAGAAACATGATAATAGAGTCATTAGAACCATGGCTGTATAAGAACCTATAAATACCAAACTCATTGAATAAGTCATTCCCAAAATTGCTGTAATGAAGAATGTCTATCTTAAATGTATGTTAAATACCTTATCACCTATTTCTGATACAATAATAGAGGAAAATGATGAAGCAAATGGAGATAATTCAGAAAATAGCATTAATTAATTATTATGAATATAAATTAAAGTTTTATTCGTTTTATCCATTATTTTTATGGATCTGGAAGAATAGTAAGGTCTTATTCCAAATATAACACCTGCCAAATCATTAAAATAAATTCGTAAGGTCAAATACACCAAATCAACCTACTTCAATTATTTGATTGCAATTTTAGCATTAATAATACTTGCACTTATGTCATATATTGTAATAGATATAACTGGTTATGAAATTATGCATCTTACCTTTAAATCATCCACTAGTAAATTAAATATAACTAATTAAATACCAATCTAAAATGAAGACTAATCATAAATTGATACTATGGATTATACATCTTAAATAGATAATTTATTATGGGATGATGCTAATAATAATAAAGAGAATCAAGAAGTACTAACTGAAGAATTTATAGATGAGAATTTTTCAAATTAAGATGAAATAAATAAAATAGAGGAACCATCTATTGAAAATTAAAATACTGAAATTAACACATTTTAGAATGATACTTTATAAATTAGTGATTAATCAGAAGTTGAAGATTAAGTTTAAATACTTAATGATGATTAATAACTTGAATAATATTCTCTATTGTAATCAGGATCAAGCATAATAACACCAAAGATAGATGATTAAAAATATAATTATGTAGAATTACCTAATAAAATGAAAATTCTATTGATTTAAAATGATGATGAGAATGCATAAATATATTTAAATGATTTTAAAGGATATTGGTAAACTAATTATTTTGTTAAATGTGATTAATGTAAGATTACTGTCAAAGAATAATAAACATAATATTTTATATAAACAAAATCTGATCAAATTTTAAATTCATTTACTGAATTAAGTAAAGCTTTTGCATCAGAAACTCCACAATTAAAATAGATAAACTATTAGAAAACTTCTTGGGAAGAGTTGCTTACTTAAATATCTAATGAAAATCATCCATTATCATCTAAATATTCTAAATCATCCACATTTTAATTATCTCCCAATTAAATTGTATTGATAATCAAAGGAAAATTTAATTCAGATGAATTAATGAATGGAATTGTATAAAGTGATATTGTATTATTAAGAGATAAAGATATAGAAGAGTTGGAAAATATTGAAATTATTAATTAACATGGAAGTATCATTAAATGGAACAATTAAAAAGATTTAAATTCAATTAAAATATTATATGAATTAGAAAATAGTAAAGAATTGAATTTTATAGATTATTTTATCTAGACCTCTCTATAAAATTATATCATAAACAATAAATTAGGTCTAGATGTTAAATCAAATGTGATATTAAATTAAAATAATAGATAATTGTATTAAATTTAAATAGCATTACCTTTCTAAGATTAAATGGATTATGATCAAAGAGAATTAGCATATAGACTAAGTAAAATAGTCATAAATTTTGCTAATTCTTTGTAAGCATAATTAATAGATAAAGATAATGAATTATCAGATTATTGTAAATAGATGATAGATTAATTGTAATAAATTAATAATTTATAATTTGATTATGATAATTAAGATTAAGATTATATGGAAATAGCTAAAAACCTTAAATAAGATTTAATAGAAGAAGTACTTCATTATAAGTTTTTGGTCTAAATAGTTCCTGAATCCTTGAAGAAAACATTAGATAATTTACAATCTACTAAAAATATGATCATTATTGTTAGTGATTCTTAATATCATACTGAATATAGTTTTCTATAAATTTCAAAAGGTTCTTCTACTTAGGATCTACTTTTTTTAACTTAAGATGAATTAGATATAAATTAGAATGGTATTTCTTATTCTTTAAAAGAAATTACTGAATAAACTAAACAATTTATTGAAAAAACTGAAGATGAAATCATATTTGTTTTCCCTCAAATTAATTAATTTATACCTTAAAACTTAGATTTAGTTGAATCAACTTAATCATTTGATATTAATGATTAAGTTGAAGTGATTGTAGATGTTTCTAAAAAATTACCAAAAATCAATGCTGATATAACTATTTTTACTTATGGATAATTTATATATGCATAATATTTATATGAAAGAATCATTATGGAATATTAAGATGCAATTAATGTAGGTTATGGAATAGATGTGAATTAAAATTAATATTTTTAAATTCAATTATAAGGATGGTCAGATCATTATACAAATATATTTAAAGGAATCATGGAAATTATAAAAGAGAAGCCAAATGAAGAATTAAAAAGTTAATTACAATATAAATTTGATATGTTACCAGAACATTTAAAATTAATTAATTCTAAAATTGAATCAATACTCATTGCTAATTATAAAAAACCTTAGTTTGGATCTGTTGGATAAAATTATAAAATGAAACTTATTGGAAACATTTAATAAAATCAAGCACAAGAATTAGATTAGATGCTTCATAAAGCATTAAATTTTAAATAAAAATTAAAATAGGATCCTATATAAATTTATAGTATTAGAAATAAAGAAATCAATTATCAATTAAAAGCAAAAGATAAATGGCATTTATTAATAAACTTTTATTAATTTTCTTAATTAAATTAAAATCAATAAAAATTATTTAATAGAATACAAGAGTATGTTTAAATTAAATCACAAGAATAACATATTATTTTTGAAAAAAGAACTATTGGTTGTACATAAGGGTTTTTCTTAATTGTACAATCTTTTAAAGATTTAAATGATTAGATAGAAAAATTAGATAAATTAATTTAATAATCACTTAATGAATTAAATAAAGAAGATGGGTCTAATAAATAAAGTAAAAAATCAAAATATTCTTAATTCTGGAAAAAATAATCAGGAAAAATTACATTCTTTATTGATGATTAAGATAGAAATACAAATATGGAGAATTTAGAATTAATTCAATGTAAATGAAAGAAAAGCATCTTCTATTTTTATTTTGTACAAAAATATTCAAATATAATAATTAATATATTTTTTAATGAATATCTTATTGATTTATTCTTTCACTTTTTCAATTGGTTATAATTTGAATAATGTATTAATTATAAGTAATATAAAATATAAATTATAGCATTTTACAACATTTTTATTTTAACTAATATTATTTGTTAAATTAATTTCTTCGTTAAACTACTTAAAAGAATAAATCTTATTATTTTATTTTATCTTCTTATTTCTATATATCTAAACTTCATCCTAAATATATATATTTTTAAAAACTAAACTTCATTTTTGAATTAATAGGACTTGATTCAAATGAATATTGATATTAATACAAATATCTTCTTAATATTTTCTAATCCATAATGTATAATATTGCAATAATGATTTTCTTAGAATTCTATTATATAGACTAATTAATACTATAATTGTATATAGATTCTATACAAGGACATATTAACCTTAAAATATTTGCCAAAATTACAAAATTCAATTCATATAAATTTGTTCATATATAAGGACTTATTGTTTATATTCTAAAACAAATACCTTTAATATTAGTTGGTTTTTCATTTTTTATTGAATAATCAATAAAATTGTCTCTTTGTACAAATCAAAAAAAAATGAAGAAATGTTGAAAAAGGGCAAATATATGAAAAAGCAGAGGAAAATTTTAATAAATAATATAAAAATCTAATTAGTCTCTGTATTTTCTTTTTTTTTATGTTCATATCTAGTCAGAGCACATCCTAAAACTTCTCCTCTAAATTAATTCTGAATCCATTGTTAAAGAAATTCTTCTTTATGATTTTGGAGGAGTTATAGCTTAGTCTAAGGAATACAATGAGTTTCTTTAATTAGAATGCTTTTCAACTTAGATCAATTGATTAATCCCTATTTAATCTAAATATGACACAATCGATTATTCAATATCATTTGTAATTGGAAGCCAACCTTGTGTAAATTGGTCACTTTTTGTTGAGTTTTCATTTGATTTCTAGAATTAAGGTGATTGCATAAATATTATTTTATATTTTTAATTATTTCAGATGATTTCGAAAACCATTTATTAATAATAAGTATATATTTAATCTGCTCATATAATTGATATTTCTTATTGTTTGAAAATTAAAAGTTGGTTCATAATAATTATTATTAAATTTTATTAATATATTAATCAATATGAGGCTTTGTTGGTAATTATAGATACTATTCATATAATACTAAAGCTTATTGATAAGAATTTTAGTAACCAAATTTTTAAATGGCTTAATATATTTTAGAAATCTATAATCTATCTTAATCTGTAAGTTTTGATCTAGAAACTTTAACAGCCTTATTAATATAATCGTATAATTCAAGTAGAGCATACTCATTATTTTTGATTTATTCAATCTTCTATTCAATTTTAAAAATAACTGTTTTAATTGTAGAAATATCATTAGCATTAATGATCTCATTTAAGTTATCAATAGTTTTTTGTAAGATTTATTTAGTTTCAGGTAATTTAAGTACACTACATTCAATTTAATAAATACGTTAATTGATAACTAAGTGCATCTTTTAAAGTATTCAATTTAATATTCAATTTTTCAATATTATTTTCTTTTATCTAATAAAATGAATCATCAGATTAGAAATTTTGTATGACAGATAATTCTAAATTTTTTGATTTTTTAAACTAATAAAGAAAATCCTCTACTAATGCACACATTTATTATAATTCTGGTTCATGTTTTGATTTTCCTATTTAAGAATACATAGAATATTCAAGAGCAATTTATGAAACTTCTTCTTATATTTTCTTTTCATTTTAACTCACACTTTCTCTATTATTTTATATAAGGTTTAACACTTTGTCTTTAAGATTTGTGATGCCTATAAAAACAGATGGATCATCACTAATTATTGAAAAATCACTGAGAACCTCAATAATATAAATGAATTTTTGATACATTAGATAAATTCTATTCATTAATTACTAATTTTTCATCTTTCTCATTTTCTGTTTTTCTTTACATTTTATATGATTAACCAAATGTAATTCTTTCTTTATCATCTGTTTTCTTCTCTGATTACCTAAATGAATATTTATCAACAATTTCTTAAATTGAAGGTCTTGGATTACTATCACTTGTTAAGTTAACTTCTTAAAAATTTGGATTATTGAATAGCATTTTTATTAATTTATTGAAATTAAATATTTCAAATCAGTTAGATTATGAAATAAAAATGATAATTGATATGATTATACTTTAATAAATTAGATAGAAAATAATAAATCTTAAAAAAATGAAGCTAAATAAATCTAAAATATAAAGATTATTATAATAACAATTTATATTTCAAATAAATCTAAAGAATATCTTTATTATTTATTATTAAAATAAATGATAAAGATTATTTGATCTTTTTATAATGGTCTATTGAATATTAAAGTGAAATTGAAGTTTAATATTAAAAAATTTAATAAATATCAAGATTCTATAATTTTACAATAAAAATAGAGTGAATATTTAGAAATTGATTAGTAATATTATAATTATGTATAATTAATCTTTTTAAAAATATATTCCTTAATAATGCTATATTATTGATCTTTACAATAAATATATAGATAATTATATAAAAATTGAATCATTATAATAAATAATTTAAATATACTTATATAACTCAGAATGATTGGAAACTAAAATTCTTAATTGTTATTGTTAAAAGAAGAAATGAAAGGAAATATCAATCTACTTACATAATGCAAAAAATCTGAAATCTTGGAATTTAATCATTATTATGTTGGTTTGCAGTATCTATTTTGTTTGGTTCATAAACTCAAAATTCTTATAATTGATAAGACTTATACATATGAGAACATGAGTTTGTTATAGAGTCAATATTTGAATGTTCATTATGGTAATTAATAAATTTAAACATTATATGATGAATACTATTATTCAGAAAAGAAGGCACTTTCAATTTATGAAGAAATGAAATAAAAGATAATTGAAAAATATTCTGAATAAAATACTCCAATATTAAATATTACAAATGAAATTAAAGGTCTTCAATGTTAATATCAATTTAATTTATTTAATATTAACATCAAAGATTAACATAAACTAGATTATAGTAATATGGAATAGGATTTATCAAATAATGTTCTTTTTATGAAGGCTATGTAAGAATGTTATTCAAATTATGATAATGTGCTTGACTCATTTATAGCCATTCAAACATAACAACTTATTATAAAAACTTAGTTACATGAAATAATAATTATATAATATTGGTTATTGAAGACTTAAATTTATGAATCAAAAGAAAAAGATAATAAAAATGATACAGAATTAGTTATTTCTAAATACAAGAATTTGAATTACTTTTTAATTGTAAATTAATAAAAATATAAAATTGAAGTTAATTAATAAAAATTAGAACTTTTTATTTTCTTGTTAAATAATAATTAGTTTGAAGAATTTATAGAATAAAAAATGTAAACTGCAAATTATTTTGAACCCTTAAATTTAGAATATTAGCATTTAGATGATTCAATATTGAAAGTTTAATATTATTAATTTAAAGATTGTACTTTCAGAATAGTTTAAAAACTAAATGATGAATTTAATTAATTAATTTATTCAATAGAAATTTTGGGAATAGAAAATAAGTTTTATTCAGTAATTGACACTGAAAATATTCAATAACTTGAATTGAGATTAAAAGGGTTTCCTTAATAAGATTTATCAATAATATTTAAAGAACCTGATCTTATTTATAAATACTTTATGAAAAAGATCTATCATAATATAAACCCTGAGAGTGATCCTTATATTCTTAGTAATAAAATTAAAGTAGGATCTATAATTCTTTCAGATAGATCAATTTATTAACATGCAGCACTCTATTTGGGTTGTGATTTAGTTTTTCATTACACTAATGAGTAATTCGATAATATAAACTAAACTAGAAATGGACACTTTTTCAAACCAGAGAGATTTGTTGTATTTATGAAAGGTACATCAGTCTTAACAGAATTATAATTGATATTTTTATTAAGAGATAAATAAGAATTATTAGAAAAAGCTTTAAAGAAGTCAAATGAAAAAATATAATTTGATTTAACAAACTATAATTGTGAACATATGGTATTTGAAATATTAACAAATTTCAAATATTCATCTTAAATTGATTCAAATATTTTTAAGAATGTTGGTGCAAATGTAGCAAAATATTTTGGATTTTTAGGTTCATCTTAATCATTCTAATCAAATTGAAATTAAAATTGATATACAATTATAAATATAATATTATAAATTGCTATTTCAATTATTAAAAGTAATTCAATAATTATTAGATAATATATTATATGTATTATTATATTGAAATACAAAAATTGGAAACTTTATTTATTATAATATTTACTTAAATATAACTTATTAATGGACGCTATAAAAAGCTTTGCCAATAACCTTACAAATAGAGATCAAAATAATAATACAAATGGGAAAATTGTTCCCTTAGAAGAAAAAGATAGAGAACCATTATCTTAAAAAAATCCTTTGGGTAGGTAATTATTATTGTTTAATTAAGTATGGCTGATGAATTATAGATGGCAGCTAGTAAAGGAATTTAAAAACTTATATAATCAGTGGATAATGCAAAAGCTGATGTCAAATAAGGTTTTACTTAATTGGATGATAAGTAATTGAATTTTGTAAAAGAATAGATTAAAGCTGATGTTAAAGTAGTACACTCATTAAATCAATGTATGGGCAAGATCAAAGGTGTTATCATCAGTAATCATAGTGATTGAGAAATTTAGACCTACAGTTAAAGAAGGACTCAAAGATCCTGATATGTGTTAGTGTGTGAAGAATTTAGTATTTTAAAGAGATAATTTAATAGGTTGATGATACTGTAGATGCAACTTGGCCAGAAATAGTAGATGAAGTTAAATATCAATTGATGTTGTAAATAGGAGATCCTTACACAGAAATAGAAGAGAAAAAACAAACACTTGCTTTTTTATACCCTTTTGTTTGGATAAGGAATTGGTATCTCTATTCAAATTATCCTTTTGATAGAAGTGTTTGGAGATAATATAAAACTATGTATATAAATCAGGATTTATTTATATAGATCTTATTGGTTTTGGTATATTGTATCACTGATTCCATTTTATGGTGTTTCATAATATTTCTATGTTTTGGATTTTATAATGATTGATAAAGGAGATGAATATTAATTGGTGAAATTTATTTTAAGTTTTAAAACGTAAAAATAATAAAATAATATAGAATGTTCTTTATAACTTAAGGAGTAATGAAAGCTTTGATAGGGTATTTTATGCTTTATGCTTGTACAACTATGAATTATATTGATAATGCTTATTAAGATGATTGTACAAGAAAAGGTCCAGGATCTAGTATTGAAGTCTTTTCAGAAGTTATTGGATAGGGTGTCCAAGTAGTTCTTATTTGGCTTGCCTTTTTCCTTTTGTCATGTTCTAAATAAAAGGGAAAACCCATTTTTCAATATGATGACACTCCTCAAATGATAGAAGGATGTTTTGAAAGAGGAGGTCGTCTAAAGTACTTTATGTTTTGGGATATCTTTGCATTAGGAAGTAGTATAGGATTGTTTTGGTTAGTGTATTTGACATAAGATACTAGACCTAATTTTGATAATTCAGGAGATTTTGTAATAATAAAAAAATAATAAAAAATAGATTTACTTTACTGAAATTTGTTATGGAATGTTGAGTTTTCCATTTTTAATATTTAATGTTCCTTTTGTTAATGGAAGATTGACAAAGGCCAAAGCAACAGCTTATGATAGAAAAGGTAATTGTATACCAGCAATTGATGGATTAAGAAAAAAAATAAAGAGTAATTAAGAAGAGGAAACTAATCTTTTGTTGAATACATTGACAATAGATGTAGGTGAAGTATTTGATGGTTGATTAATAAAATTTTATATAATTTTGTTATAAGAAATTTTAATTAATGAAAAAATCAAACCCTAAAGATAAAATGGAAAATAAAAATTAAGGGAATGTGATTCCTGCTACATAAATTATTTTTGATAAAATTGATGCACTTAAAGATAATAATACAGTATAAAGTTTACATAATTTAGCAGATTAAGATTGAGATGATATTAAATTATTTGAAGGAATTAACAATAGGTTAAACAATAAAAAAAGGTGAATCATTAACATATGTATTATGTGGAAAGAAATGGACAATCAATATTATAGATATAACACCAGTTGCTGAATTAGTTTGTATTGATTAAAATACTTAATTTAAATTACAAGATTAATAATTACAAGTTTAAAATTCATAATAATTATCATAAATAGAGTAATAATAATAATTAATGTATTATGATCATCTTTTTAATGAAATATAATAAATTATAGAATAAAATATAGGTGAATAATCAAATGAAATTAGTTTAATGAATTTACCATTAATAAAAGGTGTATTGATTAGTGGTTTAACTGGTACAGGAAAAACTACAATTCTTTAAATGTTAAGAGATAAATATGTAGAATATAAACCTGTTTTGATATCAATAAATCATTTAGATGCAAATAATAAAGAATTATAATAATTATTAGAAATTTCATAATAAAGAAATAATTTAATTTTGATTGATGACTTATCAAGTTTGACTGATGATAATATGCAAAATGTAAAACCATCTTTATTTAAAATATTTGATAATATTTAAAATAAAAAATCACTCATAATAGCAACTATTACAAGTATTAAAGATATTCCTGATAATCTAAGAAGATCAGGAAGATTTGAAAAAGAAATTATTATTGATTAACCTAATCATGAAAAAAGAGTAGATATAATGACAAATGAATTTATGAAATAAAATATAGAAATTGAAAAAGAAATATTAAAAGAAATATCATATTAAATGAGTGGTTTTACTGTTAATGATATTAGATGTTTAGTTAGAGAATTCTATTTATTAAAAAATATATAAGGAGATAATAAAATTAAATTAAGATAATCATTATAAAAGTTAAATCCTAGTGGAATTAGAGATTTGTTGGCAGATGTTCCAAAAGTATAATGGGATGATATTGGTGGATATGAAGATATTAAATAAGAAATTAAAAAAGTAGTTGAATGGCCATTAAAATATCCTGAATAATTTAAAAAATTAGGAATTACACCTTCTAAAGGAATTCTACTTTATGGTCCACCTGGTTGTTCAAAAACACTATTAGCCAGAGCTTTATGTACTTAATGCAATTTAGCTTTTATTGCAGTAAAAGGACCTGAAATTTTCAGTAAGTATGTAGGTGATAGTGAAAAAACAGTTAGAGAAATATTTAAAAAAGCTAGAATTTGTGCACCTTCAGTATTATTTTTTGATGAAATTGATGCTATTGCACCATAAAGATAAGGAAGTACTGATGTTTCAGATAGAGTATTAATATAATTACTTACAGAAATTGATGGATTTGAATCTTTAAAAAATGTAATTATTATTGCTGCTACAAACAGACCAGCATCAATAGATAAAGCATTACTTAGACCTGGAAGATTTGATCATTTAGTATTTGTTGATGTTCCAGATAGAGATGGAAGAAAGGCTATATTTGAAGTAAATCTGAAAAAAATGAAAGTTAATGAAGATGTTACACAAGGACTTTAAAATTTAATTGATAAAACTATTGGTTATACTGGTGCAGAAATATGTTAAATATGTAGAGAAGCAGGTAATAATAAAATAATTATTTATAGGTTTAAATGCATTAAACAGAAATATTGATAATGAATTTATTGATTTGAAAGATTTTGAAATGGCATTATAAAAAGTAAAACCCAACGTAACTCATGAAGATCGTTATTAATTCTTATAATTTGCTAAACTTGCTTAATGATATTGTTATTATCATATGTATATAAAAATAATATATAATTTTATTAATTTTTGGATTAAAATAGATTATATATATATATATATATATATATATTTAAATTATAAATTATAAATATATTATAAAAATAGTATTGCAGTAATTTAAATTTTACTCATAAATTCATTTTTCTATAAGATTGATTTGGGGATATAATAGCACTTTCAAAAACTTAGTCAACTTATAGATCTCTTTACCATCTGTAGGTTGGAATATTTTCAGATTATAAATCTTCCGAACAATTAGTTATTTAATGTTTTTTAATTTCTTATTGAGGATTATCATTGGAGATAATTTATTGTTCTATTTCTTCATCCAGAAATTCATTACAATCTTAATCCAAACTAAATAAAATAGATGAATAATATATACAAATTATTATTAGTAGCTTTTTAATCTTCTGATGAATCTTTTTCATCTAGATCTCCTTCTGTGAAATGCTATTATTTTACACAGACTTTTTTAATAAGCTTTTTAGAGTAAGCTTCCCAAGCCTTATATAGAATGAGAACAGTTAAATAATCATGTAAAATATTAAAGTTAGCTTTAAGATGTAAAATAGGTGAGATATTGGTTCTTTATAAATATCTATTTCTTCTGTAATACATCAATCTTAATTGCATTTCTTTATTGAATTATTTGATTTTCTTAATAGAAGAGAGTGGTCCATTTTTAAAGACTTCCTCATGATAACATACTCGAAATAGTTCATACATTAATTAATTATATTGAATATATCCATAATGATCACTAAAATATATATAATAATTATTAATACCATTAAATTTTAAATGAGGATGCTAATTTGCCAACATCCCAGAGATTTTCATCATTACCTCCTCCTAATGGTTTTCCTATATCTAAAAGAAAACGACAAAGAAATTTGTAATGCATGGCTTATCCTTAAGTTTCAGATGAATATTTGCACCAAATAGTTTTGATTTTGTCAACATTTTCTACATAAGTTTGAATCATAGAATTTTATAACATAAAAAACTATTCGAATTATTCAACCAAACCTAAAACAAATAAATTCAAGAGAACATAATTGGATAGTAACATAAATAAAAAAAAGTAGATTTGATTATATATGCTTCCACAATATTGATCATCTTCTACACAATAAGGATTATAAAACATAGTATCTGTCATAATAGTTCTCCAATCATCTCCTGAAGCACATTTGAATAATGCTAACATAGCTTATGCAATATTTTAAAAATTGATTTGATCATCCATTACTTAACCTTTTTCAAGATGTCCATACATTTAACATCCAAAAAGTGCAAAAATAAACATTGTAATGATTAATATACAAAATATTTTACCTAAGAAAGGCATAGCAAAAACCATTACTCTCATTAATCTTTATAAATTAATTAAACCTTAAAATATTAAGATTATTCTTAAACATCGAAGAGCAAAGAATAATCTTAAAAATTGATATCCTTCATCAGCTGGTGATGATTTAAAATAAACTAATGCCCAATCTGATTAATAATCTGCAATAATATCTATAATTGCAATGGTAATTAAAAAGAAATAGAATCTTCTCCAATGATTATCAAAATAACGATTTACTCCTAATGCTAAAAAGAGAAAAAGGTTCCACATTATATATAAATACATCAAAGCATTATGAGTATTATTAAGAATTTAGAAAAATGCTTCATCCATTTAAGAGTAAAATAATAATAAAACAATTAGATCTATCAATAAAAGACAAAACATAGTCTTTTGAATTGTAGAATTATTAGTTAAATCAGAAGCAAATCTTCTTATTGTTGAAGTAGGAGGTGATGAATATATAGGGAAATCTTTAATAATAATTTATGAAATTTCCATAAATTCAACTTAAGCTTTTGTTATGTCTGATCTTTCTATTTTACTTTGATTAGCTTTTAAATTAGCAAATAAAACACCTGTGAATAAACTTAAGAAAAACATTGATCCTATAAAACAAAATACAAGGAAAAAGAAATATGTAGGTATATAACTATTAAATGCAACTGGTCCAAAATCAGAACTCTAACTATTTTCTGCAATTTATAATATTTCACCCCATCCATCAAATGTTGAAACTACAAATAATGTTGGAATAGCAATAGTAATATTATCAAAATTATGTTTATAATTAATCCAAGTTCTATTCTATTCTAAACACTCTTTCTTACTTACATTAAATTCAACTTTATCTTCACAATATCCAAATTATTATTCATATAAAATAATACCATAAACTCCAAATATTATCCAAACTGAAAGCATTGTTATTAATACATTCCATATATCAGCTAATGATCTTCCTAATGCCAATCTCAATTTATCTAACCAAGACAATCTATACATTAATTTCATCACTCTAAAGTAACCAAAATACAAAAAGAAATTTACAATTGGTTTCTTTTCACCATTTGAGAGAAAGTGATAGAAGAATGATACAATATAAATAACATCAATTATTTACCATGTATATGTTATATATGATCCTTTATTCATCCACATTCCTTTTGCAATACTACCAATTACAATTTCAAATAAAAAAAGAATATTTGCTAAAAATTATAAAACTTCTGGATATATTTCTGAATTCTCTTCATAATCATTATAAGTTTTCAAAGCAAATACAATTATTGAAAAATACAATACTAAATCTATAAAGTAATTAAAAAATTTAGATGTTACTATTTTACAACATACTATTCTCACATAATTCTCTTTTGAAAATATATATAATGATTACTAACATTAAATACCTTCATATAATTAAGGATATTATTTTAAAATATCCTTATGCACTTATTCTAAATATATATTAATCAATAAATACTTATTGATTTTATCAAATTTGTAATTGGTGTTTATTTTGTTCTCTTTGGTTGATTATCACTTAAATGTCCTTATGAGATTAATGGTTTCAAATTTAATTAAAATTCCTAAATTTCTTATTCTTCAGTAATTTAAGAATTTTAATCTTCTTACTATTCATTATTTTTTTCTTCATCTTTTTCAATTGATTATTCTTATTCATTCATTTCTTTATTAATTGCTCCAAATCCATCTAATAATATAGCTAATACTAATCCATATGTTATATAATTCAATACTATAACCATTGAATATGAGTATATTACTGCAAATACATAATTGATATTTCCTCCTATAACATATACACCATACCAATCATCATTAGTCATAATATTGAATATGGTCATAAATGCTTTTAAAATATTATCATAAGAATGCAATTAACCAAGAGCATCAGTTTAATCAAATACACCTGCATACATTTCCATTCCTATCATTGCATAAATAAATATAACTAAAAACATCAAAAATGTTAAGTATATATATTATTTGAATGTTTTTTAAGCTATATGACCAATAGCTACTGCCATCTTATTATATTTTAATACTCTATAAAATAGTAAACATTTTGTTCCTCTAATCAAACGTAAATTTTATTCACTTAAACTAGTCATTAATGAACTCATTGTAAGTTCTATGAAATTTAATATTACTATACAAGATTATAATACATAATCTGGACTATTTGCAATATCTTTCCAAGAAAAAGCAATAAATCTCAAAATTAATTCAGTACATAAAAATATTGTTGAAACATCCTCTTCATTTGATATTGTAACAGAATCTGCTATACCTTACAAAGATAGAAATGTAAAATTTATCAATATTACAAAATCAAAAAATAATTGACAAATTTAAGATGTAATGAGTATATATGAATACTTCTTTATTGTATCAATCTTTCCATATATACCCAACATCCAAATCTATATATCAATTATATTTAATCTTTTTAAAACATCTCTAAAATTAAATAATCTCTTTTCATTTAACTTTAATACATCATTCCCAGACCAAGTTTTCTTATTAATTAATGCTTATTAAATATCCTTTTTTCTCAATAATCTATATTAAAATTCATTAGATGATTAATTAATTCTATTTTTTTATATTTTAGCATTTATCTTTAATTAAACACCTTCATAATTTAAATAATATCCCTATATATAAACAAAATATTGATCCTATTTTTTTATAACAAATGGAATCTGTTAATCATTTTAAGAAGATTTTTGTTTTGAAATTTATTTCATACTCAACTTTTAATTTATTTAACGTTGCTCTATTGAATTATTTGTTTCATTATCATTATTCTCTGTAATATTGAGAATAATCCTTTTTACTTTATGAACAGGAAATTAACAAGTTTACTTATGATCTTTGAAAATCTATTGAATTTTAGTATCTTTAATATCTGGATAAACAATTGGAAGTTTTAGATATCTCATATTAAGTATTTCTTTTTCTATTTCTTTTTTCTCACAATCAGGTAAACTAATAAATAATATATTTAATAATACTTTAAAGTTGGTAAAACATCACCTTCACTTGAAAATGTTTATTAAATTTGTTTATTAACACAAGATTACATTTAAGAAAACTAAAAAGACTTTAGCCTTTCTAAAATTTATAATTCAATTTCATCTTCAGTATATTTTTTAACATGAATTCTTTTCTATTTTTCTGATAAAATTAAAAACTTTGGTAATAAAACATTCTTTATTGTAAAATTTTAAATAGATATCCATATACTTTTTATCCAATTAATCTAAAATAATATAAAGATTTGTTACATCTTCAATCTATTCTTCATTTTTCTTTTATTTAGCAGATAGAATTCTTGCTTTATTGTTTTATCCCTTGTCATTGTTTATTTCTTCTAATGGAATATTACGATAAGTAGTTCTTAAAGCCTATCTATACTTTTATATAACAGGAAAGAAATCCCTATAACGTAAAAATGCAACATCAAAAACATTTACAATATCTCTTTCTGGTATTTCTCTATTTTCCTTAATCTTTTATTCAATCTTCTTTCTTTCCTCCTCTTAAGCATTCTCTTCTGTGGCTTCAGCATAATGAATCTTAATAACTGCAATCACCAAATTAAACCCAAAAAAGCCACAAACAAAAATGATTAATAAATAATAAAGCCAAGTCCAAGGATGATATATTCTCATTGTAAAAAACATAACCCAACTCCAATCATCCATTGTAATTGTACGTAAGACTTAACCATAAGAATATATAACATTATTAAAAGAAGTAGGAAGTTTAGGAGTGAATGAAGAATATTAACATGACATTCCTTCTTCAAAACAAGAATTCTAATTACATTAAATCCATCCATCTGTTTCATCACCATTATCATATTGACATCTATAATTAAATAATCCTTAAAATAAAAACACTCCACATATTGCAAAAAATACTGAAAATAGACCAACAATCATTAGAGCTTCCAGTAAAAATCTGAATGATTATTTTAAAGCTTTTAACATTACTCCTAATCCAGAAAAAATATCTCCTAAATAAAGTAATAATGTGATTACTCTAAGTGGTGATACATCAACTATAAATGTCTCTGGATATGTTAAATTTAACACATAAATAATTACTAAAATACAATCCATAATATCTTGAAAATTTCTAAAGAATGCTCCTTTTGGTATTATTATTCCTGATGCAATTATTCTTAAACATAATTCTATTAAAAAACATATCATAATGCCTTTTTCCATATTTTTAGTTGATAATGAATCTTACTTTGTTTATGAGTATATATATAAAGTAACATTAAATAGAATTAAAAATGACATACAAATTTTAAAAAAGACACTTTATACTATTTTCTTACATAAAATTGGGATAAATAATGAATAAAATACTAGTTTTTTTCTTAATTTTAAAAATTATTTATCATCATGATAAGCCTCATTATTAATGAAATAATTACATCAAGTTCATATTACAATCTTTCAAATCCATGTAAATCGATTAATTTTACATAGTAAGGATCTTCAAAGGGATTCCTCTCAGATAGTTTCTCATATTTCTTTTTTAATTTGCTTTCTTCTTATTAATTATCAGTGTAATCCTCATCTTCACTATTAGAAAGATTTTATTAATTTTTTTTTGTTTGATTAATTTACAACTTTGATTAAAATACATTTTTTTAACTTGAACGTGATCTTTTTAAAGATTTCTATGATGATAATACTTCACTATTTTATGAATTAAGTTATTATTCTCCATTACTTTATTTTTAAATACTAATGTCCTATTTTAGTCCCCATTTTTGTTCAAAATCTAAAAATTATATTTTCAAAACTGATCTTTCCATCCCATCTGACATATCTAAGGGATTAATTAAATCTTATTCAAAAGATATATTAGGTATAATTAGTTTATCTTGAACTTAAAAAAAAGAGGACTGTCCTTATTAAAGTATTCCCAAATTATCCTTCAACATTATAGATTAATTTAATGATCTTTTATCAGATTCTGAATCGTTTAAGAAGGATGATGAGCTATGAGATAAACCTTTATTCATAGAGACATTCATTTTTTATTTGCTTTAAATAGATGAAACTGAATGTCTGCTTCCATACATACGATTTTTGCCATCTTCTGAATGTATGTTTTGAATGTTCACTTTTCTGTTGGCCATTTCTTTTGATATTGAGAAATGCTTCTTTGTTGTCCTAACTTTTTCAGGGGTCATCCTATCTTTAATTTTTTGCATTTCCTTTTATATATTAATGATAATAATCAATTATTTCAAGGCTGTATATAAAATTGAAATATAAGAACATCAAAAATAATATCAAATCTTTAATTGATTGATTTATTCTGTTGAAAAAATGTAAGACTTGATGTATTTAAAATATTTAATTTTGTTGAACTATATTTTTAGAGCACTATTATCAAGTCATCTTAATATTAATTGATTTTTTAATTTATATCTTTGTTTCTAAGTAATTTTTGGGTTCAATTTCACCAAATGTTTGTTTTGTTATTAAGTTATGAATAATAATTTTAATTATTAAATATTTAAAGAATTTTTATTTTATTCGATAATTTTACATTTACTTTTTGTTTATCACTTATAATTAAAGTAAAATTTAATATTTGTGGATGTAAAATTGATCTTTAGTTTCTCAAACAATAAAAATCTAATAATTTTTAATGTAGTTTATTGTAATGTTGAAACAAATATGAATAATTCTTATAATTAATTAAATTTAATTTATTTTCATGTTGAACAAATCAAGATCAAGATTGCCTCCTCAATTATTAATTACTCCAAAATATGATGAAAACCTTGTAATTTGTAAAACCCAAGAGGATACTATTAAGGAACATAGAAGAAATACAAGTTACTAATAAAGAACTAGTTAGTAGAAATATAATTTTCAGTTGTGCCATTAAATTGGAAAAGGATAATTCAGTAAAGTTATGCTTGTCAAGTAAAAATTAACAATATGTACAACTAGAAATGCAGGTGTTTAATACGCTTTAAAGATGATTGACAAAAAGTTGATCCAAAAGTACAATATTGCTTAATAAGTGTAAAGAGAAATAGACATTTAATCATCAATAAAACATCCAAATATAGTTAAAATGTTTGGTAATTTTCAAGACAATGAATATGTCTATCTAATAACTGAATATTGTGAAAAAGGAAATTTGTACTAAAAATAATTCTCTAAGGAAGATATAAAATAAATAATTAAACAAATTTTACTTGGAATCAAATATCTTCATTCTATGGGTATTATGCATAGAGATATAAAACCAGAGAATATCTATTTAACTTCAGATGACAAAATTAAAATAGGAGACTTTGGCTTTTCTAATTATAAAGGCAGAAGAAAGACTTTTTGTGGTACTCCTGAGTATATGCCACCTGAAATTGTACAATCTTAGGCAAATAAGAATTATTATCATGGATATGATGAAAGAGTAGATATATGGGCTATAGGAATCTTATTATTTGAATTGTGTAATGACACAGTTCCTTTTAGAGATATTGATCGAAATAGATAGTAAGATAGGATTTGTAGAGAAAATATACAATTCAAAGAGGATTAAGATTCAAATCTTATAGATTTTATATAAAAATGTTTGAAAAAAGATCCTAATTAAAGGGCTGCAATATAAGAATTACTGCTACATCCCTACTTATAAATTTGATAATTAATTAATTTCATTTAATTTTATTAATTAAAGAATTTTTGAATTTCTTAAATTTGATTGTTTAGATAATCGAAATGTTCAAGTATATTATTTAAGAGAAATACTACATTCTTCAAAATTTTAAAGTAAATCAATAATTAAGTTATTTTTTCATATCTAATCCTTTAATGTATACTCATTATTCTAGATTTATGAGGTAATTAGATAAGTATAATAAGCCAATTATATAATAATTTATGTTATTAAAATTAGTAATTTTAATATTATTATCGATGATAAATATGTTAACTTAATAGATTAATTATTATAATATAATGGAAATTTTCTATGTAGAAATTTCAAATATTTGCTTTGAAATAGATGATGTTATATTTTTTATAATACATATTTAATTTTTATTTATTAAAATCTAAAAATAAATATTTATATTAAGTTATGAGAAAGGTATATTAAGAAAATATACTTATAAAAACAAATAAAAAATATATATAAGAATGATTAAGTTAGAGATTTAACCATTAGAAAAAGAGTAATTACTTAAGTTCAGCATACTACTGTTCTTTTGTAATAACTGAACTTATATCTTTAACTCACAAATTTAATACATATAAAATTTATTTAAAAGTTGTTGATTTGGTCAATAAAGCTGAAAAGTAATTTTGTTTATTTGAATGATCAACTAAAAGTAGTTTTAAATTATATTATCATATATAGCTAATTGTGAAGAATTAAAAATTCAATAATAAAAATAGATGGATAATGTTAACACTTGTTTAATGATGTTGAATGCTTAAAGTACATAAGAGAGTGAATGTGCAAAAGATGAATTGAATGATTCAATAGATTTATATATGGATTCAAAGATTAGTGTAATTGAAATAAGGATTGTGAAATACTTGCATGGCATGGGAATATAGACTAAAACAGATCCAGGTTAGAAGGAATAACAATATTGGAATTCAAAAAGACTTGAGAGTAATAAGAAATTAGAACAATTTTGGAGTGGTAGCAATTTACCAATGAATTCTTCATTAACTCGTTTATTGAAGAGTCGTTAATCTTAGACATTTTAACATTTTGGACAGAGTGGAAGATCTGTTCAAGATTTTGGAACTTACTGATATTCAAGTTAGTGAACAGTTGAGTTAATTGATTTTAGTGTATTAATTTTATTCTTTTGTAAATAAAATATATGCAAATTGTATTTCTTAAATTTCTGAATTAGTTATTTGAAGGAATAGTGAAAAAGTGAATATGAATAGAATTTAAATAATTTGTTTAAAAATATAAGGTAATCTTTCATAGAAAATTTCTATAGATTATAAAATGAATGATAACTTAATGCTTAAATATAATATCTAATAATAAATTGATATTAACCATATTAAACATATTGTTTTTAATATATATTATTGGGAATATTATACATTCATTCATATTCATTAATAGCTTCTAAAATACATGCTATTGACCATGCTTAAGCTCTACATGAGAAAACATTGTATTCTCCATTTCCATTGGTCATTTCTGGTAACGAATACCTAATTATAATATTTATAAGATTACCATTCATTTTAATGCAGAGTAATTTTATGGTTAGATAAATAAGAATAAAATAGTTGTCTATTAATATGTTCTTTGCCATGAATAGCTAATAAAGCTTTTATAAAATATCCATAGACCCATACCCACTCTGGTCCATTATGATAAGAAAATCCATGAGATACATTAAAGATTTGAGATTAATCACTATTATCATAAAAATGAATATATTCTGAAGCAGCAGGATCAAGAGTCTTGACACCTATCGAATTTTCTCTTAATAGACATGCTTCAACAGCAGCTAAATGGAACATTGCCTTTTCTTTATGAAATAGTTCAGGTGCTAATCCTATAGCAATACTAGCATTGCATCTTAATTAATATTCGTTTCTAGGCTTCGAAGATTTAACAAGATCCTTATAGATTTGTCGATGTCTAACATGTTTTTCAACTATATGATAATCTTAATAATTTGGATCATGTTATTTTGGAATGTAATAATACTTTTCGAAATTGACAATTAAGAAATGAGACCATTCTTTAAAGAGTAATTTCTTACCATTTGGACAAATAACACTATCATAAGGATAATGGGGATGTGTATGACTAACAAAATCTAAACAAACCTTAAGAAGAGCAGTCAATTCAATAGGTGCACCATCTCTACTAGTAGCAGGAATTCCTCTATTAATATCTGATGAACCCATTTTATCCATCCATGTCAAACAATTTAACCAATTTCCACCTATTATAAAACCAGTTTATTCATCTAAACATAATTATATATTAAATCCTTCTGATTACATACAATTATCTATTTAATTTCCTGCTCTCCATTCTCTAAATTTAATTCCAGAGGCATGACTCTAAAAAATCTTTTGAATAATTTCTGCAATAGTTTTCTTAATTTTAATTCCTTATGATTTTAATTAGTAGTGTTTATCTATATCATCATCCAAAAATACCATATAGACTTCTTCATTAAGGATATCAGTTTTTCCAGCATATTATATATAATCTTTGACTGCTTTTATGTACCACCAACAAGCATCTCTGCAATTATATCTTGGATTATTACATGAATCTAATAAATTAGGTATGAGTCCATGTCTTAAACAAGAACCAAAAGTGAGTAAAGCATCTCTTGCTTCAGCTAGTAATCCATTTTCTAGATAGATTCCTTTAAAGGATATGAAGGTATCTCTACCCCATGATCTAGCCCAACCAGTTGTAAAATGTGGTAAACCAGCTGCCATTTATTTTGAAGAAGGTAATTCTGCAATAAATTAATATGAAGCTAATTTTAACTCTCTTTTAAATTATGATGTTTATAGATTTGCAATAGACATCATAGAATAATTGTAAATATAATCAACAAATTTACAGAAATATGAAGGAATATGATAACGTGGAATACTTTTAATTTATTATGTGATTGTATTAATTAATTTAGATAATTCTAATTATCCAAATTAACGTTAAACCCTATCATTTAAATAGTCTAATAACCAATTTCCATTTCTTAAATTTTCACAAATAGGATGTGCTAAATTATTATTTGTTTATGCTTCTCTAGTGGCAGAACGAGGACCAGCAAATCCAGCATAAATAAGTTATCTATAATTTGGAATAAAATATAATCCTGTATTATTTTTATCTCTCTCTTCAGGTTCAGACATAAAAAGTAAGTAATTTAATTATGATGAATTTAATGCATTAAATAATGATTATTAGGATGCATCATTTAAATAGATTTCTAGAGATTATAAATTCTTTTGTTATTCAGGAGTAATTTGACATTCAATAATAGCAGTAAATGAAGAAGGTAATTTAATGAATTTTAATTCATTATCTTAGATTTCAGCAAACTCACGTATATTTTAATGTTATATAATTTTGACTTATGATCCTTCAATAATTTGATTATTTTATTCAGGATGTTGTATAAAATCTTCATGATAGAATATAGCATCTACTTTGACAATTTATCCTGGTAATTTAATTGAACTTAATTGATTTGGAACTCCAAAAGAAGGTACAGTGATTAATACTTTAGATCTACATTTATCTTAAGTTTCTCTAGTAATTGTTTGAATAGTATCACCATGATGTTAACAGAAAATGAAAGGAAACTATTAATTAAGTTCCTTTTTAATCTAATGTAATTTGAGTCTAATCAATTCCATAGTTGAATGTAATTTCTTTGTATTAGGTTCAACTATTAATTTCTTATTAATTTAATCAATCCAATTAGAATTTACTTTATATTTGTATTCATATTATCCTTCTTTCAACATAAGTGTTGATGTATAAATGTTCTTATAGGCAATCAAAACTAAACCTATTTTCCAATTATCCCATGATCCAAATACTTCAACTATTTAATTTGGTAATCCATCATATCTAAAGGCTATTTCTGATTATTTTTCAATAATGATCTATTCAGTGGGATCAATAATATTATATATTCTTCTTTCACCTACAACTGATAATTTATCTGGCAAGAAACAATCATATCCTCTTACAGTTCCACCCATACAACTACTAAATGTAATTAAAGCAGCTATTGGTAATTGATGTTTGTAATCATGAGTAGACAGCAATGACTAATTATCATGAGATTACTCATAAATCAAAGCAGAACTATATTACGGTTGTAAAATAGTATATGTTTCATTTATGGATTCAAATTATTCTTTTAATTTTGGTAAAGATCCTATTGATATTCTTCCATCTCCACTATAATAATGTAAATCTCTATTTAAATGACTAGCATCATGAGATCTGTTAGTTTCCCTAACCAAACAATTTATTCCTATAGTTTTTGTAAATATTGAGTCTTTCTCTGAAGATCCTGTAAATAATTCAGCAAATACTAAGATATTTGGATTTGCTTTCCTTGCCTATCTCATCATATATTCTCTAATTAAATTATTATTAAATTTAATTACCCTACAATCATTGGAGTTGAATGTGCATTGTCTAATCTCAATCCTGCAAATATCTTAGACATCTATTAAACATATTTCTTCATGTATTTCCACAATGCAGGACTATCCTATTTCTTCTATCCATATCTTAATTTCACTAAATCTCCCCATATAACAATTGTCCTTCTTAAATAATGATGCTCTTGATTCTCTGCAAAATTATTCAAAGGATCAAAACCTTATATCCATCCATTATTAGCCACATATTTTCCATTACTTAATTTAGTGAAATATCTAGGAACCAATGAATCTCCTTTTTCATTTACTTCCACAAAAGGCTTCTTTTATGTCAATTTCCACCATTTGATTTATCCTCTTGTGGATTTAACAGCTTCTTTAATGTAGGACTCAGCTTCATTCCAATATTAATGATTATAATATTGTAATAACTCTTGAATATATTCTAAAGACACCTTCTTGTAATTCTCATCTTTACTACCATTGTAATTTAAAATAATACTTTAGGAATTCAACTATCACCTCATAATTTAAAGATACTCCATTTTCTTTATTCCCTTTTAAGATTGTCTCTTATCCTATCAATTATAGCATTATTTCACTTGCACTCTTTATAAATATATTATGATTCTCTTCTAATTACTCACTCTTTATTTACACTATCTAATTACATCTATTTTTTATTTCATTTATCACTGAATTTATATTAAATTAAAAATATCCATGAATATTCAATTTTCTTATATATTCATGTTCCAAAATGTCCATTATTTAATTAAGATCATCCTCATTATATATAGTATTTTTTGGATATTGAGTTAATAATCCTGATCCTAATTTATTACTAAATTCTGCTATAGCACAATCTAATTTTATTGCTATTTCCAAATGAGGTGAATTACTAACATTATATGTTGCATTCTCAAATTCTGGTTGAACTAACCAATTTGAATCAAAAGCTGTATGATTTAATAAGATATCTATAAAAAAGTAAGTATTTTCAAATTTATCAAAAAGTTGTTTTAAATCATCATAAGTGTGATTCCCAAAAATATCAGTATTCAATTTTTGTTAATCAGCTATTGCATATAAACTAGGTGATTGACCCAATTATTAAATAGGAGGAAAATGAAAAGCTTCATAACCCAAATCTACTTGAGAACGAATTTACTTTTCATAATCTTCAAATTTACCCAAACAATATGGTAGTAATGTTTATATAGTTATTTCTTAGAGTTTCTCCACATCATTAGGCTAAACTATAATATGATTCTCCACTCCCAATACTACAGGTTTATCTTATGCAAAAAACCAACACAATCTCAAATAAGCTGCCCCAGTCAATGCAAATTCAACATCCACTTTCCAATCACCAGATGAATCAAGAATAAACTCTTTTACATCATGATATTGTTATATTTATTTCAAAGTTTAATTATCCATCTCATGTACATGTTTATATCCTTTTTACATGATCACATATGGATAATAGCCTTATTTACGATTGCGAACAAAGATTCTTACTATTTAATTTTGGTTTACATAGATAGCCTTATCATGACTACCTTCAATTTCTCCCTTTTAATTTAGTTCCAAGAAGAATCTATCCTATTGCATTATTAATATTATTTCTTTATTCAAATCTAGATGAATTATAAATATATAATTTCAACGATTAATACAACCAAGAGAAATCAGGACTCTTCTAAAGAAAGTTTGTTCTGGTTGTTCGTTTAAGGGTTAAGGTTAATGAAACACAAAATGTTAAGATCTTTATTTCATCTCTTCCCATTCCTTATTGTTGGTTTTCCTTTCAGAAACAACAGTTTAACAAGATTTTAAAGGAGAATGACTAAATTCATCCATTAACATAGAGATGTTTCTGGAATTCAATTGATCATTGTTAGATTATTACTTTTATTTAGATAACATCCATTTATGATTGAGAATACCTTAAATAGAAGGTCTATTAAATGGATTTGGTTGTAGAATCATAGTAATCAATGATTTACAATCTTCACTTACAGATTCCTCATATTTTAACTATTATCCTGAAAGAATTGCAACACACTTTTCTTAATCATTTCTTCCTGTAAAAGGAGGCTTACCTTAAACCATCTCATAAAGTAAAACACCCAAACACCATATATCTAATTTATAATTTGTGCTTTGAGACTTTATCATTTCTGGTGCCATATATTCTATAGTTCCACAAAAAGCTTTTTTCAAATTATCCATTTCAGTGGACCATCCAAAATCACATATCTTTATATTCCCCTTTGTATCCAACAACAAATTTTCTGGCTATATATATATTTAAAAATAAATTCAAAACCTTTATATCCCTATGGATTATCTTCATTTTATGTAAGTATTCAATTCCTAAGCAAGTCTAATAGAGATAATGATAAGCTTCATCCTCAGAAAGTCTACGTTGTTTTTTTATCTTTTTAAATAGAGAACCTCCTTCTGCATACTCAAGAATGAGATAAACATTAGTCTTAAAATATAGATTGTCTATACCTTGTCTTCGAAATAACTATCCAATTTAATAATATTAGGGTGATTCAATTTACGTTAAATTTTTATCTCCCTCTTTAAATTATCAACTGTGCAATACTTAAATAGTTCAGCCTTCTTCATCTACAACATTAAACATTTAACAATACCGCTTTCATTGCAAATAATTTTCCTGTCTAAATCTCCTTTACTAAAGTAACCCAACCAAAAGAGCCTTATCCCAAAGTTTATTGCATAGGCTAGAAATCACTAATTTATCATTCTTTAAATACCTATGAGTTTTCTTTTGAATAGTACTAGAAGATGCTTTGCTACTTGATCTAGGCATATTTGTACTAAGATTATTAAATAAATATACCAGTTTGACTCATGTTTTGAGATAGACGTATTCAATTTTAAACTCAGACAATCACTAGTAGTCTCTGAAATTGCTTTATTAGAGTTCATTAATATAAAAAAATTATTTTTAAAACTCAAAAAGATCATATAAAATCAACACTTACACAAAACCTCAAACTTTTAATAATCAATTCAACTTTTAAATCATTTTTTTTTAGATTATTCTTACATCAACTATCATCCTGATTATTAAAGTCCTTAACGTTTTTTCTCATTTTATTTGTCTTCTTATTATTTCAATTGATTTTTTGATTATAGCTTATCCTCTTAAATTCTAAAAAAGTTTCCTTATAGTTATATAAGTAATTTCATTTTTGATTTTGATATAAACAACTTTTAACAATTCATGTTTACTGGTTTAAGAAAAACAACTTAATTTCTTTTTAAAAGAATATACTTGATTTTAATCAATTAATCTAATGTAAAAACAATGACTATTAAATACTGTTAACAAAAATGAATAATATTATGTTATGTTTAATTAGAATTAGATAAAATAAATTAATTACTCTTTTGTTTAATAATTTATTATTAAATAAACAATTATTCTGATATATCTATGTGATTTTTGGAGTTCATAAATTTCTTATAATGAAACATTTTCTTTTTTGATATTTTAGTATTTATGCTTAAAAATAATTGTTTAAATATATTATAAAATCACTTAATATTCATGCAGTTGAATTCGAGGTAATAAATAATTATTATATGTAAATATAGCAAAATTATCAAATAACTTAGTTATTGTCAGATTTTGATGAAAATAATCGACTAATTATCTTAGTTTAAGGAGTTCTTTACAGAAAATTCTTTGGTTTCTATGAACCTCCAGTTGATTGAAATGCAAATTATTATTTAGTACTTGCTTAAGGGGATTATAATTATGGTAATTAATTGAATTAATCTGGTTTATCTATATTCATAAGTTTGTATGCTTATTTAATTTAATTTTGAGATTCTTATGAGTCTCTTAAATGTTCTTATGCAGTTCTTGATTTTCTAGCTACATCATCATTTGGTAAATTGAAATTAATAAATTCATTGACAGGAGTGATTGTTTATTTCGAGGAATTAGTTCTTAAAGCTGTCTCTTATTGAGATTATTATCCAATTGAACCATACCCAATGAGTTGATTATTGTAAATTTTTTTTGTTTAATTAATTCGGGGTAAAAATGCAGTTGAATTAGATTTTTGCATTTATTCACTATTATATTGAGATTGTCTGCTATCTAATAATGATTTTTAATAAGATGGATATTCAGGTTTAACAAAGTCTTCTGTTTGTTTGGTGGGGATGTGTCTTCGAACAGGTTATAAATCAGCCATACTGATGTTAAATTCATTGTCTGAAATTTTGAGAGGTTGACCAAATTTGATATTTTGATTTCTTTGGAAGCCAGGTGCAACAGAATTATTCTAGACTATATTAATTTATTCATTGTTTGTTTTAGGTTAAGGTGGTGAAAATGGTTTAAGTGAAGGAACTTTAATTAATTTAGGAGGAGAGCTAATTAGAGATCATTTCATACCCAAATTTATGCATGACAGGAGTAATATGATTATTTTATGCAAACTATTTAGTAGATTTGGTCAGTGTGACTTTTTTTAAAGTTTAAGATGGTCTCTTTTCACTATTAATTTAAGGTTATAAATTCTTTTTGCCTTCTGAACTAAGTTTGAATGCTTATTCTTTTGGTGATTTGAAGGGTACTCTTTATATTTGTTTTTATTAAAATTTAATGGATTATCCTAATGAGCTTAATTATGGATTAAAAAATTAAGCAGTTTACTTCATCTCCTATTACAAACGACTATCATCAAATGATGCTTAATCTTGGTGATTCATCATTTGTTTTAAATAATTATTTATTTATTTATAAATAACAATTATTCATGCAAGTCATAATAAGATATATCAAATTTATATCATAACTTGATCTCTATCAATAAATCTCTTTGTAGAATATTATTATACCTTAAAAAATTCATCATTTAAGTATAAATTTGAAGTATTATCAGAAACACAAAGAATAAATAATTTTATGAAATAATTTATTTTGTTTCATTCATGATTGGTGACAATCAAAGATATTGTTGTTCCTTCTTTGAAATCTTCAGGTAAAACAACTACATAATACGATTTGCTTATAGCTGTCAAAGTACATTCAGGACATTTTCTATTAATAGAAATATATATATATTACGTAAAATGAAAATGAACTTCTTCGAAATAGTATTCTCTAGATAAGAATATTTCTGTTTGTTTTCCATTACATTTATTACTGGCTCTCCAATCTAATTCTAAGAAATAAGAGTCATCATCTACTCTATTAAAATTAGAACTATTGGGAACACCACAAATCTTAGTTACATATGGTCTACTAAGAGTCTTGACTTTATTAGTGTATAATTATCCAAATTCATCATAAAAAGATTCAATTTATCCAGGATGAGCTTAGGTTGTAATATCAGCGTAATACTTAAATTCCCAATAAGCCCAAGAAGTGAATCTTGATTCCATTAAATCTAATAAGTAGTCAAGTTCCTTGTTTCCTTTTGGAGTATCAAGTATAGCTCCAAATTCAGTCATGAATTTACCAACTCCTAAATTTTTAGCAACACCCTCTTTAGTGGCAAAAAAGAATGAATCCATATAATTACATACTTATTCATTTTTAGGTATGCTATAATCATCAACATTAAAACAATAAATGTGATAACTGTAAACTTCTCTATCTCTATATTCTTCACCTCCTGGAGTATCTTTAAAACCAGCACCTATAAGATCAGTAGTTCCTGGTTCAAAGAAAATTATTTTTTGATCATCATACTTTCTTATTTATTAATGCACCTTTCTGTAAAGAGGCAATAAATTATGATTATTACCATAATTTGGGAATAAGAATTCTCTTATACTATGATATATTGACCCTTAAATAGGTTCATTGATAATTTCATATCCAATAACATTCTTATGATCTTTAAAATAATTAGCAACTACACCCCAATATTCGGCAAATGCATCAGCTATTCCTTCTTTATTGTCAAAAAGATTTTAGAAAGTTTTAGAAGCTTCAGCAGTTAAATAATATAGAACAAACTTTTTCTTTAAACAATCTTCAATCAAAGGAACTCCTTCATCATCAGTATGGATCTTAGAAAAAATATAAGGATAAGGGAATTTAAATTCCTTTGATTTAGTTCTGGCAATTGTCCAATCAGGGAATCCATTTCCACAAAAGAATCTATTCAATACATCTTAATGTGAGTCTAACAACACTGTAACTCCTTTGGCTTCACATCTTTTTACTATTTTTTCAATCTCTTCTAAATAAGTATAATTGTATTATCCCCTAACTGGTTCGACTCCTTCCCATGCTACATGTAATCTTATGAATGTCATTCCCCAAGAGACTAAATTGTCTAAATCAAAATCGGATAATGAATCATTAGAATCAAATCCTTCTGATATTGGTGGATAATAGGGAGGCAATTTGTATACAACATTTACTCTATATATGATTATATGTTATACCCATGAAATACTCGTCTTAAACCATCTGTATCTACAATGAATTGATCATTTCTATTCACTTTGAATGATGATGCTACAAAAGCGAGATAGAACAATAATATGCAATATTTCATTAATTTTATTTAATTAAAGAAGTGTTCATTACAGTATATATCAATAAAAAGACATAAAATAACAAAAATAAAATTTTATAATAAGATCCATAGATATAATTGGCTTAGGTCCTGTCTTATTTAACATATTCTATAATCATCATAAAAATTCCTCAAGTACTTGACTTTAAGCTAAAAGCATATGCATCAATTCAAATTAATTGTTATAAGAATTAAGGTACTCAGAAGCCTTATTTTATTAATGAAATCCACTTTTAATAGTTGAGGTTTTATTTACCATCTTATTAGATAATTAACTCTATAATAGAAATTCTTGACCTGAATCATACATTATATTTTCTGAATAACTTGATATTGCATTTAATTTAGCATTCACTGTGTTTTATTAAAATAATATTTCCTTTTATAATTGTTACATGTCCTTTCCAAACTCCTCTTATTTTATTGTGACTATTCTTTCAACAATTTATTTGTATTACTTACCAAAAAATAGGGCATCTTCTAATAATTAATTCTATAATGTAATATAAATATTTATACAATAATAGAAGATTTTCCATTCAATTCAATTTTTAATTATTTTATCTCATTATCTTTGATTTATTGTATTTAATTAAATTGTATTTGATAGGAAGAATAAGTTTCATTTTAATATTAATCAAATTAAGTCTTTATTTAATCATGAGCAGTCTAGAAATTATATTATATAATACTTGATATTTCTCAAGATTTTATTTAAGTTTTTAATTTTCCTATTCAAAATTATGAGAAAGATTAAAATATTATTCTTTTTCTTCTTAACAAATTTTATTACTTGATTTTAAAAACTCATATGATTTTTTTAATTGTTCAAACTAAAATTAAATATTAATTAACATACTTCATCAGTTTTAGATTGTAATTAAGATTTGATAGATTCAGTTTATGTATTTAATTCTGTAATTGAATGAATTGATTATTTATTATTATTTTATAATTACAAAATTTAGTCATTTAATGAGGTAATTAACTTAGATTTCTATTCTAATTCATCTATTTGATATTTGATTATCTTTTATTATCCATCATTTAAATAATGATTAGAGTTAGTTTTAATTTCAGTAGCAAGTATATTTTTATGAATAGTTGTTTTATTATTTTCTAAATTACAACTACCAAATCCACGATGATGTGATGATTTTTTTATTGTTTTTATAGAACTATTAAGTTAAGGTTAAAAAGAATTTTAAATTTTTGTCAATTAATTATTCAGTATGTCTATTTAAGAACTTATGTGTTATTTAGATTTGATTTATTCTATGATTTCATAGATGATTATTACTATATCCTTAACCATATTTTGAAATTGTTACTTTTAATCTGGTATTGATTGTTGCTTATTATTTGATGTATCTTAATTTAATTCTAAAATCAATAGATAAATCATATATTTAAGTAGAATAAGATCAGTACATCTATAAAAATCAAAGCAAGTTGTTGAATTATCAAGACAAAAGAGTTTCATTTTTGTTAAAATTGTTGTAAAAATATTGTGATCATGATCTTTGGCATATTTAAGCTATTTAAGCTTTTTATCAATATGAATTAATGATGATATTTAGTTAGGATTAGAGTATTATTAAGTTTAAATTTCATTTTAAGTGAATGAGGTATGTTTATCCATTTCTCTAACAATACGATCAGTCATCTATCCCACATCATATTGTTTTAGTTGAAGGTAGGGAACTGGTGATGAATTATGGAGCAATTAGTTGATTTCTGTAGGTGTAGGGGAATGTGAGTATTGAAATGTTTTCTTATGAGTAGAATGTAAATTTTAAAATTTTTGAAGCCATTAATAGTTAGAAGCTGTGTTCATTATAATTAACAGATATTTAACTTGGCTTAATGTAAAAATCTTAAATTATTAATAAATTAAAATGAAAATACTCTTCTGTATAGTATTGCTTTTAGTTGTAAAAGGGGCAATCATAGTCACATGTCCAAAAAGTGGATATGGTTGTGTTACATATGGAGCTAATACAATTATTTAAACAACCAGAACAAATTCATTGTGCAGAAATGGTATTCTATATTATGATCATTAAAGGTTATTATTGGAACAACTAAGCATGTATGCCATGCAAAAATGCTGACATAGTCGTAGGTGGTTATTACACTTGTAGTGCCTATTATGAAGGAACTTCATTGACATGTATATCAGGTTATACATTGATAAATGGGTAATACAGAAATGTATATTTTAAGTGTATGTGTTCAAATACCTCTTGGTTGTACAGCTTATGGTTTAAATCAGAATTCAGATGCTTATGTTTGTACAGCATGCACATCTGATTATACACTTAAAGCAGGTGTATGTATCAATAATAGATATTGTTCATCATGGGATGATAATGCTGTTTGTACATCCTGTTAGACTGGATACTTTTTAAATTGGGATTTGAAATTTGCATCAATAAGTGCTAATTTAAACAATCAAAGTGATTGGATTAATACTTGGTAAACATATTATAAATTCCCTGGAGAATCATTTTGTAGTGTATGTTCATAAACAATGGCTAATTGTAAGTCTTGTAATTCAGCGTAATTATATATATCAATATATTATAGTTATACTTGTTCATAATGTAATGATGGTTATTATTGGTAATAATCAATCAGTAGTACTCAATTGACATCTTCAAATGCATAATTTGCAGGTTCTTGTGTAAGTTGTCTTACAAGTGGAAATTGTTCTACATGTCAAGGTTCTTCTTGTACTTAATGCAAAACTGGTTATTATCCTACTAAAGATACAACTAACACTGTTATATTATCTTGTAATTTATGTCCAAATGGATGTTTAACATGTACTTCATCAACTTTTTGTAATGATTGTTATGCTTCATTCTATAAATATACTGATAACTTATGTTATCCTCTCAATAAATGTGCTTCAATCAATACATAATTAACAACTATTCCAACAACACCAAAATGTTCATCTTGTATAGCTGGATATGCTTTAGATCCAAGTGGAACAGGAATTTGTTATTAATGTGGAAATTGTGATAGTTGCACAATCCCTTCTGGATAATAAACAGCTTCTTTATAAACTTCATGTACTACTTGTTGGGATACGTATAAATTTATTAATATATAATCTTAGATATTATGGTATTAAAGATACAAATGGAATAGTTACTTGTAAACCATGTACACAAGCTTCAGATTCATTCTTGAGATGTTAAGGTCCAGTTGAAAATTCATCCCTTACTGGTGTTGTACCAACTTAATGTTAAGATGGATACTATTTATATACTCTACCTGCTTCAGGAACTACATAAGCATAAGTAGTTTGTGTACCATCAAATCAAACATAACAATGTGTTACCATTGTAGCTACTAGTGCCACTCAATATACATGTGCAACTTGTACTACATAAACTAAATTATATACCAATTCTTAATGTTTGGCTTGTGATGCAGGCTTAACTAATACATTACCTTAAGGTTGTACTGCTTGTACTGGATCACCAACTAATTCAATAGCTTGTAGTGCTTGTGCAGTCAATTATTATTTCTCAACTGGTACTACTACAACATGTACTGCTTGTGATGTCAATTGTCTTTAATGTGCAGCTGGTCCAACATGTACTAAATGTGCTATAACATATTATGTATCTGGTGGGGGATGTACATAATGTGGAGTTGCTAATTGTGCTACTTGTAATGCACAAACACCTAGTTCATGTTAAGTCTGTTTAGATGGATATTTCTTATCTAGTATTAATACAGGCACAGTAACAACTTCATATTGTTTGAAATGTCCTTTTGAATGTGCAACTTGTTCTGCTCCAGGTTAAGTTTGTAATTCTTGTATATCTGGATATGTACTATAAAATGGAGGTTGTGTTACTTTGAGTAGTGCAAATTGTGCAGAAGGATATACTGCTTCAACTTTGACTAATTAATAAAATCCAACTACCTAAAATGGTTGTGCTATATGCAAATATGGATTTTACAACTTTGAAAAAAGATGTCTATAATCTGTACAACCATATGCAGGAGTATTATATTTTAATTATTATTTTCTTAGGCTGTTTATGTCCCAAAGAATATCGGTATTGGTTCAAATCCAGGAGTATCTAATTACGAGACCATCATGTATTCAATATTCTTGATTATTATGTTGCTTGGATATTGATTTATTAATATAATTATGGAAGATCAATTAGAACTAACTTCTTAATGGGGTTTCTATGAAATGTGCACTAAAAAGAACAATAAATTGCCATGTCTTATACCATAGACCATCATCTTTGATAAACTTATGCCAAAGGTTTGGTTGTTTAATCCCAAAAATACTCAAGTGGTCATGAAAAAGAATTCTGATAAACTCTCAAACCTCGAAATTGCCAAAGCTTTACTTGGTATAAAATTCCCAAAGGACATTAAGATAGACACTTTGAGTTAATTGGTTGATTAAGCAAAGTAGTGTCCTCAATTCAAAGAGGTACTATTTTCTTTTATAATATTGAAAAGGAATGTCCAATAGCATTTTTGTAGATGAAAAGAAATGAGGGCATACCTATGAATAGATAAGAGTTATTGCAATTTTTTGTTGAAGGCAAAGATCTCTCCTCTTTGGCATACATGCAATAGTACATTGAAAATCAAAGTAGCTAGATTAATAGTTTGCAGATGAAGTCTACTATGTTGAGTACCATTATGATGTTGATTTCATTCCAATCACTTTCAAGTTTTTCAAGAAGACTCTTACAATCAAAAGAATTAACAAAAGTACAACTGCTAAATCCAGCAATCCTTTTTAAACACTATTGATGCCTGTCCAAAGTAGTGGTTAAATTCCTGTCAGATAATAGGATGTTTAGAAAGTACAAACAATGTTCAAATATTGTAATTCTACACTAAATTAACGTTTTTAAGAAGTATATATTTATTTTCATACTTCCAAAAGGAGACAAAAAAAATAGCATTCTATCTTGAAAAAGTATTCAAAGTCAAAATACGTAAATTTACTCCAAAATTCATTGTTGATTATAGAGATTAGATCTATTTTGCTGGTATTAAACAAATCTCTATTTAAATACATAATGGAGGTACATTTTAAATTTTATATGTAGCACCATATTAAAAGGGTTTAAGAGATGAAATAGCTAGTAATGGTTAATTTGATAATTTCATGATGGCATGTAAATAATTTAGATTGGATAAGAATGCTAATAATTAATTCAAAAAATATCCAAATTAAATTGTAGAAGAAGATAAGAAATTAAGTAAAACTCTATATAAACATTTAATACTTGAAAGATGTTAAGGGGATTTTTGCAATTATAAATTAATAGAAAAAAACAAGTATTTCTACTATCTTTATTTTAAAGAGGACCTTTACAATTAAGAAAAGGTCTATTAGAAACATATAAGAATGTGTTTAAAGAGTCCAAATAAACAGTTAGTAATATGAGTACTAATTTACCTTATGAAATTTCATTGTAATTAATAGTTCGTACAAGAGATGATCATAAAGAAGTCATAGAACTTTTTAAAAAATATAAAATTCATTTAGAAAATTATAATCCAGAAGAACATCCAGAAATTAAAGATGAATAACAACATCCATTTAGTAAAGAGAATTCAGATGTACAAGCATTAATTAATTTATATAAATCAGTTAAAATTTGTAAGAATTGTTTTATAATCTATTCAATGATATAGAGACATTTTGAATCTTAACTTAAAAAAGATATTAAAAATGGAGTCTAATTTATAAATGAAAAAAAGACACCATCATTATAAATAGATGAAGAAGCTGAAAGACGTAGAAAAAGAGAAGAAAATATTATAAAAAGATAAGAAAAATTATAAATGAAACCATCTACATCAACTAAATCTTTTAGAATATTTAGAGCTCCAACTTAAAAAAGAAATTTTCTTATTACTTCTATACCTGAAAGTAGAACATCAAAAACAGCATCACCTTAAAAGTTTAGAGATGTTAGCAAATAAATTGAAATAAATAGATTAACATTGGGTTATTTGAATTATTAAAAATTGGAACAATTTTAAAAACCAAGTTAAATGGAATAATCTTAAGAATTTAAAAATGAATCTTATAATTTAATATATCTACTTGCAGAATAGAAAGCACCTAATGTTAGAAGAATAGATACAAATTAATAGGAAAATAAGGAATTACAAGGAAGAGCAGAAGAGATAAAGAAAATGTTAGCTAAGACTTCTAAAAAGGAATAGGAATGTAGAGCTATATAGAAAGAATATTATAATGAAAAGATATAGGAAAATGTTTAATAAATCTTACTTTCAACTTCATCTCATTATTATTATCATGTTAATTTTGATATCATAAGAAAATTGTATCAATTCTAATTAAGTACTCCAATGTAAGCATTATCATATGATTTGAAATATGATCAATTAAGAGCATTATAAATAGAAGAAGTATGTGAGATGATGAATTATCCACCTCCTTGTTTTGATATTACATAATTAGAATATTTAGTAGTTGATTCTCAGACTGCAGTTCCTTATGCTTTATTTGAAAGTAATATAACTAAGAAGAAAGAGAAGAGTTCTCAATCAGGAATAGATTTAATAATCATACTCCATGATATGTTTGAATCCTTTTTTGAGTATTTAATATCATATTAAATTTTAGATATTATCCAATCATAGTGGATTTAATAAATGATGCCTAAAATAAAAAGATACTTCTCTTAAACACTCCTGGATAAGCCTATACATTATTCAATAAAAAACAAGCATACACAAATATTTATATAGCAGGCATCTTAGATTAAATACTATATGAATTATCAATCAAAGGTAAAATTGATTTATAAACTGATACATTAAAGATTTTAGGAGTAGGTTCTGGAGGATTTCATGCATAAGCATTTAGTAAGCAATTATATAAATTTAATTTAGTTGTACAATGTCAAAATACAATTTAATTCAGTTAGATTACTTTTGTAAATTCATACACATCTATTTATCCTTAATTAAGAAGTTTCTTTGCTTAATCGATTAAAATCTTTGAATCTCAACCTCCTGATATGCCAGAACTTGCTTTTGAATATACAAATACAATAATGAATACTTAACCAATTTCTGAAGATCTACTTTCTTGTGTTTTACAATAGAATCCAATAAATCAATAAGGCAGATAAATTATTTTAGAAGGTATATTACATTGAAAATATAAAGGTTTATTGTAAAGTCCTTCATTTATGGAAAGATTCTAAAAACTCATACTTAGTGTCTAAGTATACCATTCCTTAAAGAATTGTTTAGTCAATATTTCTGAGGCTGATTTATTACAAACATTCATATAGGATGAGACTTTGGATGTGAATAATGTAGCATTATCAAAGAAGATACAAATGAATAAACGTACAATCTAATACATTGAGGGTGGACATTCTGTATTATATGAAAATAAGGATTAATTGGTGTAAATTTTAAACAGATTAGCATGACTTATATAAATAATTTATTAAAATGTATAAATTTCTGATACTATTGTAAATATTAATGTGGATAAGTGAAGCAAAGAGAATTCAAAAGAGTTATCGTATGAGATAGCTTTCTGATTGGGAATACCTAACAAAATTTGGAGCTGAAGTTGGAGATGTCACTTATCATATCAAATTTAGAATTGTTGGATTAGAGACAGAAGAATTAAGAGAACGTAAATTTCCTATACTTTTTGAATTGTATTTGGATGAAGAATGGCCAGATGTATTGGAAAGACAAGAATGTGAAGTAAGTATAATTAATTCTAAATAAATTAGAGAGCATCATTAGCAAGGAAAAAAGAGACTATCTAAGTACCTGGAAATGGAGAGTATTCTTAAGTATTCACAGGAAGTATTAAAGCCAAAGTAAGAGCTCATATGTGGTATTATGCCATATCTGATTGTCATCGAAGATTAAGAGATGAATTCAAAGAAGATTAGTATAGAAAACTTAAATTTGAAGTGGATATTCACATTAAGAATGTTGGTAAGACAGAATTCTCAGTTGAACAATTTGGAATTTAATATTTCATGATTGTGGTAGTTTTGGTTGACATAATAATGTTAGCTTATAATGGTTATTACATAGTAAAAAGACATGAAAAGTATGAGGAATTCAGTTTAGCATTGTTTTTATTAGTTATTACTCTTTTCCTTGAAACAGTCTCTTATGGTGTAAATTTATTGCACTTATGGGTTTACAGTTATAATGGACAAGGTGTATTAGTCTTACATGTAGTATCAGTTATTGTATAGGTAAATCTTAATAATTAATACAGGTTGCATCTTAATTCTCTTTAACAATGATATTAGTGATGTTATCATGGGGTTGGTAAATTAATTTTACTAAATTCGATAATTTTGAAATATTTTTACCTTTATCACTATTAATAGCATTTTTTTAATTGACTATAGTAGGAGTTGGTTTTATTGATTATGATGCTTATTATAAGGATCATTCTTATGAAGGATGGGTTGGTTGGTTAGCATCATTTATATTTATTGGAGAATTCATATACTTTATTAATGGATTATCTAATACATATAAAAAGAGTAATGGAGCAGTTTAATAATTTATATTGATGCTTGGAATATATGGTGGATTCTATTTTATCAGTTTTCCAGTTCTCTAGACAGTTAATTTGGTATAAATATTAAAAATAACTATTTAGATTGTTGCCAGATATCTTAGACATAAAGTAATGGAAATAGGAACAATATCTTTAAGGACTGCAGCAATTCTACTTTTGACTCATTTATTTACATCTAAAAAATCCATATTTGCTAAAATATCATATGATAGTAGAAGTTTCTTGGATAGAAATAAAGATGAGTGAATGTTTTTGTTAATTATTAATCATATATAAAGTCAAAAATACTTTTTATATAACCATCCTGCAATTCCACAAGTAGCTAGTAAAACACCTGCTATCTTGATGTTTTTATAAGGATCAGATTTTACAGGTTCTTATATTTTTTCAATTTGAACTATTGATTTACTTAATTATTATGATTTTCTATTAATAATAATGGTAGAATCTTCTAGTATTGATTCTTATTATATTAATTATGGTATTTCATCACTATCATTCATTTCAGTATCTTTTTCTTTGATATCTTCATCTAATTATTATCTTTAATAGATGCTTTGAAATTCTTCTTTCAATGTCATAACACCCATTCTATTGAAACTTTCATTTGATGATGCAGATGCAAATGAATATTTATTTTTATGATGCTTCTTTTTCTCACTATAATTTTCCCATTTCTTCTCTGAGTTTTTACTACTAATATTTGGAACTGCTGATTTAAAATACCATGGTTATTTATTAGACATTTATTCAGAATGTTTATGATCCTCATCTGAAGATTATTGTTTAACTTCATCATCTTCATTTAATTCAGAAAAAGCCCTTAAATCATCTATTTATTATGAAATCTATCTTTATCTAATTTATTTCTCTCCTAAATTATGATGTGTTTTAAATCTAAATGTTCCTGATGTTAATATAGGATCAATTATTTATATGTCTTATTATCTAGGTGAATTCAAACTATTATCATTCATATTAATTTAAGCCAATTCTCTTTTGATAGATATTAATTATGAAATGCTTTCTACCACTTCACAATCAATATTTTATTCTTATATTTAAAAATTGTTATACAATTCTTCAAGGTGCTCAAAATGAATTTAATTATTTTATACATGTATCCTCCAATTATGAATAATTACTAACATATTTCTCTAATTTGGATTTCCTACTCTAATTCATTACATTCTGATTTAATTAACCTAAGTCTTTGATTATTTTAATTTATTTCATCATTCGATAATTTATATTCAAACCATGTTATTGTAACTCATTCAAAGTGGATAAATTGTTATCATACATCTATCGAACCTATAATTCTATTAACTATCATATTACTATTGAATAACGACTTTTTAATTAATCGTTTTGCTATTTTAAACAATGAGCCATCTTAGTAAACTCTATATTCTCTTCTTATAAAAGTACACATTTCTCCTTGCACATCAATATTCCATCTTAAAGATCTTCAAATTAATTTTAATTCTATTATCTTTTATTACTAGACTCCAAAAACTTTTCTATCCTTAATAACTCTGATTCCCTTTAATCTAGTCTCAAAAGCAATTAATCTCTTTACTCCTTTATCTAATCCAATGTAAAACCCTGAGTTTGCAATAACTACTCTTATTACATTCTCTCTTGACTAATTATCAATATTTTTTAGCTAATCAACATATGCTGAAATTCTTTTTATTACATTCTTTTAGTGTAAATTATAATAAATTGTTAAAAGATATCATCTAAATCTTGGTTTGGATTATTGATCTAATCATACTTATAAATATATTATGAAAGTATTTAAACCAAATTTTGTTACCAACCCAAACTTATATGATTCATCTATTTTATTATTTTTATTATTCATATATACAAATAAATAACAATAATTAATACTCATATTACATCATTATCTACTCTAAATCATATATGTAATATTAAGTTAAACCTATTAAAATAAACTTACAATTTAAATTAAATTCAAACACTTGGTCATGTTAATTTAAAAACTAATAATATTCATTAATTTTCAAAGGTTCATCTCATTTAATTGAACTATTTCAAATAAATATTTTAATCCTATTTTTTACTTTTCTATCAACTCTATTCTAACTAATTGTATAAATATCAATGTCTCTATGCCATCATTTTGAATGAATACAGAATAGTATTTTAAGTATTGTTTAATATTGATAATATTATTTAATAGTTATTTATTTCTTCAATTTCTCTTAAATTCCTATTCTATATTTTTGCTTTTAAATATGTATTAAATACTATTTAAGAAAGTTTATATATTAAATATAATATCTTATTTTATTAAGAATAGAATTAATCATTTCCAAATTTATCAATATTATATTTTCTTTTTTAAGATATTATAAATGATTAATATAATTATTTTTATAACCTATTGATAGCTTAGCAATCAACTAAATATATATATATTATAATAGATCATATCTTACGAATCTCAAATAGCTAAACTTTACTATTTTATTTGTATTGTAAGAGAGGATCTACATTTTAAGGATCTTTAATATGGAATGGTAATTCAGAATAATATGTAATGGCCATTTTATATTCTCTACATAATTCTTGAACCTTTTCTTTCTCTTACAATTCCAATAATTATGAAAGATCACTGTAAATTAAAATCAATCTTCCTTTTGTAGAATCCAATGATTCAATTTATAAGTATCTATTTGCAAATTCAAAGACAGACTTTAACATTATACCTTCTGGATCAGTTACTGTATTTTCTATTGAATCATCAATACGTATTTTAGATGCTTAAATCCAAGGTGGATTAGCAATAATCAAATTAAATTTAGCAGGATATCTAGAAATTAATAAATGATAACATACTTAAAAACTGTTAATTAATACTATAATGTCTCAATATCTGTAATATCTCCTAATTCTGCTGTATAATTCTTATATTCCAAACATTATGCATTGATTTTTGCAGATTTAACTGCATTTTCAACGTTATCTAATGAATAGATATTAATTTCTTTATCCTTTAAGCTTCTCAATAAAACATCATTTGCAATGAAACCAAGTACTCCTGTTCCACAACCCAAATCGATTACATTATAAAGAGAAGAATGAGTCCTATAAGATAATGGATATCAATATTACACATCATGTATTTTAACTAATTTCTGCATATATGAATGAAACAAGACCTAATATTATCTTTATGAAGGTGGAAATACACCATATAAAGCATAGATTTTTTTATAATTTAGAAATTCTATTGCCACTCCTTCTTTTTCATAATTATAAGCTGTTACAATTCCTTAATACGCACTAAAAGGTAATAAGTAGTTATATTTGCGATATCCTATATGACTGATGTTTTCAGGTTATTCTTCCAAATGATATTTCAAATCTCCACATTCAGGTAATGTACCTTGTATTCTTACTTCTCCATTGTAACTCACAACCAAACACATCCTAGAAAGCATAAGCTTTTATTGATTCTATATATGTCTATAGAGATTAAATATATCCTTTGGACCTTTGCATTTTGAGAATGGATTTCGAGGTCTCTTAGGTGTACCAAAGAATTACAAATCTATCTATTTTTTAGTTGCCTAATAAATCTCAATTGCATTCCTTAAATGCATCTTTTCACAATCAAATATAATCAAAGAATTCATATCCTTTTTAAAAAGACTCTTAATGAAATTCGATCCAACTCCATCCACTAATAAATATGCATTAGTAATGCTCTCTAATTGTTTTTAATTTAAGTATGGATTCCTTGTCATTTTTAGTAAACCATAGGTTGTATCAAATAATCCATCTTGATAGTGTATATTAACTGGTTCTATTTTAATTGAAGAACAAAAACATAGCCTAAGTAATCTATTTATCATAAATAAATTATTTAATATACCACTACATACAACAAATGAAACTAAAATTATGATATAAAACTCTATTGCAAAGAAATCTAAACATTTAACTGAAAAAATTAAACATCATTCATTTACAATGTAAAATTAAATTATCATAAATAATTTTGTACAAAAAAATATTTCTTACGCATTATTGAATTTACAACATCACTCAATTATATATTTTTATTTAAATCCTCACTAATTCAGTCTTTTAAAAGTGAATATCATATAAAACTATACTACTTCATATATAAGATCTCTTAGAAGTCTTGAAATCAATCCTAAATTAATTTAAAAAATAATTTAAACACTCATATTTCCAATAAAAAATTGAATTATTTTTTTTATTATAATCAATATTACTTAAGATAATTTTCTTTAAATGAGTTTACTAACACAACCAATCACAATAACAAGTGAAAAAGTTTTGAAAACATAAGGTGATAGCTCTGAGAATGTGTTACCAGATTCTGATTAAGAGGATAATTTGTAGAGTCCCTTTTAAAAAGAAACACCATCCTCTTCATCAAAGCCTCTCAAACATATCAGTTTCAGTGGAACCAATTAAATATTTTATTTTCCAAAAAGTGGTAAAAAAGATTTCTCACCTTCACCAACAAGAAAAAGCTCTTCATCAATTTAATCAATACTGAAAAATAAGGATAAAGTAATTTTCTTTACAGATGATAAATGATTTATTATTTATATGTTTAAACTTATTTCTAACAATTAAACATTACTTATAAGAATGATGTATATTTATAATTATATAATTCCTTATATATAGGCTAAATATAATAAATATCAAATCTATAGTAATTTAATAATTATTATAATTTTATATTAAAAACAAAGCAAAAGACATATATATATATTTAAAATCGAGAAATAATATAATAAAAGACTTAGTTGAATATATATTCTCATCCTTACATAGATTTTTTGACAAGTTTCCTATTGTTTGGAATGGATGATTAATCTGTTCTTATTAAGTTGTCATCTTCCTCTGACTAGATTAATTAATGATGAATATACCATTTATGAATTCTTTAACTATAAAAATATAGATGATGTCTGTAATTCCTAACGAAAAGCATTCTAATAAATAGTTGATATTTTTATAATTACTTATTTCATAGCTAAAAGACAAGTTGCTAATTAAACTGGAGTCAAGCATTCCTTTAGTTATTCCCACATCTAATCTACCTTATTGGCTTCACCCTATATTATTTTTAATTGAACTTTAATGTTTTAAATAGAACTAGTATTAATATAATGTTAATATTACTCGGATATTGTATTTCTGACACTTTATAATTTAGATTTCATTTTCTTAACTTTTACAATTTATTCTGGTTTAATTTCAGTCTTTTTAAATACATCCTTCATCCAATCAGTATAATCACTAATATAAGATCTTTAATACTCAGGTTATTATGCAAAGAAATCTTTATCTTTTTCTAATGCATAAATAAGATATTTAGTTTATATTGGTAAACATACTTCAACCATGGAATCAAAGTATTATCTTGCAGCATCATTTCTTTCTTAACTATTTGAATTTGTTCTATATCTCAAAGCATCTAAAACCATAGCAATTTCAAAATTATCCTTATTTTTAATTAAACAAGTTTCTAATTTATCAAATAATTATTATTATTAATCTAAAAATGTTTAAAACTATATTATTATTATTATAAATTAAAATACTTTTTCTTAAAATTTGTTACATATTTCAGTATATTTTGTTTAGTTTCTATTTGATTCTTTTACTTTATCTAATTCATCTTATAATTCTTTGACTTTAGTTTCCAATAATTCATAATAAATTTTCTTTCTTGCTCTTGAATTTCTTGCAGATTCCCTATTCTTGGCTAACTTTTATTAAACAGGATCCATGTTACCATCAGGACTCATTTAACTTGACTATAATTCATTTGAAGAGACATCGAAATGATCTCTTGAAATTATAGGTGATTTTCTTTAAAGTTTTTGTTGACTCTTCCTATATGAATAATTTTCTTATTTACGACAATCTAGGTGATGATTTAGTAGCTAAATCTATTTTTTTTTAGGTCTATTCAACTAACTAAGTAATCTTATTTGTATATATGCTTTTGGCTTGATTCACATTAAACAAATTCTTATTCTCTTAAATAATATTGGAATTTATTAGTTGTTTAATTTCAGGTTTAAATTTTGAACTTATCTATTCACCCGATTCTAATAAAAATATATTAATACCTATTTTCATTTCAAATTCATGTGATGATTATTAACTACTTTTCATTCCACTATCTAAAGATGGTGCCTTATGTTCTTTAGAATCTTCTTGAATTTTCGGTTGAATATTCAATCTGTCAATTCCAATTTCTTCAAATTGCATCTCAAAATCACCACTACTCCTAAAAAATACTCCTTTTTATATTTAAGGTTCTTAATATTCATATATTTAAATTGGAGCAACAACATCCTCTAAACCAACAGAAGAACGATATTATTCAGTTTAAACTATGAATCCTGAATTCTATACAAAACTTCCACCTCCATTTGGACCAAAACTTTGATTGTCTTATTACAATCTACCAAAACTAGCTCCTAAACTAATAAGTATAATTATCAATTACATTACTTGTCATTGAAACTACCAAGTCCACTTTAGTTTTGTTGAGAAATTTCACTTCTATTTTATACAAAGTAATCACTCATTTTCTAATTATGATTATATATTAATTTAATGAATTCTTACAAAAATCAATAATTTTTCATTTTTCTACCATTAGATCAATCTCTTATAGATAATATAATACAATAAAAAAGAACTTAAGATTTAATTTAATTGATTATATATATAAAATGAATAGTTTAATAATATCTATAAAAGATTCTAGAATTTATAAAATAATGAGTTATACTTAATTATGTTTATAAAATGTAATAAATATATCATTAATCATGAAAAAAAAGTAGTTGTAACTTCAACTTCTTTATTGTTTGAAGTTTTAATACTTTCTGTTTTTTAAGTTTTACTTAATGAATTATTAAAGTCAATAAGATTTTGCAATCTCTCAATTTATTTCTTTTTTTCCTAAAAATGTATTTTTCAATATAACTTCTCTAATTTATGCCTTTTATTCTTTATTAAATTTCTTATGTTTCTCATTTCTTAATTTAATATATTCTTCTTTTCGTTTTTATTTAGCTCCAAACATACCAGTCAAATATTCTTTCCTTTCTTTTTCATCAAAAACAGCAGCTGTCTTAGTTCTGCTGATTTTTTTGAATTAATTTTTCTTTGTTGAAAAATTTCTATTGTTATTTTTCTTCCCCATATTAAAAATAATATAATATATATATTATCATTAAAAATTCATTAAAATTCATTTTCTTAATCACCTTAACCTTATTTAAAATCTAAATCATGAGGTATAACCATTAAATTCTTCATTTATTATATATGTTATTTTTTAACTGTTTTTGGTAATCCATTAATTATCCAAGGATGAATTAATGCTTCTTCAGGTGTCATTCTTAAATCAGGATTCCATTTAAGACATTTAACAACAAACTTATTTAAATATATCATAATTACATCTTAAAATTGAGGATCTGCTTTTTCCAAATGTTAATTAAGTGTTTTAATTTACTATAATAATTCTGCATCCTTTATTTTATAATTAAGTTAACATTTTTCATCAAAAAACTTTGACTTTCTAGATCCTTATTCAATCAATTCTTTTGAAGGCATACCTAAAACTTTAATTTATAAGAATAATAATTCTTTTTCTGATTTAGATTAAAACAAAGATTCTCCTGTAAAAAGTTCAGCAATTATACATCCAAAACTCCACATATCAATTTAAGATGAGTAACCTAAACCTAAAACAACTTCAGGTGCTCTATAAAATCTACTCTTTTTTAATTAATAATCTATTAATTTACTTATATGTATGAATAAATCTTTTGGTTTGTGAAACAACTAGATCCAAAATCGATTATTCTAATACCAGATCTATTGATATCTTTCAGGAGTATATTTTCAGGTTTCAGATCACAATGAATTATATTACATTCCTTTAAATAGAGAAGACCTTGAAGGATTTATATAGCAAATCTTCTAATTAAATCAAGATCAAAGCCAATGAAATCATTTATTGCAATGAATTCATATAAATTGCAACTTAAAAGCTCAAAAATCATGCACTTCCTAAATTAATCTATTAAATTTACAATATGACCTCTAAATTCAAAATAATTTAACATCTTAATTAAACAACAAGAAATATCTGCTTTATTAACTATTCTAAGAATATCTATTTCAATTAAAGCTTATTTATAGAATTTTTCTTTGTTCTTTATAATTTTTAAAGCAACTTCTTAATGATGTTTATGATCCATCACTTTAAATACATAACCGAAACTTCCATGTCCTAATTTTTCTAACATTTCATATCGATAGGCAATCTAATCTTATTTAATAAATATGTAATCACCACTAAACATATTAATTAAATAGAATATACTCTTATGTATCAAATCCATTATTGAATTAAGTTTCAAAAGAATCTTTTTAGATTTAACTAATTTCTTTTGGAATTAAATAATAAATATTTTCATAATCTATAATTTCCTTCTTTTCAAAATCATTCAAAAGATCAGAATAACCTTATAAAATAACTGATGATTGTTAAGGCAATTATAGTTTTTAATTTTATTTAAAATTTATAGGTTCTGATTTTTCAATAATAGGTATTGATTATTTAAGTGGTCTTTATTTAATATTCTTAGTAAGTTTAAGTTATAAAGAAATTAATTTCTATTTATTTTTCTCGAATTAAATTAATTTATCATTCACACTAATATTAGTATTTTATAATTAAGTTTTGGATTTTGAAGTATCAAATTTACTATGTTTTAAGTCAGGACTTGTTTTAATTTTTTATTTTGGAGATTGAGGCATAATATTAGAATTTATTTATGTATTTATTCCTAAATATATGTATTTCCAATTTACTTTTTGTTTATTCATATTATGTCAGTTTTTCTTATTCATTTCCTAATAAGGCCTTTAATTAATATTAATATGATTTTTGTGATGATCGTTTTTAGGAGTCCATTTACTTTAACTCATCTTTGATATAAATATAAATTTATACTGTTATTGCTGATACTGATAGGTTTGCTGCTCTTTGTTGATTCAGGAGGTGATTTAATACTTTATCTCTAATTAACTCTAGTTGTTATAGGTTGATATTCTTTAAGAAGATGTCTTGAATTTTATCGATTGAAGTTGCTTTTATACGGACTTTTCCCTAACACATCAAAACTACTCATCTTCTTTTTTAAATCTTAGGTTCTGTTGATAATACTAGCTTTAGTGTTAGGTTAATTGTTAGTCAAGTTTAATAAGCTTAACTATTGTTTCATTCTTGTCCCACTTTATTAATGATTATTAAAGTAATTTAATTCAAGAGTAAATTTAGTTGAATATTAGATTTATTTATTATGTGATTGTATCCTCACTTAAATTATATCAAAAACAAATCAAATTCTCTATTAAGAATAATATATTATTTTTTGGTAACTTATATCTAATATTTATAATAATATATAAATAAATACAAATAATTAATTTATGAAAATAAAAGAATATTTTAAATTAAGGAATCAAAAATTATTGTTTTATTAATAATTTCTTCAATTTAATATATATATATATCAACTAATTGTTTTTTATATTTTTTATATTTTAAATATATATTATTATTTAATAATTAAACCTAAAATATTATAGTATAATTTTAAAAGTATTATCTTTTTGTAATTAGATTCTCAACCAATCAAAAAAATATCATTTATGATTAATATTATAAAATCTTAATTATTTTATGAATTTGAATTCCTTCTAACCTATTTTATTATCTTAATTCAGGATTTTGGATTAATAGAATAAAATTTTTCATAAGAGATAATGAGATTTTTAATAATTTTTTTATTATGGAAACTAATAAACCAATAGCAATACTATTAAGTAAGGTTGGAAGAGGGAAAACTTCTTTTTACAATAAAATTTGTAAATAATCTTAAAAAACATATTTTGGTGGTTAATCATGTACAAGAGAGCTCTTTTTAAAATGTTCATTCTTTGGAAAAGGATTTTATTTAATGGATACTCCAGGATTTGGGTGCGATGAAGATATAATAATTCACTTNATATAAATATAAATTTATACTGTTATTGCTGATACTGATAGGTTTGCTGCTCTTTGTTGATTCAGGAGGTGATTTAATACTTTATCTCTAATTAACTCTAGTTGTTATAGGTTGATATTCTTTAAGAAGATGTCTTGAATTTTATCGATTGAAGTTGCTTTTATACGGACTTTTCCCTAACACATCAAAACTACTCATCTTCTTTTTTAAATCTTAGGTTCTGTTGATAATACTAGCTTTAGTGTTAGGTTAATTGTTAGTCAAGTTTAATAAGCTTAACTATTGTTTCATTCTTGTCCCACTTTATTAATGATTATTAAAGTAATTTAATTCAAGAGTAAATTTAGTTGAATATTAGATTTATTTATTATGTGATTGTATCCTCACTTAAATTATATCAAAAACAAATCAAATTCTCTATTAAGAATAATATATTATTTTTTGGTAACTTATATCTAATATTTATAATAATATATAAATAAATACAAATAATTAATTTATGAAAATAAAAGAATATTTTAAATTAAGGAATCAAAAATTATTGTTTTATTAATAATTTCTTCAATTTAATATATATATATATCAACTAATTGTTTTTTATATTTTTTATATTTTAAATATATATTATTATTTAATAATTAAACCTAAAATATTATAGTATAATTTTAAAAGTATTATCTTTTTGTAATTAGATTCTCAACCAATCAAAAAAATATCATTTATGATTAATATTATAAAATCTTAATTATTTTATGAATTTGAATTCCTTCTAACCTATTTTATTATCTTAATTCAGGATTTTGGATTAATAGAATAAAATTTTTCATAAGAGATAATGAGATTTTTAATAATTTTTTTATTATGGAAACTAATAAACCAATAGCAATACTATTAAGTAAGGTTGGAAGAGGGAAAACTTCTTTTTACAATAAAATTTGTAAATAATCTTAAAAAACATATTTTGGTGGTTAATCATGTACAAGAGAGCTCTTTTTAAAATGTTCATTCTTTGGAAAAGGATTTTATTTAATGGATACTCCAGGATTTGGGTGCGATGAAGATATAATAATTCACTTATCTGCTTTATTTGTAGCAGCTGAAAGATCCTTGAATGCCATTTTGGTTTTAACAAAATTCGATCGTGCTTGTGTTATGAAAGAAGAAATAAATTAAGCATTATCTATGCTCTCTCCATGCAGAAATATGATTATTATTATTGTTACTTTTTGGGATGACGTTGAAAAAGAACCCATTTAAACTTAAGAAAAATTTAAAAAGGAAATATAAGATTTAGTAATGAAACCTCTTAAACTTAATTCATTTATATGTACCAGTAAAAATACACCAGGAGATATAATTTGCTATTAATTAGATTAGTTAATTCAAAATAATGTAAAAAAATCGGTATAACTAACCCGTTAAGAGTTTTCATTTAAATTTACTTAACTTTCATCATTTTCTATCACTGATGAAATTGAGACCCATAAATTAAAATAAGACTTCTAAAACAAATGCAAAGGAGCTCTTAGATTTATAGAATAATAAAAAAATGATGATTAAGAAATGACTGAATTGATGCATGAATTAATATTAGCAATGAAAGAAGAAGCTCATGCAACTGTTATGGAATTTACAAAATAAAATAGAGAAAGTTTTGAGAAATTAGTTGAGAAATTTGGAATTTGTGATTATACATATTTAGCCCATACTAAATTAAAAGCAGAAATTATGGGATATCTAGAATAAGTTATATAAATAGCATAAAAAAAGATGTAAACATACAAATATCATGTTTATAATTATATCAAATAATGTCCTTATTGTGGTCTAATTTGGTTTAAAGTTGCTGGATGTGAAAACTTAACAAGATGCGGAGAATAACCAAACAAAGATGATGAAAAATTGGCCCCTTAGCCAAAGAAATATAAAATTGAATTTCAGGAGTCTGAATTAAAGGTTATCAAGCTAACTAATTCTGGTTAAATTATAAAAAGACTTTAAATTAATCAAACTACTAATTATAAAGGATGTGGTAAGAAATTAGATTGGAAGAATTTGCCTACTCTTTCGGAAGATTTAGTAAAAGAGTTAAAAAATACTGGATTTTTAGATGTATTAAGTATGCTTAAAGATAAAGATAGCAAAGATATAGTAAATGAAGAGAAATATTGGTAATAAATTGATGTTTTATAAAATAAACATAGAGAATTAGTAAATAAACAAATTGAAGATGAGAATAACATTTATCAATAATCTAATCAGAAATTTTCAAATAATTAGAGTATGTTTTATATCAATTAAAACCAAGTACCTAAACATAGTGAACTAAATAAAAATTCTAATCATAAAGAATTATAATCCTAAAGTAAAGATGAAAATTGTAAAACTTCTTTTGGAGATAATAATGAGAAAAAGTAGCAATAATTTGATGGCAAATACTTTGATTAACCTTGAAGCATAAGTTGATTAAGATTTTCATTTGCATAACCACAATAGAATATAATTTAATAAATAACTTAATATTCCATTTATTATTTTTTATATTTTTATTAATGGGACAAAGTTAAGATATTGTATAAGGAAGTGAAAAAAGTTAATAATTCAGTGTACTAGTTTTGTGCTTACTAAAATAAAATTAATAAGACACTTTAGGATTTAATTATAGCCTACTCAACAAGAAGTTAAATATATTTCCCTCTTTTATAATAAACCCCTTTAGAATTTTTGTTAATGACTTAGATGTTTTTCAAACCTCATAAGAATTTTCAGAATTTGTCTAATGTGTAAATCTGGAAAGCTATTTAAAAAGAATAGTTATTTTTATTGATGTAAGTTTTCTAGAATAATTTAATCGGAAATATTGCAAGATAATTTAGAGCGAAATTTATAATCAGATTTCAGAAATATTTATATTTGATGTTAAAATAAATGCTGCTTCTTAACAAGATTACTCATATATCTATAAATATTATAAGAATATCTCAATTTTCACTAATAAATAGTAATGTTTTTAGAAGATTTTAGAAAATTGTCAAGGTTAATTATTTAATTCAAAAGTTTAACTAAATCATAAAAGTACCAAAGTTGATGAAGGAATTATTTAAAATATTACAAATATAATTGAAGGTAAGATTAAAAGATTAAATAATCATTAAAGCGAAAGTGAGAATTAATTTGATAATTTTTTCAAGGAGATTACTGATTAAAGAAATACAATAATTTAAAGTTAAGCTACATCCGCTCTTCAAAATGGTAGAAATTAATTAATTTCAGATCGTAAATTTAATTATAAAATTATGGAACAAATTAGCCGATATACAAATTGTATTTTAGAATAAATAATTGTGTAAATGACGAAATTTTAAAAAGATTTTTATTTTTGTCAAACTTGCAAGTTATATTTCCATAAATCTGATTTTAAGTACAATGCTTGCATATTTTTTAATGGTTGCTTCAAAAACTAAAGTTGTTAAAATTGCAATTATATTTAGGCCTCTTTTGATAATTTAAAAATTCTTTATGAATCTTAGAAAACGTGTTTTTAGATTGAACATTGTTTATAATATCTAAACTAAAATCAAATGGTCTAATCAGTTAATGATTATAGTCAATCAAATTTAGTAAATAATTATAATCATCATATTATACTAATAGGAAAAACTGGAGTTGGAAAAACAAGAATATTCAATTTTTTATGTGATGGAAAAGCTGCTTTAAATATTTAAACAACCTAAGAACCTATGGTGAAAAAGTGTTTAAATAGCAATTTAACAATAATGGACACACCTCCATTTGAATTAGAAAAAAATGATTTAATAGAGGATGGTGAAAAAATAAAATAAAAATTCTCAAATATTCTAAAATAATAATAAGTATCATAAATCTTTATAATTGTTAAATATGAAAGATTGCCAGCAATGAAGTAAAACATGGTAGCTTGTCTTAAATTTTTAGGATCTTTTAGAGATAAAATTTCTATAATTATTAATAATAATACTGATCATCCAATAATAGAGTGTTAGAATGATTTAAAAAAAAAATTTGAAACTAATAGAATTTTGATATTTTGTATGAAATTTGCTTAAGGTAACCTAAAAGATGATATAGAAGAACACTTATAAAACTTAAAAGCAAAGTTGGAATATTTAAAGATAGATAATACAGATTTTGATATTAATAAATGTAAAAATGAATAAGATGCAATGATAAAAAAATTAGAAAAAATTAATAATTAAAAAAAAGAATTTGATGATATTCAATAATTAATTAAAGAAAATCAACACATTTCCGACTAAATCCAACATCTCAATCAACAACAATAAGCATTAGTGGAAAAATTTAATAAGAATTCAAAAAAAGTTTAAGATTATTTCATTAATATGGGTTAATAATAATTTAATAACAGCTCAATATCCAAGTCTTATTGAATATTATATAAAAATTAATTATTAGAATTTATAATAAAAAATCCATTTACCTTCAAAATTTAAAACCTTTGTCAATGACACAAATTTTCTCATCAAAATTTAATGGTAATTAAATTATTATTTAGTAACTAATTTTCATATAAATTAATTAAAATTCAATATGATATCTTTCTTCTAGAATTAAGAAAAAAAAAGTTGATATATATAAGAAAGCAATTATTAATGTCATAAAATTAGCAACTTTAAGAATAAAGTGAAGAAAGCTTAAGTTTACTCAGGTTTAATCCAATTTAAAAAAAAATAAAAATGATAAAGATGGAATAATTGATCATATTAAAAGGAATATCAAATGCATAGGAAAAGATTATATAGCATTTTTTATAATAAAATTCTATTTATTAATTTATAATATTATTTTATAGGAGTAGCATTAATAGATCATAAATCAAAGATGTGGATTAAGATTCTTTATTATAAAAAAAAATACTTATAAATTATCCTTAATGAAAGAAAAGTAATTATAACTATAAAATTGAACTTATTCCGTATATAATGAAAAATAAATGATTCATGTTATCATTTCCGGTATAGTCTAGTGGTTAGGATATCAGGTTCTCACCCTGGGGACCCGGGTTCAATCCCCGGTATCGGAATAATTTTTAATTTTTTTATTTTAAATATTCTTAAAATACATTAATTTCTTCTTGAAAGGTTTTTGAAAATTTATTTTTATGAATTAAAGTTGGAGATAAAAGTTTGAGAAAGATATATAGTATCCTAGACATCCTATGGCTCATAAAAATGGTAATGTAGTTTTTCAATATTAAAAGGTGGTGTTCATATGAATTAAGAGGACGATACCAAGCTTTTTTAGATTGCAGGAGCTATGATAAAATAAATTGGTTCAAAAATAGCCAAAGGAGATTTTAATTTAGCTACAATTACAAAACCCATATGTTTAACAGCTCCTAAAACAGCTAATGAATGCTTGACATTGTATATTGTTCATTTATATGCAAAAAAGCGATCATGACTATGCTCACCTCTATCTTACAGAAGCAGCTAAATGTAAGGATCCTCTATAAAGAATGATAATGGTAGTAACAAATGAAATTGCTTATCTTCATGGAACACATACTTATTTGAGGTCATTAGCACCCATAGATCCTATGATTGGAGAAACATGTCAAAAAGTAAAGGAAGATGGTACTGCGTTTTATTGTGAATTTATAAAGTCTGATCCTCCAACAACATTATATTAAATTTATGGTGATGGTTGGTAAATCTATGGTTCAGAAGAGGTTTTGGCAGAAATCCATCCAACTTTTACATAGATTATTGGTAAAAATCTTAAACCAAAATACATAAAATTTGCAGATGGAAAATTATATGAAATAAAAGTACCTGGAATGATTATCAATGGATTAATGAAAGGAGATCGAATTTTAAATAAATTGGATAGTTTCACAATAAAATGTGTATAAGATAAATTAGTAGCTTAAATAAATTTCAGTTATGTGTATGAAGGTAGTGCTTAGAAAATAAAAAATAAATTAATGTTCTGGTCTTAACAATAGAAACCACTTTCAGATTTAGTTGATGTGAAAATAAATAAATTAATTAATGTAATAATATTATTAAAAAGACTGATGATGATGATGAAGATTAAGTATTCACTTTAGCAAAAGGATCAGGATCATGGTTGTCTCATTTTGAGATGGATGGTGAAGTATTATGGAGAATAGATGATCCCATATTACCATGGAAAGAACCATCTTATATACTACCAAGTGATTCAATATTTAGAGAAGATAAAGCATTAATGTTGAAGGGTGATGATGAAGCAGCTTAAATGTATTAATTATATTATATATATAGTTCTCGTAATAAGATTGAAGAGCTTGGATAAAAAGATTAAAATTTAAGAAAAAAGAGGAAATGAGATATTTGATATAAAATGTAAAGTAAGATTAATTCTAATCAAATTATTATTTCTTATATTTGTTATCAATTTGCTACTCTTTTTTTTATAATTTATATTTATATTTATATATATATATAAAATTAATAGTAAAAAATGGGTAATTGTGTGACAAACAGAACAAAAATATAAACTAATCTTGAGAAACCCTAAAAGTTGTTTATTCATTAAGCTTTTATAAGACAAACACTAACAAATCCAGAGTATAGTTTATTATGAAAATTGTTAGATCTCGTAAATAGCTGTTGTTATTTGAAGACAATTTCATTGAAATGTTTGATGAAAGTCCTATTTTAGGTTAAAGTATGTATTGGTTTTTATTGGGTTTATAAAATAATGAATAAAAGGGAATTGAATATGAAACAATGCTCTAAATATCTGAAGTCTTTATATTGGGAAAATCAGAAAATGAAATTTTAAGATTACCAAATAGAGTTTCTTTAATTGTATTAATTGTATCATAATTTGGTAATTTAAATATTAAAGATGCAATTAAATAATTTGCATCCTTAGAAATAACTTATTTATAGACAGCAAAATGTATGCAAGTGTTTGTTAATATGATGTTAAGAAAGTAGAATCCTAATGAATAACCTATCAAAGCATTTGTAGATGCAATTTTCTAGAAAGTTAATGGCAATGTTCCAATCTTGCAGTTAATTAAATTTTTTGATAATTATATGACACAGTTAGAAGAAATTGTTGAAGATTATTATTATAATAAATTTTTAGGAGAATAGAAATTATTTCGTAATCCTTAATTATAACATCCATCTCATATATTAAATTAAGAATGGATAGCATTTATGTATTTGAGTTTCATGAACAAAGATAGTAATAAATTAGAACTTCTATACTCTACTAATGTTCATGATAGAAATTTTGAATTATTATCTCATCTTCTTATTGAATGTTAAACAAGTGTATTATTCTTAATTTAGTGTGAAGAAGGTAATAGAAAATATGTTTTTGGATCATATACAAATTTTGAATGGAAAGATGATGCTTAACCTAATGGAAGTAAAGAAGATTGTGTTTTTTAAATGATCCCTTAATTTAAAGTTTACAAAACTAAAAATGATAAATTCACTAGATCTTAATGTACCTATTTAAATACAAAGAATTAAGAATTAAAATTAGGTATTGGATTTGGAGGTGAATTAGCAAAGGAATTTAGAATTTTTTTAAATTAAGATCTACTTACTGTTTAATGCAAAACTCACGATAAAACTTATGAACCTGGTGAATTAATGCTTTTAAAATAAGCTAAAGTATCTATTTTAGAAGTTTGGACTATTTAATAGATTTAAGGTACTACCTAATTTAAAGATCTGATATATTAAAAGATAGATGAATAGATTGAATTAGAAGAATTCGAAAATCCACTTGTTCATTTAGATGAAGATATAAGTTCCTATAGATCTGGTGATCATCCATCACTTAATGATTCTATTAATTAATTCAAGTAAAAAGATTCATGTGATTGGGAAGGAGAGAGTTAGAATGGATTTGAAGAAGAAATTATAATTAGAGGAGATGGATTTGAAGAAGTTAAGAAAAATGAATAAGGTTTTGAAGTAATACCTTTAGATGAAACAAGTGTAAATAAATTGGAGTATATTTAATATAGATTAATAAAAAAAGTACGAATATCCAAAATCCAGAAAAATTACCATAATAACCATTATAAAATGAAGATAATTAATTTGAAGAGGTTTTGATCAAAACATCTGAATCTATGGATTCTTCTGCACTTTAAATGGTTTATAATGTTGTTTCAGGAACCTTTGGACAAGTTGAATCAGATGATAAGTAAGTTTATTATAAATAAAAAGTTGGAATGGGGATAATTCAGATTGGAAAGGAAATCGATCCACTACTGCAAAACAAAGTCGAGTTCAATTAAGTAAGGATTTGGCTACAATCACTGAGGATCTTAAAGAATCAACCAATACATAAAATTGATTATATTAAATAATATATATTTAATACTAAAGATTATTAACAAATTTATAAATAAACTCATTTTACAGTTATTTGTTTTTAATAGGATAATTTATATTCTTCATATTCTTGAATTAAGAAATCCCAATTTTGAAGCTATTTGTTAAAAATAATATATTACTTAATTGTTAGTGTAATATTTCATATTATCTAAATAATATTGTATTTCATTAAGTAGTTTATCAGTTTCTATTAGGAATTATTATTCATATTATTCATTAAATTTATTTAACATATAAACATATTAATCTCTTTTTTCATCTACATAAAATGTATCTTTTGGTAACATAATTTCTTTTGCATATTTAAGATCAGTAAAACATTTATTTAAATCAATCTATAATAATTATTCTTAATTCAAACCCCATTTCTATAGATCCTCTAAATAACAAATTATAATTAAATTTACTATTTAAAAACAATTCTTCTTTTCTTTTTTCTAAGAGATTAAATTCATTTGAGAAATTTTAGAATGTTTCAAATAAATTAGTTTTCAATTCAGTTAATTATTATCTTGAATTCTTAAATTTAACTAAAGTTATTAATAAGACATCCATGATTTATTTTGTTGATCTTAAAACAAAGTCTTTTTAAGTTTGCTATCTAAATAGTGGATTCAAATTACAAAATAAGATTTAATCATACATAATGCTTTTCCAAATTCTTAAGCTTCAGTATATGATGGAAGTGAATTGCATAATTGTTAAATCATTTCTATTGAATAACCTAAACTTTATTAACCTTTATATGTATATTCAGCAAATTATTCTAAATATTTTTGAATAATTTCATAATTTCCTTATTCTCCATTTAAATAAACTTAATAATCTTTATATTTTTAATATTGAATTTAATTAAATGAAAAAGAGAGAGTACCAGTTTTAGATTATTTTTAACTTAAATTAAATTATTTTTAGAGAATTAGTTCCTTATAAAATTTCTATTAAAATTATTTTGAATTATCTTCATTTAAAAATAGTAAACTAGAAAAAACTGTTCTAACAATTGGTTTTTTATTATAAATTTATAGAAATACCTAAATAATAAAAAAAGAGTATTTTACATTTAAGACTTTGATAATATTTTATTATTCTTTCATGATTATATCATAGTCATTGATATCATTGTAAGGAAAGGAAGGAATCTAAATAATATAATAATATACAATATATTCAGGAAAAGCAGCTTAGAGTATGTTTCTGATTTAAATAAAATCTTGAAGAGTTCTTTTTATTTTCCATTCCATAGGGAGTATTTGAATTGGAAATAAAATAGTTTTTGAAAAGAAATCTAGAATACCACCTCCTTCTTAAATGGGACTTGATTGTTATTAGAATAAAATACGGACTGATATCAAATTAGAGTTCAATATTTTCATCAATAAAAAAATACATTTATTTACAAGTAATAGTTTTTTCATATGGAATAATTGATATTTTATCAGTCTAATGATAGGTTGTTATAAAAATAATATACAATTTTTATTGATTCTTAGGTTTATTTTTTGACAAAAGTATCTCTATCAATAATTTAAATTTGATCAGAAATGTCTGGAGAATCAAGTTCAATTAATTAATATGAATCTGATTATTTTTCTTTTTCTATATAATAATTATATTTTTATACTTTCTTATTGATACAATTGAATGATTCTTAATAATTCTTTATAGGTCCATTAAGTTAAATCTTAACCTAAAGAATAAAAATGATATGAACCTCTATTGGGTTCTTTAAGTAAAACAAAGTCTTCAAAATCATCTTGATTATAACCTTTGTTAATGATTTCATCAACTAATAACTATTACTCTTTTGTAAATTTTTAATTCATAATTAATAAATCAAAATCCGTATTAAATTTTCTTATCGTAGAATCTCTTATATATTTGACTATTAAACATTATTGCTACAACTGCTGCCATAAAGGGAGTACAAGTAAATACCCATAAGAATCCAAATCTTCCCCATGAACCATCTTATATGCATTCAAATAATTCCAAACTAAATAATATTTAAAAATAGTATATATACCTAAAAGCAAATGCTGGATTGAAAAGTGATTATCCTTCAGATGACAAGACACGAGCAGCACCAAATCCTAAAGTGACTACTAAGGCATGTTCCAATTTATCATCTGAAAATTTCAAATAATCATCCTCTTATAATCCTAAGACTATCATAAATAAAATTGAGCCAAATAATTCTCCTTCAACTGACTATTTACTTAATAAATATATTCTAATACTCCAATTAAATTGTCACCAATTTTAGCATCTAAATATGGTGCATTAGTGAAATCTTCTAAAACAAAGAAACACACCATTGCACCTAATAGACTGCCTCCAACTTAACCAATAACATTAAACATAAATTCTTGAAATCCAATTCTAGCCATGAGTAAATCAATAAAACTAACAGCAGGATTGAATACAGTTAGACGATCAGTCATAAGTACACTTAAGAAGAATATGACTAAAATAGCCATATTATTGCCTGCTGATGCTAGAATACCATAAGTAAAAATGAATGATCCAATTGATGCAATTAGAGTTGATTTGATAATAGTTTATTTTTCTTAATGTGTACCAGATAATTATCCAACTGATGGAGATGATTCAAATCTTGTATAAGCAGCTTAAGATTCTCCTTCCACATTTACATCACTTTCGAACCTTTGCATATTTATATTTTATTTATAATAATTCCATAAAAACATAAATCAAAACCATCTTTTAACCCATTATTTGAGTTTTTCTTATCCTCCAAATAATCCTTTAGAAATAGCAATTAATCTATCACATTTTGAATCAATAATTCCATTTTCATAAACAATATCTTTTAATTTCTTAATAAATGGTTCAACTGATTCCTTACATCCTAATTACCAGAATAAAACATTTAAATATTCTACAAGTCTAAAATATTATATAATTAAATTAATACTCTGGGTTTAGAATACCAATTATTGTAGCTGTAAAAGCAGGTATCAAATATCCATTTAAATTGATTTCTCCAATTAAATGTTCAAAACTTTTGGAATATCTAATAGCAAATGGATCATAAAGTATTAATTTCTGATTGTTTACTTTAAATAAGTATTTTTTCTAAAAGAAATTACCATTACTCAAATTAATTTATAAGTTCTCCAATTATTTTGGTGATAAACTACTAGCAATAGTAAAACTTAATGCATATTAAACTCCAATATTTGTAACAAGTATCTTTCTCAACATTATAAATGTATCAATAGTTTTTGCAAATTTCAAAATGTAGTTGCTTAAATCTTATTTTTATATATATTTCTCAGTTTTTTCCCTATATAAATATATATAATAATATTTACATATAATATGGTATTCTAACAGTATTATCTTTAGTATTGCATTTATGATAATTAAGAGAAACAATTAAATCAGATATATTAGATAAATTATAAGTTTCCTCTTAATATGGTTCTATTTAATATAGTTATTTTTCACTCTCTAATAGATATTTTTCAATAAAAGTATGTTTTATATTTCTAATTTTAGTTTCTTTATAATTCTGATTAAATGTATTAGTCATTTTCAAAAATTAATAAGATATCTACTCATCTAATATATTTTATATAAATTTTTTATTTTCTATCTTTTTAGATTTTAAAAGGAATAAATATTTCTTTTCATCATTTCCTAATAATGCAATTTATCTAATTAATCTCTTTCTTCTTAAAAACATTATATTAACAGTAGGGAACATACTTGTAATATAAACATTTTCAATTACTTAAGTTCTCTTTAATTATCCATCTTGTCCCAACATTGGATATTAATTCATAATAAATTCATCATTTAATGCATACAATTATGTTATTTAAATTTATTATGTAACAAGAGTATTTAATGCACAACTCAATTATTAAGAGAAATCTTCAGATGAATTAATTTAAAATCCAAAGAGTTTGCCATAAATTAATTTTAATGAAGCAATATAAATAGATGTAATTGCTTTTAATTAATCATTTTTTATCCATTTTTGAAGATCATTAACAGGAAAGAATTATTTAAAATGATCCTTTGTTTAATGATATTTTTGTATTAAATTAACTATTTATAAACATTTCTCATTAATATTAACAGAATTAGATTCATAATATTTTTAATCTAATACTTTACCACATAAATAAATTAATTCTTCTAATGTATCCCATACAGATGAATCAAATCTATTATTAAATAGATATGATATTGAATATATATTTGAAATTTAATTACTTAATTTAGAAAAATTTAAAAAATGATCTACAAATTATTAAGATCTATCATCAATTAATAGACCAAGACTCTTAAAATATTGAATAACTTGAAAATTATTTAATGGATTGTATTTACATAATTTATCTATATATTCTAAACAATCTTTTCTTATTTATTCTGAAGGACTTTTTAAATATGTTGATATTAATTGAATTAAGAATCTTTATAATAAATGTAATGGAATCAATCCTATTGTTTATGAAAAGGCATCAATAACAATAGAATCTGTAGGATTAGTAATATTTATAATATGAAAAATATACATACCATTTATAGTGAATTTTTATGGTTTATATTAAATACCAATTGATGATACTTGAATATAATTTTATGCAAATTTAATATTATTACTATATTTCTTATGTGCTAATTAATATACTTTTTATACTTCTCTCCAGAATTTTAAATAATTAATTTGATTTTGTATGAAGTATTCATTTGTTTGACTGACCATTTATTCTAATTTAGGTTCTTCTGTTTGCATATTATTATTATTATTATTTGATTAATTTTCAGATTATTATAAATCTAATCTTAACAATTTATAACATTAATTAATCATTTTGTATCTTCTTATTTTACTAATCATATAAGCTTTAAATTCTTCTGAATTATATGTTCCCATTTATAAATTACTAAAATAAGTTAAAAGATCTGTTAATTATTGATTATTTTAATCAATTTCTTAAATTTTAATTGTTTTAAATTTAATTTTTTCTAATTAATATATTTTCTCAGCATATATTTATAATGGTTTTGGAACTTCTTTTAATATAGTTTATTCATCAAACAATTCAAAAATACCATTTTATTAATAATATCTAATTGGATATAAAATTGTTTTATAATCTAAAATAGATAATTAATAACTTTTTAAATCCAAAGAAATATTTGTAGGTATCTATTATTATGCATTTATAAATTATGTTAAAAAACCATTGAAACGTTGTAAACACATTTATAATTGAATCATTCTTTAACTAATTAAATCAAATGTAAATTCTTGTTAATCAATATTAGTAGGTTGTCTTTCAAATAAATACTTTTTACATAATAAACTAGATTAATAACCATTATATATTTAATCTAAAAGCATATCATGAGGACCTTATTATTAATTTGGATATGCAGTTGCATTTATTGCATATTGTCTTAAACTTTCTTCAAATTCTGTATAGAGTTAAAATTAAGATACAAAATTAAGGAATTTCTAACCCCATAATTAAGGTGATGACATCATTTAATCATATGATTAAGTTAATTTAGGTAATGTTTTGATGAAATTATAACAATTAATTATTTGAGCATATTTAAGATGTTATTCAATTGATTATAATACATGATTTCCACTTCTACCATGTTAATTTTATTAAGAATCATCTCTAACAAAATCTAGTAATTTAAAGTAAGCTTAATTATAACAATATATATCATTTTATTAAATATTCTATTTAACTTCTGATAAAATATTCAATTCTTTCCAACCTTAATCTGTTAAATCCTTTTATTTCTCTCTAAATCCCATAATTATTTTATTTTAAACTGTTTACACTTTACTCAAATCAACTTATTTCAAAGTATTCCATTAATTAAGTTATTACAAAGATTCAGAAAAGAATTGATGAATAATTTATTAATCATATTCCTTCTGAATACCTTGATACTCATGAGTTTCTTATTCTAATTATTACCAAAATTAATCAACTTATTCTTAATTATTTAATATCAATTAATATTATTAAGCTGGTTCTCTTAATTGATTAATTAATACTAATTGTTTTACCCAAGGTTAAGTAGCAGTAAAACATTTGCATCCTAATAAACTTTATTTATTCCATTATTCTTAATAAACACCTTATAATTATACTAGAATATCTTCATTTAATAATGAATAATATTCACAATCTTCACTTAAGTATTAAAATATTTATTCTAATAAATATTAACATAATTGTAATTAATTCTTTTAACGAAGACAAGCAATTAAATTATTAAAATTAAGTTGAATTTATTATTGATCTAATACTTAATGAATATTCTACATTTAATTCAAAATATCTTAAACCAAATAATTTGATATAGTAGTCATAGTACCATAAGATAAAGATTATTATTGAAGATATTCTGTTAGTTATGTGATTGTCTTTAGATCATTAACTATTACTTAATTGAAGAGTGGTCTGAGTAATCGACTACTAACATTAGCTGCTGTACCCATTAATTCAATAGCAGCACTTGGTATAATACATTCTCTTAAAGGTTATTAGGGTTAATCTTATAGAGGAATATAAGAGAGATTATAAATAACAATTGAAGGTAAATACTCACTAGTTATTAATTTTAAACTAGAATTATATAATTTTATCCATTATTTCTTTCTATAATAAATAGCTAAATATTTATTGAGTACTTATTCTCTCATATTTGAATCATCACTCTAAGGAACTAATTTAATTATGATCTTATTTGATTATTAGAGTTGAAATTATATTGGTTATTTTAATTGACCTCTTCCTAAAATTAAAAACTTAATTGCCATTAACATGATCTCTTCTCCTTCTGTTTATAAAGGTTAATCTTATTATTTTGTTGTTTGATCTCCTAATAAAAATTATAAGAAACGATCATAAGTGTATCCATATATATCTAAAATCATCTTATAAAAAAATTATAAATAATCTAAACAAGTACTTAATTTACTTATCACTTAAAGAATACGTCTGAATTCTCTTAATGAACCATTACTTTTATCAAAAATATTCTTTAGATAATAAAATCCACTATTAATGGAACCTTATTATTTTTTAAAAGGATGAACTAATAGTAATTCACATAAGAACATAAAATATAATTTTAAGACCTTTAGATCTTATACTTTTCCATGATTATTATCATAGCTATCAGAACTACGTTAATCTATTTTTTTATCAAATAAATTTTATAATCTATTTATATCAAAAAAGAAATTCAATTGAACTTCATATGGCATTTTTGATGCTTTGAATTACTTATTATCTTCCATCATCTATAATTCCTATCTAACTTATTATGATCTAATTGGTGATAAATGAGTTGAAATTGCAAGTAAATAACCTTCTTTATTAGATATTTCATTTATAAAAAGAAGTCGCATAATTGCTATACATTCCAATTTAAGTTCATAATCAGGTACTGATTCAATTATTTATATTAATAATTATAAGAATTCTAATTATTCTCTTTGATCTTTGATATAATCAAAATTATAAGTCATCATTTTTATTGTCTTTTATAAAGCAGATCTATGTAAATGAAACTTTATTTTTTGATTCTCTGGAAAATCCTCTGAAAAATATAATACTTCTTCACTCTTTTTTATACCAAATGGAAAATCATCAGTCATTTAT